ACAGAAGAAAATTGAACATGGTTTACACTGCACAGAAATTCCAACACAAATTAATAAATTAATAACATTATTCCATGCGAGGAGCCATATTTGGCAGAGCCTACTTTGTGTCAAGCCTGCCTGGGTTTAATCCTGAACTGAGTACTTAGGAAACACCGAAAGCCATGGAGATGTGGCAGCTTTCCTCCACAAACACCGGGTCCTCTTCTTGTTCCCAAGAGACTGGGAAACATCCCTCAATGTCACCTGGAAGGTGTTCAACCAGCTTCTGCAGCACACACAACGTTAGTTCTTATCCAGCTGCCATAAGTAGATCTATTCGGTATGTGTGTGTATAGGTACACGTGCACACTTGTCAGGAAAGGATGAGATATGAAAGGAACAGATTTTATCTATCATATGCTCAGCACTCTGAAGCACCCCACTACAGACTATATTTCCCAGGTTATTGCTGGTCTTGAACTTCCCACGGAAGAGCTGAGCCATTAGCTGCTCAGCTGTGTAGTTCAATACCTTTGAAACTATCCTGAAAGAAGGGCAAGTGCTCGAGATCCCTGCTGTCACACCATCCCTTCTGGAGCTAAACCAAGTGGTTTCCTCACTGAGGCCACCAGGTGTGCCAGTGGCAAGCCCAGAGACAAATTGTCTTGCTTTCCTTTAAGGAGTGCCCAGCGAAGAAATCACCGTGAAGCTCTCAGCAACTCAATGTGCCCAGTTTGGACAGATTCTCCTAAAATTCAATTATTAGGGACGATAACAGAAGTGTAACAAACTTACTGCAAACAGACTGCACATTCTGTGCCTGCCAATGAGTTATGAAGTAGCCAAATATGAGACAGCAATGACCAAAGACCATCTCGATGCCAAGCGTCGAGGTCTTTTGCAAAAGCACGGAGAAACCAAAGCACTACAAAGGAAAAAATATACATTTTTTCGGCTTACACATGCAACCCAAAGTCAGTGCCATAATATGATACGCTGTATTTTAATTCTAACATCCAACTTTATTCCAACACCCATATGGATGTATGGATTTGGGATATATGCCCAATTTTAATTGTGTTTCTGATACAAACCGTACCAAAATGTTCCCAGAGTCCACACAGAATCGTATTAATGGTAGCAACAAGTGGGCTAAGCAAAATTTACCTGCAAACTGCTGCGGAGTTATGATAAATTGCTTTCTTTCACATGATACTTTCAGTGATTAATAACAGGCACAGCGTGAGATTACTGCAACAGATCTTATCTGTATGTAAGGCAGAGGAAACATCATGTTGCCGTAACTAACTAGGAAAAGTACAAACTCCCTCCTGCCCCCTCCCCAAAGCTAGCTAAAGGTTTTGTCCTCTTGTTTCACTGTTAAATTGAATCTGAAGTGGAACTGGCAATTTATAAACTCACTTATTTCAAGTGCACAAAGCCCTGAACTTTAGAAGCAGGCGTGTTTTGAGGCAGCAGTACCAATCCAGACAAGGATCACACAACGCCATGCGAAGTGAGCAAAAGGCAACTCGCAGAGTGCTGTAAACAAAATGACTGAAACTGAACCGAACCAGGCCTTGGCATCAACAGCATACGGATGGGCATCAGAATCCAGATAAATTGTTTTTTTTGGGGGGGCTGTATTTATGTTAAATTATGCTTGTTATTGCGATTATGCTAACTACAGATGAGAATCAGCAAGAAACGGTCAGGAAAAAATAAATTAGCGTTTTTAATTCTGCTCACATACTTACAATAGAAAAAATGAAGTACGGTTTTCAAGTCTGCATGTTTCCTAAAGAGCAAATAACACGGAACAACTGCTGATGGAGTATGCAAAGAGACTTGTACAATATTTCTCTCGTGTGAGTAATCCAGTCTGACAACGTGCTGTGCTCACTCAAATGTTTGGGTACATCAACAAAGCACTGTGTGATCACTAGGGTAAAGTGGTGTGCAATCCCACAGCACTTGGGAAACGCAAGGCCACCGGAGAATGGCAGTGCTTGCAGGCTGCTGAGCGTCCCAATGGGTTCCCCGTCCCTCATCCATCCCTGCTTACGCACAGATCACAACCAAGGTTTTCAGCTACTTGAACTGTAGGTTTCAGAAGCAAGACTTTTATCTTAAAACTTTTTTAAACACCGTGATTTAAAGTCTGAATGTCCTGGGTTAAATGTATGGAGAGTTCTGTTAGGTTTAACCTTTCTATCATGCAATTTGGAGCAAAAATAATTTTCAAGAAAACGGGGAAAAACAAAAAACTAATTATTTTTCCAATCTGTCTCTCTACCCTTGGGCAATACCATGAACTCCATCAACACAAGATTCAATCGCCTTGTGAAAATGTTTTATGTGGGAACTGTGAAGAGACGGCTTCTTCAGCAAACCTGAGCATCAGAATTCACCGCTTAGGAGCAATTCTTTGATAATGAGAAGCACGGCTTGGCCTGTTGGCAATCCATGGGATGCGAAGTGTGTAGGCTCTGGTTTACGCATTTTCATTCCCTGAGGAAAAAAGTCCCAAGCAAGAAAATAGGTGGAAACATAAAGGAAAGAAAGCATTCGAAAGTAGCGAGGTGAAGGATGCTAGAAAAGGAGTATGACGAGCAAGATTAGTAAGCCCTACTTGGAAGACTTCCTGGTCTTGGAGTATGTCTCTCTTCCACTATTTTTACCTGATAATTCTGACAGGAGGCAAGCACAGCCAACAAGATGACGACAGGAGTTGAGAGCTTATGGGCAGAAAAAGGAAAAGATAGTTAGGGAACAGGTGACAAAAGTAGAGACCAATAATTAGAGAGTTACTCACATCAATGAAGTTATGCACGATGTTATCACAATGATCACAAAGTTACCAAAGTTCTAGTTTTTTTACTCTAATCCTAAAATGAAATTGGGAATTAAAACACTGCTCCAGCCTGTTTATTTCAGTTATCTTAGTAGGAGGACGTGAACATATGGTAGAAATTTGCCCTTGCCTAAAATTACTCTGCTTGTACACAGTACACTGTAAACACGCAGACAGGGAATGGCAGTGCCAGGCACGGTGAAGGGAACGGGATTAGGGTGGGGGTGAAGGAGTGAAGGGCTTGCTGCCGCTGCTTTCATACACGCTAATGAAACTGGAACGGTAAAAATTCGTTGTAGTTGAAGGTCCAGAAGGACTAGCCACAGCTGTGTGTGCACATACCCACAGTAGGAATACATGGAGAAATAAAAAAAGGAGACCAGGCACCGAGAAGTCTGATGCAAACCTGACACTGAAAAGCAGATGTGGGGTGAGAAAGATCCGCCAGCACGGACAGGCGGGACATAGGCAGCACCAGGCTGCACTGATGTCACTGGCAGAAGAAATATATCTGTAGTGAAAGAAGATAAATGTCATGTCGCAAGTAAAGAAACAAGCTACTCATTTGCATCCTTCCCCCTTCAATGTCAGGGCTGTAACGGGCAGTTTGCTCTACCCAGAGTCTGAGCTTTGTATCTGTGTCACCTTTCAGTTCAGGAAGGACTACATGCGTTTGAAGGTTGGAAATTCCTCTGCTTCCAGTCCTCGAAATAAAAACGCCGTGCCAACAGAGGCCCTGGAGGTCACCTCCTGATGTAGCTCAAGGAGAACTGACAATTCAAGAGAAAATATTCGAAAGTCTCCACAGAGCATTTCAGTGGCCAAATGAAGGCTAGCAATAATTCAAAGCCACTGCAAGACAATAAGCCAGCTGGGAATTATCTTCTGGGCTAGTAAAAATCCATTTGTGTAGTATCTAAGGACAGAAACAACAAACTGGAATTCCTTGACATTGGAAAACAGAATTCTGATTTTCAACTGAAAGGATAAAAGCAGGTCTCTCCAAATTATGAGTGCAGGGAATTTCGTGCTGTTACCCAGTTTCTGAGCAGCCACATTTCAGACAGCAAAGCAGAACAAATAAAATCTGTATTTATTTATCGAAGCCAAGACTTTGACTCGTGTAAACTCAGGGAAGAGCGCATCTTGTTGAAGTGTTCCTGGCTATATAAAAAGAGATCAATGTCCTTGAACTGCAAAAAAGACAGAAGAAAGGCAAGGTCTGAACAGAAACCAAGGCCACTCGTTCAGACACTGTCATCATCAGCGAAGGCAAACGTTCCCAAAAGAACAAATACTTGAAAAGCTCTCTTCTCTACAATGCCACTGGAAGAAGAGTAGGGGGCGATTCCATATTGCTGAGATCTGTTTTCATTGACTGTATTTTTCCTCAAACTGTAAACCAAAGAATTATTTCCTCTACCCTCCCCACCTGCAGCCTGATAAAGGTGTCCTGGGCACTGACAGTCGAGATGATTTCTCTCTCCTTGCTGTCATAAAATTTTAACTACGATGCTTTAAGCTCGACTGGTCCCTCAGCTAAACTCACGTGCTTCCAGCCTTCAGTTTTTAATAAGCATTTATCCCTGTGGTTACAAAGGCAACCTGATTCACCCAGAGGACTGGCAAGAAGTAGCAAGGCTTACTGCATTTAAAGAGTCTGCTGGTGCAGACCAGTGCCCCATACACACACGCTGAGGTTCTGTGGGAATGGAGAAAGAAGCAAATTTGGAGAAAAAACAGTGACAGAAGCGACAGTAACAAGCAGACACAGGAAAAAAAAAAATCTCCTTCCTATTGCTTTTGTTCTTTCTGTTGTTGGGGCCCTCTGAGATAGGAGACCAGGGTGGAATTGCTCCTCCTTTGTTCTCTTTTTCCTCGATTCTGTGCTTCCTTTCCTTTTCCTATGCAAGAAGTTAGAGGAAGAACAAAGTACTGTTACATGGAATAAGGAGCCAGAGCTCTAAGGCAGATGTGGATCTATTCATAACAAGCAGAAGACCAAGAATTACAGACAAATTGGCCGGGACTTACGCTTTCCAGTTGTTTTGTTTTTTTTGTTTTGTTTTGTTTTGTTGTTTTTGTTTTGTTTTTTTTTCCAGTTATTAGTGTTGATCATAACTGCAGAGGAAAGTGCTGCTGCTAGGACAGACAGAAGAATCAATTTCTTTCTCATTTTGGGCTTTTTATTTGAAACTAATCAAAAGACCAGAACAACAGCAGTTATAAAAGGTACGCGGAATAACAAAGAATCTTCTGTTGACTTCAAGTCACATTACTTACACACAGCAACTATTTCATTTTGGTAGCTTATAGTCGTCTAGATATCAATCAAAGGCACCTGCAACTGTCTCGGTTGCACATGCACAGTAGTAATTATGCATGCAAATGAGCAAATTAGACATTTCTGTGGCTGATCACCAGTATAATTACTCTAACTGAATATAGGCTCATGGTAACTGTACACACAAATTACGCACACATGCAGTTTTAACGATGAAGTATTGCCTTCACTGCCTCTATTTGGATAATTCCCTATGGAAACGCTCACCCACTGAAAACAATAGAAAGTGTTAACTCTTTTAAAGACTACTGAACATTAAAAAAATATAACAATCCGGTAAGTTTGTTTTCCATGCTGATATACCAGCAAAATTTCACCACTGTCAGAAGATTTACCAACTTGAAGAGCATATTTAAGCATCACCTTACTCCTCCTTTTCATCTGTATTTAAGAACCTGCAACTTCATTAAGATCAGGAAGGATAGGCAATTTCTTGAAGAAATTTATCATTTTTTATCATCCTAACCACTTAAATCTATGGGATTTGATTATACTTCAGACCAGAAGAGGTGGTGCACTCAAACCCATACAAGGTATTTTTATTAGGGTACATAAACAACAACATGTGAAATATGCCCTCATCTTTCAAGACCACATTTGGATCCATCCATATTAACGTAAGGAACAACTTTGCTAGGGCAAAAGTATTTATTATTAAGTATTTCAAGGGATATGACAGGAGTAATAAAATATTTAGATGCTGCTGTATTCTGGCAGATCGCGGCGTAATCGTATTGCCTTCAGCTTCTCCACTTTGATTTTTGTTCGCAACAGTTCTTCCTCCAGCTGCTGCTTCCTTTTCAAACCATCCCTTTTTTCTTGGACATACAGCCCAATCTTTCTTTGATTTTCTAATATGATCTGATGCTCTTCTTTCAGCATTTGCAGCATCTGCGGGTCAGACCCACACATCGGTCTAAAGCGTTCTCCGACCTCAAGCCTAAAAAACTCATCTCTTCTGGGTACGGGAGAGGGAGACATCATAACTCTCATGTCAACCGAAGACACCGACGTCGAAGGAGACCTCTCCATGATATGCACCAGCTGGTGTTCTTCCTCGTGTTCTAGGTTCTCACTTTGCTGCGCGTCTATAATCAACGAAGGAGGAGGTTTGACATCCTCTTCCGACTGCAACTCCATCATGACTGTCGCAGGATGGTGATCCAACATTGCCTGTGGTGAACTGGTACCAGCAATTGTTTCCTTATCGATACTAGCGCTAGAACACACAAAATCAGATGTAAATCACCCAGCAAAAACTATTTTAAAAAGACATAAATGAAAATAACCAAAGCTTCATTTGAAATCCTAGTGTTTGCTAGCTACTGCTGAAACTCTGCTTCATTACATGAACACTGTGTGCACCCCTCCTTCCTTCCAACACATGTATATGGCTTTGTCTTACACAGATGCTACTGCTACTACGAGGTGTAGCCTAGAAAGAACAATCCTGGTTGGCCCTTCCTCTGCACCAGGATAAACAGGCAATAGTGATAAATGGTTTAGATAATCGAGAAAGTGATTTTAAAAGGCCATAGCCTCAGACTGAGCGGGCTACGGCAGAAACGTTTCCATCTCCCAAACTTACTCATCTCGTCCTGTCCCAATGTGTTCCCCGTTTGTGACTCACGCACCTCGATGTTTGTTTTGTGTGCCTTTTTCCATGTAAAACAATCGCTGCATAAAATTACACAAAGCGCCTGGGGGGAAGAAACCACAGCCCAGATGATGACCCTGCCCCGTAGATTAGGGAATCCAGCTAATCCTCGCTCCTTCCCTACGAAGCAGTGATCTCACGATTTCTCTCAAGCTTCAAGAGGAGACATGGAAACATTGCCACTCAGAACAGCTCCGCGCTGCATTTTTCCCCCTTTTTCGAAGTGCAACACCCACCTGACTCATCTGCCTTTGTGCGGAGCCCTGAGTCAGCAGCACCTCCAGTCACGATCTGACATTACGCTGGCTTTGATGCTAATAGCGGCCCCAGCTGTGCCTGCCGACTTCTCCACCACTTGTTTGAAACCCCAGAGCTCTGCACATCGCTCCCTGATTGAGGCAATACTTTTTTTTTTAAAGCCAGATCAGCTTCTTGAACTATTTTACAGTACAGGAGACAGGAGACGGTCCCCAGCCCATGAATAACTGAGCTGCTGCTAGCAGCTCAAGGCAGCCAGGGGATCCACGATGAGCAAAACATCCCCAGATGCTCCCCAGCCCTGGAGGACCTGAGTTGCTGCCTATTAAAGGGGCAGGGTGTGTGGCTGTGTTTGCACTTTCTTTTTAAAGCCTCCTTTTGAGCTCTACAAGCCGCAGTTTGAGGAACACTGATTATTAAAACACTGCCCGTGAGCAGCAGGCGTGGGTTCACGTTCCCAGAAGTACAGGAGGAATTTAATTTCTACATCCTGCTTCTTGTGGAAGTGCACAGACTCCTTAGGCAGACACCAAAAGAAAGCATTTTCTCCTCTGCATCTCCCATGGCCTGCAAAACTCTCGGTTCAAGAGAAATAAGCAGCCATGGGTGCAATTTCCAAGGGACCCTGAACTAGCCCAACATCTATTAGGATGCAAGTGCAATTTCTAGAATGAACGTGTGGAAACTTCGAAATAGTCATTTGTAAGAATGAGCAACAGGGTCAGAGAAATGTAGTTCACAAAAATTACTTCTGCCAATCACCCAAACTATTTAAAAAGAAGATTTCAGACAGAAAAAGTCCATCTGAAGGAGGCTTTTGGAAGCAGAACTTCCATTTATTCCCAAGGAAACATTGGGATAATCTCAATTCTGTCCACCGCCACCTGAGCTGCCTGTGAAGTATCGATTATACCACCTTACTCCCTCTTCCTCATGCCACAAAGCTTCGCCTTCTTTTGGACACCTCTTTCTCACATGCCCTTCCCTCCTTTTCCTTGAGCATCGGGAGTTATTTTCCTGCCCCTCTGTGCCTCCCGGGGGCCGGCTGCAGCCCTGGGTTTCCCCCTCTCCACCAGCTCAGCCTCGCTCGGGGTTGCTGGCTCCCAGCCAGCGTCTCGCCTGCAGACGATGGAAACAGCTAGCAGGAGAAGCAGGTCATTGTGACAGGAGGAAACGGAGAGGGAGAGCAGAAAGAGAAAGTGAGAGAGGTTGAAGAGAAAGAAAAAACAGCTCCGATTTAGGCTAACAGCCTCCAAACACTGCCAATTTCACCTCCTGTGGTGTATTTCACCTGAAACTTGACCATTAGCAAACCTCCAGGTAGCTCAGACGGGGCTTTTTTTTCTCCCCTTTCGGTGTCAGCCTCCTAAGAGGAAAACAATTAGAGGGGGAAGAGAGAAAGAAGGAGTTGGGAAACAAAAGGAGCGCCTGCACGGTGGTTACTAATGTTGTTTCTGACAACTTGGCTGAAAGAAAGACAAACAACAGTTACCACAACTGGGGGATGGTATTTCGAACCCTGGAGGCACCCATGATTCGCTAGGTTTTGTTTAATCACCGTGAGCTAGAAATTGCTTAAAGGTGCAATTAAGAATTTGGATTCATTAGAAGTTGCATTTCCTTCCCCAAAAGCTAAGCCGTATCCTAGCGAGTTAAAACCCAGCGCAGGGTTTTCAAAATCAGGGGGAAACGCAACTCGGAGTTAAAATTAGAACTATCAAATAATGATGTAATTAGGCAGAAAAAAATATATATTTAAATGATAATCCTTCCCTTCGACACACAGTGCATTGGCTGTTCCTAGAACAACCATTTTGGGTAAGCAGCAATCAAGTCAACATTCCCAGAGCCATAAAAGCCTGCAAAAAAAAAAAAAGCCTAAATTATAGGAGACAAACTACGGAGATCATTAGCTCTTAATCATTCATGAAAAGCGTCACCGCTTTTCATAAGCCGATCTGCAAACCCAAGTTCTCACACTGTTGTGTTTTTTTTTCTCCCCCTTCCTCCTTACAAAAGTTGGTAGCCAAGACACTGCAACCTTTATTAGCGCAATTAAAAGCCTCGTTTTGTTCCAGGGAATTCTTTGGGACCGTTCCTCCAGGGGCATTCACCAGGAGCAGCAGCAGCACAGCCCAGTTGCTTCAGACTTCTTTACGCCAGGGACCCGCAGCAGCATATTTTTAGAGCATCTGGCACGTTGGGATTTAGACAATTGCTACCATTCAGTTCAACCAGTGGCACCACGGATCCAATTCGCCCTGTGCGCGCACGCCAGCCCTCCGCAGAGCCTTTGGCTGTTGCACCAAGGAGCAGCGTGGCCGATTAAAATATGGAAAGTTCACTTCCCATTAATCCGTTGGTGAAAAAGAGGGGGGAGGAAAAAAAATCAGAGCTTTCTCAGGATTTCTGAGAGTTATTTGGCTTTTTTCCCCCCTCCTCCCTACCTTGCTTTTTGTATCGGGAGGAACCAAGCCCTGACCCAGGCGTTTTTTGATCCCTCGAGGACCAATACAGAACCAGCAGAGTGTTGCGAGTCAGATATGAGGGGCATTAGCCAGCTGTGGGAGCAAGCCTGCACGCTGCCTGCCTGTATTATGTCTGGCTCAAACCTAGACAGTGTGTCTCACTTTACTGAGCAGTGCAGAAAAAAAAAAATACAAAAAAAAAAGAGAAAACTTCTATAGCTGCACCTCTTGGTTTCTCTCTGTGTGCATTTAAACCACCTACCCTACGATGCAGGGCTGCGTGGAGTTTAGGCTGCAATGAGCTTTGCTCCAGTTTCAGAAAATCACCCTCGATGCAATAAAAGTGTTTAAAAAAAACACTCACAAAGGCACCGTGGTGCAGGCAGTCCATTTTTTTTTAAAGGGTTGGGATCAGTTCAAATGTAAGACGCAGACAGCAGAGTGAAGGAGAGGAGAAAGCTCTGGGAACGAGGTTCCTCAGCTCTGTGAACTAACTTTGTTAAAAATCTGCTCTAAACTGCTAATAGTGCCATATGTTGCAAAATGACTGCAGTGTTACCTTAAATGGAGGAGAATAGCCATCACTTTGCCAATGTTTGAATAATCTGCCTATTAAAAGGTAGGGGAGGGGTAGAGGTTGGAGCTACTCTTTCCCTTTGATTCTCCCTTAACCCTCACTTTCCAGAGTATGACAAAGGCTGAAGCAGGCTTTGAAAGAGCTGAAAAATGAATGCAGTGCTAAGTCACCAGCGAGCTTGCCATAAAACAAAAGCAATATCATTTAGGCATTGTTCCCAGTTTGGGGCTTTTTCCTCTCACGACCGCTTCCTTCAGGACACTGCCCACGAGCAACGCGTCGCAGAGCAGACAGGAGGCGCCATCATTTTCACCATTCAGTAACAAAACCAGGAGGAGGAGGGAGGGGAATGGAGAAAAAAAAAAAAAAAAAATCTCTCACCTTTGTACACCGCTCCTGTCTCTTAAACACACATTGGAAATCTGTGGAATCATCTCCACAACTTTCTTGGTTGGCTCGGAAATGCTGCTTTTACAGTCGGAGGGGGTCTCCTTTTGCTGCAGCAGCTCCTGCTTGGCGTATTCTTTGAGCCTCTTGTACAGCGTGCGCAGGCCCTGTGCGGTACGAGGCGGGCGGTCTACTCCGATGGCGTTGTAGTTATCAGCTATGATATCCCAGCATTTGTTTTTCTCCACTATGACCGAATGCTTGTTGGTGTGCTCCTCGAGAATTTTAACGTAGGGCTTCACCAGCTTTAGCAAATCGAGCTTTTCGGATAAGGTGAAATTGGAAGATCTGGCCTTCCCCACCATTGTGAGCTGGGAATGAAGGGAGCCGGTCCCCAAGCCACCATGCAGTCCCTAGCTCTGCTCAGCTCTTTTTCACAAACAGAAAAAGATCAGGCTTAACTAGGCTAGTCTCATTTAGGCCCACGCCTACAAGGGAGGGTTTATTAAAATTCCTTCAGCTTAAGCTGACGCAGGTTCAGGAAATCTGCTTAAGCCAAGCCTGACCTACATAAGGCTTCAGACTGAAGAAGACGAGAAGAAACAAGCAAAATACACTTTTGTATGAAGAGCCCAGGCACACGCAGGATTTAAAGACATAAAGGTTTAAAGATTAGCACGTTACCCGGCTAAAAATTACCTAATTTAGCCGGAGTAACAAGCTCTGACACATCTCCCTCGCTCTCTCGCACATCGCGCAAACTGAAACCGCACTCGGGATTTCGCACGCAACGGGCGGCCGAAAAAAGGGAGAGGAGAGAAAAAAAAGAGAAAAAAAAAAAAAAAAGCAACAATTGTTTTTTTTGGGGGGGCGATTTATTGAGTGTTACACCGAGCGGGCAGATAAGCGCGGCGTGTGTAGGGAGCTCCCTCAGAGAGCCCCCGGCCGGCCGCCGCGCTCTCTCTCTCTCTCTCTCTCTGGCGGTATTTGCATAATGCTGGTCCTGCTGTCAATCAGCTCCGGCATATCCTCCAGCTGGTTAGGTTACACTCGGCCTTCCAGCAAAGCTAAGCTTCTCCTGCATTTTGCCAGCCTGCTCCCGCTACCTCCACAGAGCCTTCTTAAAGCGGCAGCCGCCGCTCGCGGCCCGGCGTGTGGCGGCGGAGGGAGAAAGCGAGCAAAAAACCCCCCCCAAAATCCTGGTGAAATAATGATAAAAATAAAAGAAACACGCCCCAAAGGCAGCGGCGTGAGGGCTGAACGGGCTTTTTATCCGGCTTTTTCTCCTGGCTGCAGCCCGCAGCTGTGCCCTGCTGGAACATGCCTGCCTCTCGGGGCGTGTGGCATCGCTGTGGTGGCTGCGAGACGGCCTGACCTGCCTCACGGGATGGCTCTGTCCCAAATTTCTGGGCCTGCCATCGCGAGTGGAAGCTGGGGGAAACATGCTACCTGCATGGTGATGCTTCCAGGCACTCCTTTGGGGTGAAAACCTGGCTTTTAGGGGCACGACGTGCGTGCTGTGTCGGTGCCTCCCCTCGGCCCGCTCCCAAGCGCATCACCTTGAGCCAGGCCTGAGCACAGAAAACGCAGGCGAGGTTTGAAATTTAACAAAATGAACAAAGCGGAGGAAGCTGCAGGTGGAAGGGAAGGTGCTCAGCACCACAAAAAGCAGCAGCTGAGTTTGAAGAACCGCGGACGTCGCTGCAAGAGGCCAGAGGGTGGAAAGAAACACAAGCTGAGGTGGTGGCAAACAGCTCTCCGGCTTAACATGTTCAGCCTTGACAAGAAGGGAGCCTAGGAGGGGGGGGTGAAGGCAGGAGAAATCTAATTATAGCTTGAAATATCTATCTGCAGGCAATAAGGATCTAGGTATAAACTTGCTTGCTCGAAGGGGAAAAATCCCCGAGCAGACGCGAGCCGCAATCAAAACAAAAAGCCTGAAACTAAACGAAAAGGAGACTTTCACCAGGAAAAAGCAGCCAGCGTTTACAACAACAAGCATGTTTGGAACAACTTCCCGAGGCTTGGCTTGCCCACGCCACCTCACAAAACTGTGACCGGTCCGCTTTGCTGGAGCTGCTTTCAAGCCAAGCTTAAATAAAGCATTTTATGGGCTGAAGCCCGTTTCGGGAGAGTCTGAGAAACAAAATACTGCTGTGGTTAGGAGCGCCGCGTGAAAACCACTACTTTTAAACACCTAATCCTTCCCTATTTCCTCACATTTCGCTCTTAATATTACTACAGAGTGGGGTACTAGCGGTTAAATAAAATAAAATGGAATAAAAGGAATATGCCTCATGTATTTTAGGTTTCTGGGAGTATAGGAATCGAGGAGCCAGAGAAGAGCCCACCCTCAGATGTTTAAGGAGCTGTGCAGGCCCCAATTTCTTGACTTTTAGTGACAAAACTCAGGGCCAGGCTGTGTGAGTGAAGGCTCCTCCCCACAAACACCCAGCAGATGACCACCGTTGGGCAGAGGAACCCCAAAAAACCCCAAGGAAAGAAGGGGAGCCCTCGGCACGGCTGCTCCAGGCCTGCCACAGAGCCAGGGCCCAGGCTTGGGACCCTTCCCACGATGATTTCTTTCGAGCCAGCGCCCGAAGGAAGCAGTCTGAATTACATATTGTTCTGCCGGAGTGTAAAAGAACCCTTGTAAAAAACGCAGCCGGCTGCCAAACAAGATATTTTTTTCCCCTATTTCTTTTTTTTGTTGTTGTTGTTGTTTTTAAATAGTTCTGCTCATCAGCCTAAGGTCATGTCAGTACTCAGGTGAGAAATCACGGGAGGTGAGAAGGCTGCGTATTAGCATCACGTGAAGACTTCTCTCAGCTACCAAAGGTGTAGCAATAAGACAGCTGAAAAAAAACCCTGTTCTCCCCCAGCCTTGCTGTGCTTCTGCCCCTGCCCTGTGCTGATATTAGCACTCAAAGCAACTTTTTTCCTTCATTTCCTTAATTCCTTCTTTTCAAGAAGCCTGATGCTTCCCAGTTTAAACGTTAGCATCTAAAACCCCACTTTTCAAGTGGATGAAATCTTCTTCTTTGGAAATTCGTGAAAAATGGGAGCTGTGAGAGTAGATCGGAATATCTAGAGAACAGAAAACCATCACAGTTACTCAAGGACCGAGCAACAGGCCCTTGCTAGGGTTGCAGAACTTAAATAGTTGGGAAATAAGGCTCGAAACTACAGGTAATAGGTAAGTCCAGGGCTTTGCAGTTGAAAATTATGGAATAACTGGGGAGAGAAAAGGGAGAAGGATCCTTTGTCAAACACGCTGAGGAAGAATATCCCCATGACAAGCTTTTATTTTTGAAGAAAAAAAAGGGGGAGGATCTCTACAGATTACACACACAGAGAGATAATTAAGGAGGAGACCCTAAAAAAGAATGTAATGAAAGATGAAGTTTGGAGCAGACTTATTAATGAAGTGAATTGCACTGGTCCAGGCTGGGACCTTTAAATGTAAATAATATTAAGTCAGTAAAGGGCTGCTGAACTCTGTGAGGGTGCTCTGCCCACAGAGGGGTAGCTTCAGAGTAAGTCTAAAAGAGATCTATTTTTCTTTCATTTAATGTGTAAGCAAACCAGCTCTGGGTAGGCCTGGGTTTGGCATTTGCAGTCCATAGACGCCAGAGAATCTTAAGAAGAAGAGAACAACTGCAAGATTTGATCCCAAATCTGAAGTGAAACCCTGATACCCCTGTGCTTATGAGAAACCGTAAGAGGATTGAGCAGCTCCGGCTGCGTTACACATCTCTGAATATATTGGGGCGTACTGGCAGCAGAAACATTTGGCAAGCACCGAGGCAGTTGCTCACTCGTGCAAATGGGATTTGGCAGCTGCAGAAGAGGACTTGAGAGGGTCTGTAGGTAGCGAGGGCTGCACAAGTTCCATGAGGTCATCGCACAGCCTTCTGCGCTGACACACCAGCGAGGTGGTGCCAAGCCATCCGATCCGCCCGGAGAGCTGGCTGCAGCAAAGGGTGGCTGAGAAAAGTTTTCGGCTCCAAAGGTCTCCCGTGGTGACAGCTGTTTCGTGGGTAAGCTCCCAAATTAAGGGGCTCAGGCATTACTCGTTACGAAGAGGGCTGAGGATGGTGAAGAATTGAGGGCCAAAAGTTGCAGAAGAACTTTACCTGGAAGCTACTATGCTTGGACATATTCTCTCCAGACTCCGAGAATTATTTTAAGATCATTTAATTTAATTCTCAAACAGCTTTCCCATTTCATTCAGTTTTTTTCTCGTTTCACCATCACCTTTACACTTTTTTCTTCCTATCCTCACCATACCTGAACCCCTCAGACCGCTCCTTTCCCTTATCCTTGCACAAATATTTCTAAACATTTCTAAACCTCTGCCCAGCATTTGGGGTAGAGGGGGCAGGAAAGGAAAAAAATAAAGAGAAGCTTTAACTCTTTCTTCTGCATCTATTTCTGTCATCACCATCTACCACGTATTCAGGCCTAACATCTAACTAACAGTTCTTGCAGCTTCTGGGCACTTGGATCTCAGGACAAGGCCAGAAACCCCAGAAGTTAACAGTGTAATTATTACCTTTTCACTGCTCTCCTGAAGCTAGCCTGAATTATGCACTCCAGAGTTCTCGTGTCCTCTAAAATTCCTGGCGTAAAAGCTAATTATGCATCCGTCCCCTCTGCTGATGCTAAGTGTTGTCTCAACATCTAGCCCACTGAAATGGGAAATATTCAGATTAGATAATTACGCCGGCCTTCTCCATGCCAAATTTTAAAGGATTTATCTTCATCTCAATCTGACATTCCAGCCCACACATTCAGATCTGCAATCATCCTTCAAACAAGTTTGGCTTAAAGCTACAGGGCTCCGAATTATCCTACTAAGTGCCCGTAGCACCACAAATAAGCTCTTCGCTTTGTAAGTTAAGAAAAGGGAGCAGCATCATTCTTTACAAATTCAGGATGCCTCCGGTTCCTAAGACACTCTTGCACCTTCTCTGATCCTGGTTTTCAATAAGCTTTTTGACGACTGACCAGAAGCAGCCAGGAAATATAGGAAGGTTTCAAAGTATGGTTTTCTCAGGATATTTGTGTTCTTAAATCCCCATTAGCAAGATAGCCTCTAGAAAAAAAAAAAAAAAGGATGTAAGAAAAGCCAAGTTTCTGCAATTCTCCCATCTTTTGGAGATTATTCTTTAAAAGTAACCTCAAAATACTTCCCTACCCACTACTCCGTGCGTTTGACACAGGGGCAGCTTTCTCCATTCTTCTGGTGTGCTCAGAGCAGCTATTTTGAGGGCCCTGAGATAACAAACTGCCTTACCGCTATCCCGTTGGTTTTAGGAACGTCGTCTTGTGACAAAGCTTCTGCTGGGGGGGAAGCCTAAGGCCCGAAGCCAGAAGCTGGGGCTGAACTTGAGTTATGCTGGCATGGCAACAAAGGGGATCCAAACAATGGGCAGAGCTACAGAAAGATTTGGCGACTATCTTTGAAGGGATCCGGGCCAAGTCTGTAACAGCGCTCATTATAGCTCAAAAAAACCCTTCCACTTCACTTGAATAAGGCATTTCTCATCCTTTACCTGGTGCTTACATTCTCTCCCATCATTTTCATCCCTGAAATCCAGCTTTGTATCTGTTGGAGACAGGAGGGTGCTGGGGGGGGAGCAAACTCACATCCCACCCCCACAACGGGGCTTTCTGAAGGGTGGGAGTGGAAAATATCTGAGAAATTTAGAATGGCACTGAATTTCCTCTTTTGTCCATCTTCACTCCTTACACACGGCCTGATAATAAATTCTGATAATGAAGGAGAAATTAAGAAGGAAATTATATGGACAGTTTCCCCCAGAATGAATGAAGAAACCAGAACTATCTTTACTGCTAAACCTAAATTGTTAAAAAATAGTCTCTAGACAAAGCATCTCCCAAGTTCCTTATTTCAAAATCACAGTGTTAGGTGATTTCATATTCTACATATTGCAGACTATATATCATCTATTTGCATGCAATTGCCAAGGAGCTAAATAATAGGAAATATATTGGCTTAATCAGTTCATTTTCCAGGCCCACTCCCACCCTGGAAAAGGGAGTTTCCTTTATATCTGCAGTTTCAACGCTAGGTCTCTGTGTCTGCACTAAAAAGAGCACGTAAGTCTTTTTAATTCTTGTTTACAGTTTGTGATTTTTCAATAATTTATGATAAAAACAAAGGAATAAAGCATAAAAGATTATTATCTTTATGTGCAGCATAGCTCTATTCAGTAGTGAGTATACCTTTTGTTATTGAAATGTAAAGAAACCAGCAGTTTGTGTTGTTTCATTGCAAAGAAGCAAACACCACTCGGTTTACTAGGCAAGTTTCTACTGAAACACTTCCACATTAATCCCTCCAACTTTTTGGGAAGCATTGGGTTCCTTCCATCTAAAACAACTCTGACGTGCGTTTCCTTTTCTGACCATGCAGCACCCTTCTGATTTCCAGTTTCCTTCCCCTCTCCTTCTTTATCTCCATGAGTCCAAACACACGTATCAGAGCACAGCTAAGTAGGACACAGGAAAAGTTTATTTCGCTGCCATTTCACTGCCCTTTTCTCAAACGTGTGAATATCCTGGTTATGTCATCTATCGTTACCTCAAGCCTCGTTATTCACAGGACAGCTAGACACATCCATATCAAATTATAGGTTGTGTAGGACTAACCGTGGAAATATCGCCTGAACAAGGCTGGGTTTGTTTTACAGCAGCCCCTCACAGTGCCTCGCAGGTGGCCACCCAGCCCAGGACTCGGAGTTAAGGGATTGCTGCTGCAGTTCAGGAATGGTTTCTCCACTGCAGACCTTCAAACAGGAGAGGCAGGGAAGTCACGGCTGCTGCTTTTGGTGCTTCTGAGCACAGGAATAGAAACCCTTAAGGATGGGGTTCTGGTCTGGCCTCTACCATAAAGCAGGTGAGGAATCTATAGGAAGGGTGAGGGGGGGAAAAAAAAAGACTGAAGAGTCATGAGAACAAGAGCAATGCCAGCACCACAGCGATTGCTGGCCAGCAGGGTGCTTGGCCAGGAGGTGACAATCTGCAGCTCTACCTACCGGGGCTGATGGATAAATGAACGCTTCTGGTTCGTTTAGCAAATGAACATCACAAAAACCATCTCAGAACGGTGTCAGATCAGAGACACAGACAATTTATTTCCAATATATTTACTCGAACATCAGCCTAATTTTCTAAGGCACACTTAGTTGTTATTAGGAGCTACACGTGGTTACCCAGTATCTTTTACCCAAAGAGTTAACTGCTTTACCAACTGTTTATGAAAACATGTGAGGGGCCCACTGAACTGCAGCTCCACCACTAAAACAGGCACACAGTAAAAATACTCAACGGGAATATCTTTTCCAGCTCAATTTGTAAAGGGCAATAATGAAATAATAGAAATTACAATTAATACTTGCAAAGATACTTCAGTAACTCTAGCAATGGTATGTTTCCTTATAAGATGTCAGGTGTGAATGTCTTTGGTTGTGTTATCTAGCAACTGGAAATAGGCTGAAATTGCACAGTATGAAAAAAAACCTCCAAATAGCAATTTTTTTAATCCTCTGATTAGCAGTGATAGGCAATTGAGTGGTGAAGCCAAAAGCTGGAGGAGCCAAACAACCCCATTATGAAAATAAAAATGACTTAACTGAGGAAAGAGGTTAAACTTTACAGGCCAACAAACTCAGCAAACATTAGCATCCCAGGGCGGTTGGAAAATATATTCACAACTCCATGCAAATAATATCTACGGTTAACATCATAAGCATGAAAAACACTCTGTCATCATCGGGCCAACACTTTAATCCTGTTCTGAAATACAGTTACAATCTGTCTGCGCTGCTAGTTCAAAGGTAATCTCCGAGTTTGGCTTCTGACAAAGCTTCCCTTAGAAGAAGCATTAAGAGATGGTAATGATGGATGAAAGACAAGGGACAAGAGCTGTTCGTCTCCTCGTGTGATGTAGCAAAGCCAGAGGAGAAACAAGTCAAGGTTCTCCTAGATTAAAAATGCCAACAGAAAGTAAACTGTAAACCCAGATAATAAGCATAAATTAAATTTGTTATATATATATTTACATATAAAATGTTAAGTTGAAGAAGGTAGTGCAGGTGAGAACCCCAATCCTGGCCAATCCCTCTTACTAGCACCATATCTGAATTCATCACCTTGCAGAGCATAAATCCAACAATGTAATCCAGACAGAGCACTAAGACACCGAGGAGATATTGGTCAGAAATTTGCCTGTCTGGGGATTCTTCAAATTATTTGTGTTTGTTTTGTACTTGGTTACAGGACCTCAGAACGGAATGAGGACAAGTAGAAAACGAGGAGTTTTAAGAACTGAAATAATAGTCCAGACACATAAATTTCAATTTCTGTTCAATATTTCTGGGATGGTGAAGTAACTTTCGCTTCTAAAGACACACAGACTTATCCAGTAGAGGTGTATGAGAAAAATAAGTGACCTCCCCACAGCACACCTGTTGGCAGTGGCGATGAATATTATGTTCTGAGTATGAAAAAGGGACCAAAGTGATTGCCACATCGCCTGCCTCTGGAAACAAACAAACAAAAGAACCCGGGCTGATTCCTAAAGCAGTAATAAAGTTTATTTTCCTACAAAGATGTGTATTTATGAAGAAGCATCATTTTCCAGTATTCAGAGCTCACCATAACCACAATTAGTAATCTGCTTGTTGAATGCCGCAACCTTGCATCTGAAATAGCTTCGAGCCCAAAACTGGCACCACCACCACAGCTCTCTTAAAACTACACCACATCTCTAGGTTTCACCCTACAACAGTTGCTACAATCTTACTAAAACCTCTTTAGAGGTTTTTATCTCATCTTGCAGAACTTCAGGGTCCTTCTCATTTTACTTTTGTTAGTGAAATTTTAGGAAATAAAGCCTATTTTGAGAAGAAGGCTAGAAAAGCAAGTATTTTTTTAAGCTAGACATGCTGTAATTTTTAGATTGATGGTATCTGATCAAATCCTTCCTTGTCTACACCCAGAAAAAAGGACACCGTGTGTCAGAGAGCAAGTTTTATTGAAAGCATGCGCAGCATTCTCGGGGCTGGGTTTCAGAAAGATAAAGCTCAACGAGCAGTGCAGTTGTCCGACTGCCCACAGGTGTTCCCTAAGAATTTCAGTGGAAGCCGGGGTATTTATTTACACATTCCACTGCTGCACTGGCAACCCAAGCACAGCAGCTTTCAGCACGATATGGAGTTAGCAAACAACTTATCATGCACATTAAATGGTACTGAGACAGTGAACCAAAATAATGCATGCACACAGACTGTAAATCTTGAAATTGTCTTAACGCCCCTTTAATAGGGAAGTCTTTTTTTGTTTGAAGAGACCAACAGTCAGATATAATCCCATTAGGACATTAATAAATAAAGAAATAAATCAATAGTGACTCTGCTTTTCACAACTGGTTCCCATTGCTTTTGAGTTTTGAATTGCTTTGACAAACCAAGTTAATTCACACTACTTTTAAAATCCTTACTTTATACCAGGTTTTATCAGAGCTTTATAAGGAGTTGCAGGGTTAGCCCCGTGGCACGAAATGATTTGGTCGGTCACTCAGCGAGGAGTGCAACATCAACGGAAACAGATCACAACAGAGAACCCACACCAATTGCACGTGGGACACATGATACCAGAAAATATTTAGTATCTTTTCCCTTTCACAATTTTTTGTTGTTGGGAAGACTGCCGATTTCCCCTGCAGGCCACAGGAAGGTTATTTTGGGAAAAAAATCCGCCAGTTATCTTTCTAATGCACTGCCAGAGAGAACCAGCAGGCACAAATTTGCGCAGATGTATGGACAGGGAAGCAGGACAGCTCAAACAGCTTGTCCCACACACCCCGAAAGGTCTCTGCAAGTATGGGCACCACGGGAAGAACTGGGAGTTACAGCACGCTGCAGATAAAAACAAAACCCATAAAATCAGGCATAAAAGATGGCTGAATTGTCCCACATTATTCCTGCCAAAGAGAGCACCTGATGGAATTGGTCCCCTGCCCCAGGGGCCCATCCAACCCCATTTTCTGAGGGTGAAAGCCAACAAGAAGAGTGAATAGGAAAGGTTCTTCAGAGCACCTGATGGAGTGAAGGGGGTTGTTCCCTACCTGGGTGTGGAACTTAGAGGATGCTTGAAAGAGCGCCGGGGATTGCACAAGACTTATAATGCAATTCTTAGAGGAAAAAACAAAAAAAATCTGGAGAGCTGGGCATACTGCCTGGCTGTGGCTGTCAGTGGGTGATCATCAGCAAACATCGAGCTGGGCTAACTGGGAAATACAAAAAGGGGTTCGGGAGGCAGGTTTTGGAGCAGCCATGAATCTGGGCCAGATACTATAGAGACCAGAGGGTCTCTACACACGAAGAGTAGAAAATGAAGACGCTCAACCCCACTGTTCAGGTCCATCAAAGTCCGTTTGCTACCTTTCAGGTGCTTCACTACCTTTGCAGTGCTTACTAATTAGCTTTTCTGAGTAATACTCATTATCAGGGTAAAAAAAATAATGAATGGCACACATGAGAGAGCAGAGCCAGTCCTGCTCTGGTTACACGGGGTTAACAACCCACGCTTGAGCCTCAATACCCACCAGATACACCAAATAAAACTGCTCAGATCTTGCATTGAAGAAACTCTCAGAAACGTGAATTCCCTCAGTATGGTTAGCATTCTCTGCATGAGGCCAACAACGCATCCAAATTACAACACTTCTCTATTATTTGGGGAATCCCAACTCTCTTTGTGATGTTACCCTGGGTAACAGCAAGTTGATAAGTACTCTTCTCAAGGACACACACCTGAAGAGCAGCACTACCAACTGCCTCTTAAGATGTCAACTTTTTGAGTTTGTTTTCCATTTAAGAGACTCATTTAATGTTTGTTCCTGTCACACTCTACCAAGTAGAGCGCCAAATAATGGTCCCATTGCACAACACGTTAGTATTTAATAAAAGTTTAGGAAGTAGCACGTCACTCATAAGCTTTTAAATTCTCTCACGTTACACAGCAGTAAGAAAGAACGAGCATCTTACCGGCTTTGGGCGTTCTTAGCATTTTCATTTCCAGCCTGCTGCACTTACTGCCGCTGTTCCACGCTGTTGTTGTCTTAACTTTTGCAGTTGACTCCACAGGTTGTGTAAAATTTACAGTTTGATTCTGGCTGTGTATTTTAGAAAGCTCTGAATCACTTCCCTGTTGCTCATTTATCTGCAAAAGAGAAACAAGATCAGGATAGCAATTCCTTCGAGCAGTTAAAGGGAATTTTTTTAAAAAAGCAACCAGAAGGAATCTTAATAGACACGTGATCCTCATTATCAAACTATCTAGATAAATATATAAAACATTACACAAATATACACATCCCGGTGTTCAGAACAGTAAGTGCAGGAACACAATACCAAACACTGGTTGTGCAAGTAGTTTATGACATGATTTAATAGAAGTCTTCTACAGATAAAATTAATAAAAACTGTCGTGTTCTTTTTGGTCGATACTGAAGGTTTCAGAGGAAGTTTCTTTTAGCAAAACTGCAATTTCATTGTCATTTCATTAATAAGTATCATGTTTTCTGAAACTGCTTTTGTCACAGCATTCCAAACATTTGAATTCAAAGTCCAGGCCAACGTGCCTCGTCTGCATTTAGAATTGTATTTGGGCTCAATACTAATTACCTTTATTACCTATATTATTAATACTTATTATTTTTATTCTAAAGTCATTTTTCTGTATGCATTTCAGAGTGAGAGAAACGTATTTAGATCAAATCTTGTAAGAGCAAAGGTACCAACGTCTGTTTGAAACAGATTGATTGTCTAAGCTAGAATCGTCTGTGGTGAGCTCAATGCTACCTTTTAGTAACAACGGTGTTCAAATAGATATAATTTTTAGTGCATTGTTCAGTTTTACCTCCTTTAATTTCATGTCTTGGTCCACCTCCTTAGTTTCAGTCTTGGGACAGAGCGCATTACTTTTTCCTGGTGGTATAAACCTCGGCTTTTTGGCTACATTTCCTAGCACTTGACTTGGAGCTGCCGATCGCCTCATATTTGGTTGCACTGCTCTGGAAAAAATGAAGCAGATAAAACAACTGAAGTCAGAACAGGCTTAAATATATAAATAGATCCATAGGGAACAATAGAAACATACTTGAAAAACAAAAACAAACAAACAAAAACTTGCATAGCATAAAAGATTTTCAAATAACAATTTTAATTCATAAACATAACATATGAAAAAGAAATCCAATTGCAATGCCTTGTTTAAGTACTAAGAAAGATAAGCTACAGCAATTTCTGCAGTTGAACCTTTCATTTTTCATTTGAAAAGCCAGAAATGCAGTTCTCAAGAGCAAGAAATGCTCTGGAGATGAACGATATTGGGCTTCTTATCAAACTGCCATATCATCTTCCTTATCATCAACTGAGGTAACAGAACTAACTATTCTAAAAACTTATAATTTTGAAAAAAAAATTAGTAAAAAATGAACAAGGAATGGTGAAGTTATATATCATTTCTGGAAGTAGCACTTTGCATCAGACAGTCAATTATACAGAATCACAGAATGGTTTGAATTGAGAAGGACTTTAATTTAATTGAAAATTAAACTGTTCTGCAGCAAAAAGAGGCTGCTATGTACAGGACACCTGAGCTGCTCTGATGCAAAAGATGGGTAGTGAAGGAGGCCAAGAGCGCAAGGACAGAAAGTCGACTCTCATGTTTAGAAAAGTAGTGCCTTTGAGAACTTGATGTTCCTTGCATTTTTTCTAGTGTTCCTTTGTGGTCTAAGGAAAGTCATTTAACCCAAACTTTCTGACAGTAGAGATTTGTCCAAGTGCCTGATTTAAGAATCAGTCTCGTTTGTAGTAACACTGAATACTTGCAGGTGCAACTGGAAGGTGCAGTCTGAATACATTAGCTGTAGAATGACAAAATGGTTTGGGTTGCAAGGGACCTTAAAGCCCACCCAGCTCCAGCCCCCTGCCATGGGCAGGGACACCTCCCACCAGCCCAGGTTGCCCAAAGCCCCATCCAGCCTGGCCTTGAGCACCTCCAGGGATGGGGCATCCACAGCTCCTTTGGGCAGCCTGGGCCAGGGCCTCACCACCCTCTGCATGAAGAATTTCTTCCTAACGTCTAATCAAAATCTACGATTAGATTTGGATATTGGTCATTCCAATATCTAAGAGAAGTTTGGAATTCAGAAAAGAACGACCTCAAAATTACAGCTGAGATTACCACTCTGAACTACGTGCACTTGAACAGTGGAAGGAATGTACTCGGTGTTTTCCATTGAACTAGAAGACCATTATCCCCCCAACCAACCTCAGAACAAAATCAAGCATACACTAAAATTAATATGGCAAAGTATACCTGCAACCATTCAAATAAAAAAGCTACAATCTTAATACTTCAAACAAGAAAAAATAATCCAATAAAGTAACCCAGCAGCTCAAATGACAAAGATAAGCATGGCACAGCAATTTATGAACACACTTTCACCAACTGCAGATCCAATCACCTCCACCATCCTGGAAGTATTATTTGCATCCTGTTCCAAGAAGCACTGTGTATTACTGGGCTTATTTATTTTATTTTACACTATTCTGCACTCCAGTGGCCTACCGGGGCACAACAGCTTTTCTTTCCCAGGTCTGCACAGAGCTAGTAACAGAGCACTATTAAAACACTTTGCAGGCATGCAGACATGATCTACACTGCTGACAGTACTGCTGTCTCGGTTACATCTGCACATATTGGCATGATTTGCACATAAATGATGCTGTTTCTAGATGTAAACCTTGATGGCACAGCAGCCTCCTGTAACTGCTATTACTCCCACGGTGGCTGTGCTGTTAAAAATACGAGGGAAGAAGAGGTCTCTGTCAAGAGTTGTGGCAGCTCACACAAATTTGGCCTGCTGAACAGCACCGTTAGCACCTCACGGGATATGGGAGTAGCTCCGTCATGGTAACAGGAGGGTGGTCAAGAAATGGGCTTTCTCTACCCAGCCCTGTGGGTGACGGTGAGACTCGGTCTTTTTATAGGATTGGCGCAGGCATGGCCAGGCCGAGGAATAGCTCCAGATGCCAGCTAATTTGACCAACAACCAAATGTGCCCTTTGTAAGGAGAAAGTCACCAAGAACTGGAGTCTTTTTGTCCTTGCAATATGTTGGGTTTGGTTCTGGAGAAGCTGCTGGAGGCGACGATAACGGCGCTGCTCTGAGCAGTCACCCAACCACACCACAAGAAGCGTACCGTGAAACCACAGCCTAAAACGCCTCCCAGCTGCACCTGTTTTTGCAAGCAACGCACTCCGTGGCGTGTTTCTCTCTGCACATCTGCATGGAAAGGAAACACAGACACAAAAAGGACTGGGAAGCGGGGCAGGCTCAGCCCCACCACAGGGCAGGCAGCCACGGTAGCACCAGCCCGGGGGCTGCTCCCCACAACGCTGGAGGCTCCTGGCACACCCGAGCAGGCTGGAAGCTTTCTGGACGCGGTCAGGAAGCTGTAACACGGGAATATTTTGTATTTTTTTCCTGCAGGCAGAGAGCTGTGCCCTCGGGTGTCGGGATTAACCTGGGGGGGACTCGAATCGAGCAAGGATTTGGGTACAAAAAGCACCGCGATCGCTGCTAGCTACCCACGCTGCGCGGGTATTTAGCATTTAGCGTAACTAAAAAAACTAATTAAGGAAGCTGCCTCGCACAGGAGGCTCGCAGGAGACCCGCACCGAGCCCCGTGAGGGCCGGAGCCGCCCGAGCAGCCCCCGCTCCCTGCTCCCCGCCCGCCGCCCCTGCCCTACCTCAGGCCCGGCCGCTCAATTCGCCCGCCGCCGTCCCCCGCCGGCCGCGCTGCGCATGCGCCGGGCACCGCGCCTCAGCCAGCGCGCATGGCTCGGGGGGTAGGGAGCCGCCCTGTGCCACACTCAAGATGGCGGCCGGGCCGCGCTGGGGGCGGGAAGGGCGACGCGCTGCCGTCAAGCGGCGCTGCCGCAAAAGGGCCGTTTGCGGCGGGCGGGGCCGTGAGGCGAGCGGCGGCGGCAGGTGGGTGCTGGGGGAGCGCCCTCAGGGCTCCCTCAGGGGAATTTGGGGCATTTATGGCAGAAATCAGCCCCGTTCCGCCCCGAAAAGCGGCCTTGGTGGCTCCTCAGGGCTCCTGAAGTGCCCTGGTGCCCCTCGTGGCTTTGCTGAGCCGCCTGCGGGCAGGGCAGGGCTGTGGGGAGGGCTGTGGGAGGGGGAGCTCGGCCCATGCTGCTGTGGGAACCGGGTTGAGGGGAGAACTTGGAGGACCTGAGGCAATTCGCTCCTAAAAGCAGCTGGTTCCCCGCTGTGCCCCAAGTGGCTGTAGAAATAGCGTGTGTTGGGGCGCTTGAAGGGGTTAGTCCGCTTCTTCGGGCATCAGTGGTGTCTTAAAGTGGCCTACAGGGGCTGTGGCACTGCCATAAGGCACCCCAAAATGTCACTTCTGTGTTGCCTTTGTTGTGTTGTCTTTGGGGGAGTAGGAGCTGAAGCAGTCACATGTTAATGGCACCCCAGGGCTGGGCCCGGCACGAATTGCTTGTTCTTCCACCCACAAAAAGCTTCTGGAAGTGTGTCATAGCGATGCACGTCTTTAGTGTCATCGTGATTCTGACAGCCTTTGTCTTGTCACATAAACACTCTTTAAAAATTACAGAAACTACCCTAGAAGAAAAAAAAATGCAGGTCACTAACATATCACAGTCCTGCTTTTACAACAGAATGGTTTGCTGTGCTGGGTGTTAGGCAAGCTGTTCCTTTACGTTGCTGGGACCTGCCTACCACCTGTATTTTCTCTATTTTTACACCCACCCAAAAACCCTCTGAAGGCAGAGCAGAACACAGCTCGGGGCTGCCTTCAAGCATGCCTCTGCCTGGCAATCTGGGGTGACAGCTACTGGAAAAGGATTTCATGTCTGCTGATTGTGGCTGGGATGGAGTTAATTCTCTTTGAGATAGCTGGCATGGTGTTATGTGTCGGATTTGTGATGAAAACACATTGATAACACGCTGATGTTTTAGCTGGTGCTGAGCAGCATTGACACAGAGTCAAAATCTCTTTGTTTCCATGCTGCCCTGCCAGCAGGGAGCTGGGAGGGGACACAGCCCGGCCAGCTGGCCCAAAGGGACCAAAGGGATATCCCGTGTTGTACGAGGCTGTGCTCAGCAAGAAAGCCAGAGGGAAGTTTGCCAGGGCTGCTGTTGCTCAGAGGCTGGCTGGGGATCAATTTGCTGGTGATGAGCAGTTCCATTGTATGCTGTTTGTTTTCCTTGTGTGTTTCTCTTTGTGTTTCTTTTTCCTTGTTGTTATTTTTTTTCACTTGTTAAATTGTCTTTATCTGAACCCCCAAATTGTCTCACTGTTACCCTTCTGATCCTCTCCCCTGTCCTGCTGTGGGGTGAGCAAGCAGCTGCGTGGTGCGTAGCTGTCTGCTGGGATAAGCCACAACGCTGGGGGAGATCGTTGCACGTCGTGAGGAATTAAAAAAAAATAATTCAAGCAATGGAAAAGCGAATAGCATGTGATAGCTTCTGGTTTCTTGCCTTCCAGGTTTGGCATCTGCAAATTGCAGGTTTCCTCAGGGACAGCGGTGCTGGTAATGGCCAGGTGATGGGCAGAGCTGTGGACCAGAGAAGCCAGAGGCAAAGTAAGGTTTGGAGCTGTTAGTGGAGTGCGGGAAGGCAGTGACACCTGGTGTAAATTTAAAGTCAAGAAAGGAGAAATTACAGGGAGGGAGAAGAAATTGAAAGTGATGTAGTTCTGCGGTGAAAGCACCGAGCAAAGTGATCTGTACTGCTAGAGTGTATGGCAGCTGGCTGATCTTCTCCCTCTGCTTATTTCTTGACTAAGTACATCTCTTGAAGGGAAAGCTGCCTGTGGTCCTGGCTAAAAATGTGCCCTGACCCATCGTACAAGCAGCAAGGGTAGTGGTGGTGTGTAGGGATGTTGCTGCTCCAGCATCAGTCCTTAAAACATACCGACTGATTGCATTGTTTACCTCAGACACATTTGTCGCAGTTGTTTTTCTGTCAAGCACGAAGGAAGTTTTGGTTTCCCACTCAATAAAAACGCTCTTTCCTGCATGCTGATACTCCTGAAACTTGCTGAAATAAGCTAAACAGCGCCTCGAATATCCAGTGTTCAGGGATCAACAGAGTGTGTGCAAGCTGTAGCTGACAGCGTCCGCAATTCCCGTGGAAAAGAAACCCTGGAGCAGCAGAAATAGAGAGTTCTGCTGATATATATTACGGATCTGTGAAAGTTTTCTGAAAGCTGAATCCTCTGGGATCCACCAAACTAAGATCCACAGGCTGCTAAATGCTGACTGCGAAATCTGCCTGGGACCTTGTCAGGAGCCTGGAGCGTGCCACACGCTGCTGTGGTTAGTAGGAACAAAACACAGCACTGAAACCATAGCAGATGACGTGTTTTGTTTGGGCAGTGTACGTGCTGGCCTGTGTTATGCATGCTCCCATTGCAGGTTTTATTAACTTTAATCTTAGCAGTCACCCTGTTAACACAAGCATCTCTCACGTTCAGTAAAGATACACTTTGTTACTCAAATATTTAAGATCTTCCCAATTCCAGATTTATATTGCGTTAATGAAGAGGAACCACCAAGTTATTTTTTTCCATCCAGAGCAAAATACTACTTTAGTCATTATCAATATTACTGTAGTCATTAGAGATCCTTACTGGTCTTAACCAGGTCTAATTCAGACTGAGAGCACCCTAGACAAACAAATAAGATCTCTGACCAGCTAGCACAGATTATCTTTGAATGTTATATTGCAATTACTAAATCTTGTCCTAGGGGATTTAAGTGATGAATCCCTTTCTAATTTTTTAAGTGTGCAACCTTAGTTATGCTGTTTGTCAATGCTATGAACTTGACTGTGGTGAATTGTGTTGAATTGTAGGTTTTACAGTGCCATGCTTTTTAAAGCTTTGTTTTAATGTTTTAATGCTGTTAGGGCAGCTTTCCATTCATCAGCCGGCTGCTTAGGCATAGGACTCACTAACTTAGGAAACACAGCTGAGCCTTTTTCTTTCTAATTTTTCTTACAGACATAATAAAGCAGTGAAGAGAAACTGAAAGAAGGAAGCACTGCATATGTTAAAGATCAGAAAACTGTTTCTGAAGTATTTGGACAAAAAAAGTATATAAGAAGTAAAATCTAAAGAGGTAAGACATTTTCTTTTTTGGTTCTTTGAATTATTTAAAGATTTCGTAACTAATTAACCTATAAACCCTGAGTGGGTTTACAGAAGTGATTTTGTATGTTAAGGAGGAAGGCAAAATCTGAACCATTTTCTTTTAAGTGAACTCTGAGTTTTGCCAAATTCTAATAGGCTTTTTCTCATATCTTTTTGATGAAGGTAGATTGCCTCTTAATTTTTCTCCACAAAACTTTGAAATCAATTTAAAAGGTACTCAGTTTTATAAAATAGATCTTGTAGGAGAAGAAGATAGCTCCTCATGATTTCAGGGCTATTGTGAGGATAAGTTTTGACTTTCTTTTTTATCATAAGTTTGGGCGTTTTTCTCCTCCCCAAATATTAAGTATTTCTCTAAGCATGTGGAGATTTCATGCTCTTCCCTCTGGAGTAGAAGTCTACAATGAGTAGGAAATCTTAGGTTGCTTTTTTTTCCCCTCCAGTATGAAAGCAACGCATAAAGTTGTATGGAGTTCATAAATACAAAGTCCACTGGCTGGTGCTACCCCAGTTACTGGCTCTAAGTGTTTGTGTTGTCACCAGTACAGTTCTATTTCAGCTCTGCATTCTCTGTATTTCTACATTATGCTTCCAGGCCTTTTGTGGATGTAGCCGTAGAGAAAGAACAAAGAGGACGAAGGCAGCTTTATTTCTCTTTGTTGTTTTAATAGGTTAGAAGCGTGTGGGAAGCATGGGTTATGACATCGAGCGGTTTGTTGGCTACGTTAACGAAGGGCTCTTATGCTCCATCTGCCGTGATGTGTTAGAGGATCCGCTGCAGGCTCCTTGTGAACACGCTTTCTGTACTGCCTGCATCCACGGGTGGCTCGTTCATCACAGTAACTGCCCTGAAGACAGACAAGCGATTGATGTGTCTGTGCTACGACCTCTGTACAGGTATACAATGATCTCACTGTAAAGATTGTACGAATTTAGGAGTTTTCAACTCTTGTCATTTGCCATTTTCTGGAAACTGATGACCCGCATGGAAGCATTTTGTATTCATTATAACTAACTTTGGAGGTAGGAAGGTTTCAAAATGGAAAGAACGCTTTTGTTCTCCACCTTTTTATATCTTGAGTGCTGATAATAGATGTGTGCCTGGATATTACCCTGAGTATCTTCTACAGTACAGTGCCAAAACTTTCCCGTATCTTTTTAGAGAAAGTGGGCAATGCAGTTCCTGAGAACAAACTGAGCAATGTATATCTGATGTTTTCCTTTTCAGTCCTAAAATCAGTTCACTTTTTTGTAATTCCTGCTGTCATCAATACTCCCAGTTCCATCAGTAGACACTGCTTGGTGTTTAACTCTTGTATTGTCTAATTAATCTGGCTCAGATTAACAGTTACGTTTAAAATCTTCAGCTGCAGGCATTAAATTAACTCCGTTAGTACTCCCATTACTTCTGTCACTAATGAGAGTTTACTGCATTGAAAATTAAAATGTAACGTACACAGTTCAATTTATACATTGTTCAACTTACACATCGAACAAAAAACCACCACATTGTTCAAATTTAGAGTTCAATTTATACATTGTTTAGTCTGTACTCACTGTGGCCAGTCTGCTTTGGCATGTTTATAAACACAAGCTAAAACTTAAATGATGAATGATTAGCCAAAGTGTTTGGTGATATCTGCTGAAGTAATGAAAAGGCACAGTTGAATTCTTTATTTCTGAATTGTTTTTTTTATATTTGCACATTTGATTGTGGAGACTGAGTTTTCCATTAACATTCAGTTGTTTATTTTAAGCCTGTTATTTCCAATATTGTCACTTGAATGCTTAAAAAGAAGTAAGTACGGAAACTGATTATTCACAAGTTTTTCCAATAGAAATTTGAATTTTAGTTTCTCTTCCCAAAGTGGAAAATTCAATCTTCTCAATAATGATCAGAGATTTAAGAACAGCTATTCTTTTGTGCATAGATATATGAAAAATGATTTAAATCGTCTTCAGCTGCATTGCAAAAACAGAGAGTATGGCTGTGAAATGGTTTGTTCTCTAGAGTCCATCGACCGGCACGAAAGGGAGTGTGAATACAGCCAGATACCCTGCTCCAATGCTGGTGAGTAACATTCAAAATCAAATCCTATATAAATAAATAAAATATTCAGAGAACGTGTATTTGGCATCTTTCTGTCAACAGGATGGCAACAGTGGCCATTCATTTCTAAACAGAAATTTAAAACTTTTGCATGATCTACTCTTTGCAGAAGTATTTTTAAAGGCAATTTATTACCCATTTATGGCAATCATGATCGTTAGCAACAAACTCTTATCCAAGAACTAACCAAAATGAATGAGAGTAATTTAGACATCTGAAACTCTCAAAACGGAAAGACAAATTCATACATCCACAGAAAGCAAAAGAAATACAGTACTATAATAATACTAACTTTGAAATCCATCGATATAATAGCACCTACAGAAGTCAAACGTGTATAGGTCACAATTTATTAAGCTAGTTGTCTGGTGCACGTGCAGCCACTCACTGTCTCCTGGATTTGACAAAATTATCTTGGAAATGAGAATTTTTAACTAATTTTTTATTTGTTAAATTGATATGTTGGTCTTAAGGCCTTTAAAACAAACCCAAGCTTCCTGAGGAAGAAACATACCATGAAAAAGAAGCGTACTGTTAAATTTTCCCAGCTTACTCCATTCACAATGTTGCACACTCCTAGAAAAACTTAATTTCTAATTAATGATGTTAAGGGTGTAGTTAAGTCTGCCACTATAATTAATTATGAGAAGATTAAGTTGCTAGCGTTGCTCCTGTGGAAGTTATAACTTCTCTCAGCAGTGACTGTTGCAGGTGCTTCAGATTACTGACAGAGTTACAACATCTTGTGGCTGCTGCATGGCATTCAAGGTGTGAGCTCTTCAATTCTTGCTCAAGAGTGCACAAGAGTGTATTTTGACTACCTCAATTACAAATCATTGCAGTTATTAATAAAGCTCTTCTGGAGGGCTCTCTTTTGCAGTTTCCTGTTATGGTTTGTTGGCAAGTTTCATTGCTCTGTTGTTTCAGTTTTCCGGTATCTAATTTTATCCCAAAATGAAATAAAAGGAGCTATAACATACGCTATAGCACACAGTGCCTCTCAGATTCAAAGCTAAGACCACAAGTTGCAAGAATTAGTGTTAAATGTAGCAAAAAGCTATGTAGTGTTTATTTCTGCTCTTAATCACTACCAATTTGCAAAATTTGTATCCTGACATTTCTGTGGAAATGCTTCTATTTTTGCAACAGATAGTAAAAGCTCAGAAATAATTGTTCTTGCTTTTTGTGGCTTAGTATGTTATTCATAGGACCAACCAATGGCTAGGAAAACAATCTCACCTGCTGTTTTACACTACCTGTTCTAGGACCCTTTTTTTTAAAACTTTGATACATTTAAAGAGAAAAGAAATGAAAAACACTGAAGGAAAAAAAAAGAAAAAGAAAACATTTGCGTTCTTCTTCAATTCCAAATATTACAAGCTGCTGGTGTCTTAGCTTGGCATCAGTGTTGTCATTGCTGAAGCTGGTTTAATGCCAGACCAGTGGCAGAAAACTTTACCAAAAAAACAACAACAACAAAAACCCCTTCTTAATCAGTACTTCTGATTAATTGATAAATGTTTTAATAAGACTTTGAGAGTCTGCATTAATTCTAGTAGTTACGTTGTAGCTATTGAACTTAATATTCTAAAGAACTTGCTTTTTTCACTTCTTAACAGATTCACAGCTGCTTACCTCAGGTTACTGTCATGCTATTAATTATTTAAATGCTGGTGTTGTAAGTGGTTGACTTCATCTCCTTGTTTCCTGTTCAGGCTGCACCATTCAGGTTGAGCGGCGCAACCTTGATGTTCACCTGGCAGTGTGTGAATATCGGAGCCGCGAGTGCCCCAACGGCTGTGGTTACACCATTCTCAGCGCAGAAGACACGCAGCATAACTGTGTAGCCGAGCTAAGAACTGAGCTAGAGCTACTTCGGTACAAATCTTCTGTTTCTTTGCTGTTTATGTTAGTCTGGGCCTAAAATTACTGCATAAAGCACTTCAAATGCTAGCACGGGATTCTGGTATGCGTTACATAGTCTGTTCATGAGTTGATATTGGTGGGCCAGGGTGTTGTTATTTGTCCGTGCAGACTTTAAATTCCTACTGTTTTGATTTTCTTTTGCTGTTATTTTTTGTCCACGTTATTACAAATCCCAAAATACCATTGATTGCAGTTGAACGCAACAGCGAGCTGACTATATAAAATGACAAAATACCTACCAAGAACTGGGCTGAAGTTAGAAACTTTATTTTTCCATTGGCCTGATACAGACACAAGGTCACATTATTTAATAATTTAGTTTATAAATTTACAAATTCTCCTGAATATAAAAATCTCTGATTATTTTTGGACTGGTAGGTTAATCTCACAGAGTCTAATTTTCAATTTTGATAAAAATCATGCTTACCATTTGGTCAATACGCATCCTCTTGCCAGCATTTTCTTATTTCCTCTTATATACTTTAAGATAAATATGCTTATATAAGTGTGTTTTTATTTGTGTGTGTTTTTCTGTAGCTTTTCCTTTCCATGATGTTCCAACTGGGTTTTTTGGTTTTGTGTGTTTGTTTTCCACATTCTTTCCTGTCTTTTATCTTTCCACCATGTCTTGTGTTCTTGACTGTTGTGAAATCTGGCTCAGATCTGTTTTAAATGCCTGGAGGCGGGAGGAATTCAGATATCTGGTTACCGACCCAAACAAGGTTACTGTAGTAACAGCTAGTTTTTGGCTGTGAGTCTGTGTGAGCGATTAGGTTATGCTCACTTATTGCCATCGTTTAGTCTCCACCATAAAAGTGACAAACTGCCATGTTTAGCAAGCCAGTAATATTCACACATTATCCTGACTGCGTGTGCTTAGTAATATCAAGCAAGCATACACTACAAGTAAAAGGCAGTAAATCATTTAAGGTCATAAATACAAAAAGATCATAGAATTATTTCAGAAATATGATGTATTTTTTTCCCTGTGTAGGCTGTCCAAGGTCAATGTGGTGCCCTCTCAGCAGAATACACTTTTTTTTTTTTTTATGCTAGACTTTTTTTTCACCAGGACATTCCATCAGGAAAAAGGAATAACACTAAACACGGCATGATAAGCAGCAAGAACGTGTCACTGGAAACAAATTTATAGATAATGCTATCGTGCCTCCAGAGAGGCATCCTCTAGAGCATGATGGGAATCAGATCTGGCTATCTGCCTGCAAGAAGGCTTTGGGGAATTTGAATTTTATTTTTTATTTTTCTGTGTGAACAAGATGTAAAAAGGAGAAATACTTTTTTAGGTCAGAAATGATCTGCAGAGTGGAGGAGGCAAAGCATGAGATGGAGTCAAGGTTAGATTCACAGAGGAGGCACATGGTCCAGAAAGAGAGCATTCTGCAGAATGAAATCGAAGAACTGAAGGTAAATACGATTCCCTCCCTCCTTTCCCCCACCTTTTCCCCGAAGAGACTAGCGTTTTGCTCTCCCAGTAGCAGCCTTTTCAGAGTCTCAGATAGATGGGAGTTAAATCAAGGATGGGAAGCAAAACAGATGTTAGCATAATGCTTTGCCTAGGCTAATCAGCTCTGAGAAGCAGCCTGAGTGTTGCTTTCGTGCAGTTTATCTACTTCAAATTCATTTGGAGCTGGCCTGGATACCTCTGTACAAGGACTGCATTGTTGTTTGTGCATGTAACACATCAGCAGATCATTCTGAAACCCGTTTTCAGTGTCTAAACAAAGGGCATACATCACAAATCAAACGTAATTAAATATTCTGCCCCTTTTTTGGTGCTGTTCAAAGTGACTTAATCCAGTGCTGCGCTGACACAGAGCCCTGCTGCAGACAGTGGTATTTATGCTAGCAGCTGTGGTCAAAAGGTTGAGAAGTTGCACTGTAAATTAAATCAAATAACAAGCAAAGCCATGTTATCTTTTCACATATCCAGTTCTTATATCATCAAATAATGATTATTAAGCTCCAAAGCAGTGGAGATGCTTCACATAATAAGCTTTTCTTTTTTGAGGGATTTGAGTTTTAAATCCTTGAAGAATATATCAGAACGTAACCAATCCCTTACTTTGGTAGGGCTCTTGAGATAGAAAACTTAAACAGCAACTGGATAAATCCACTTGCTGTTTAACATAGTTCATGAGAAAATTTTTGCACTTGTAGGAAAACTGGTTTGGAATTTTTGAAAAAAGACCATCTAATAAGGTTAATGCTGGGTTGTGTCTTAAATTGCTTACGTTTCCTCTGCTATCAAAACCAGCGTTGCTTTTTCTTTATAACCCACCACACTTACAGGCATGAACAATCTTAACACCATCACTAGGGAAGAGTTTGTTGGTTGCAGGAAGTTTGTATTTGTGTTTCAGAGTCAGATGTCCCGGATGATGTCAGATGTCCGTTCCCTGATGGCTGCAGGAGAGGCAGCATCGCCAGGAGCTGGAGCAAGCAGAGCTGGAAAAACGGGAGTTAATGGAGCTGCTGAGGGGGCTGCAGAAGGACTGTCGGTTAAGCACCACAGAGGGAAGCAGGAAGCCAACAGCCTTCCGCCCACTGACACGACTAGAGAGTGCAAAAAGGAAACCCAGGGAAGTGACAGTTATCTAAACAGAAGTAAGCTCAAGAAGCATTTTGTTTTTCCTAATTTCTGTGACCATCTGACAGGTTTTTTTTAATTCTCCGTGAATGATTGGTGAACTTCATATCATTTCTGATTTGTTTGCTTTCTTTTTAAGCCTGGATTACAGTTTTCTGTCCTCTTGGGCCATAAAAATGGGAGAGTTTTCTCTTACAGAACACTGGGTATTAAACCTGGTAATCTTCACAGATGTTTGTAGCTCACGTTTTCCTAAAAAAGGAGGGAAGAAAACTTGATTTCTGTCTCTTCAGTGTGTCATTTACAGAACTCTTTGTACCATGAAAACTGGAATCTTTTAAAGTCAAGGATACTTAAAGGTCTTTTCTTCTCTGGTCTATTAGAGTCCGTTTCAGTCCAGTTTATGCTTATACTTGAAACAGGGGGGGGGGAAAATGTGATTTATCTGTAATGACATTTGGGATGTACTTAATTTGGGGGAAAGTCAGCAACAGAAATTAATAGACTTTGTATCATCTGTAGGAGGTACATCTCCGAGGTGAAAAGAAAGCACTTTAAATTCTAAATCTACTGCTGTGTAACAGCTTCAGGTGAGCTTGACTTACTTCCAAGCTTCTCTTACCTTCCCAGGCTGATACAGACTGCAGGGCTATGTACCAGACCCAAGGTAATCGTGTTACCTAAAACCTGTTACATAGATCTGTGTGCGACATGGAGGTTGGGGGAGGGGCTCTTGCATTTTATTTAATAACTTGAGCTTTTCTATGTGAAAGTATTAGCTTTCTACAGGGTCCTTGAAGCCTAAATTCAGCTTATTCAGCACTCGATATTTTTTAAAAAACATATAAATGCTTTGAGAGTGGTGGTCTTAACCTGCTGGGCAGCTGAACGCCACCACAACCACTGACTTCCCTCCTCAAAAGAAGGGGGGGAGAAGGAAGTAGGAATCAAAGAAAAAGGCTCACATGTTGAGATGAGGATGATTTAATTAAAGGGGAAAGAAAGTGGGGAAAAAAAACAAGCTTCCTTCTGCTTCCTTCCCCTTTCCCAGCTCTTATTGCTGAGCGTGACACCACGTGGCAGGGATGTCCCTGCCCCACCTCTCGCCCTCCTGGTTTGGGGGTGCTGGAGGGAGCCTGGGGGCGGTGTCAGCGCTGTAGTGGGGTTTTTCTCCCTCCAAGTGCAGAGCTTTGAGTAGCTCAGGTTTTCTTTTGGCACGTTTAAGGCTATTTGAGCATTAATGTCCACAGCAGAGGAACGTTTGCATGGGGGCTTGGACTTCGAATGTCTTAGTTCTCGAGTCGCAGCCATGGCAGAGCTGGGATTTTGCAGCAGACTGACAAATACTGGACTGAGGGGATGTATCCCTGTAAGGACTGGGGTATGAGTGAGAAACCTGTACAGCTCGAAGACTTTTCTCTAAACTTCTCACAAAGCCTGTTGGCATTGTTTTCAGACCTATAACTAAGCCATATTCTGCCCTCTGGTGCAGCTCTTCAGTGGAATAGCTGGGGGAGAGCCTGGCCTCCTGTTCACTGAATGTGCTAAATCAGTTTTTGACCTTTCAGGAAAGACGTGTGCAGGTGCAACAGTCTTAATAAACCAATTCTCTAGCTTAGAAAGCAAATAGGATACTGTGCGTGCTTTGCTGTCACTCAGAGCAAAGCTTTTGTGGCTAACACCGTAACCAAAGAGAGAGACAGCAGCCTTCTTCAGCACATACACTACATGAGAAAAACTTGTGGCCAGCGTTCTCCTCATTTCAGGCATTAATAAATCCTTGTAACCTGGTCCTTCAGTGACACTGAAACAAATGCACATGTTCAGTTCTTGTATGCTGAAAATCTAACACGAATAACTCTCCTGTAAAACCTCTTTCTTTTTTCTGACCGAAAACAGTCACAGGAAGAGCTATGACCAAATGTTGATTTGGTTTTCACTTCACACTGTGTGTATTCCAGATTAAACTCCACTCACTGACAGCGCTGAGGTCGTTCTAGCTGCCTCTTCCAAGTCCTGACATAACACATCTCTTCAGCAGCTGTATGTAATGAGGTGGGACAGGGAAACAGTCGCTGTGATTTGGGGATGATCCCCTTCCCTCCCACCAAGCATCCAGTGGTCATTCCACGTCCGTCGGTGTGAGTACTAAAGCTGTAGGTAGAAACTTAGAAAGCTGTGGTCATCTCGTGTTTTCCGTGATTTTTGTGACCGTTTTGGCTTTCACACTGATTTTTTTTGAAGCTTCTTAGCCTCACCAGATCTCGTGCTAGTAGAATCAGGATGTTTTTCTGTGTTCTATAACCGTGTGATTCTGTGATGTGATTTTAATCTACCTTGCTTAATGTGAAAGAAGAAAATTCCTTCAAAATCCTACGGAACTCAGATGAGCTGGAGCATCCGTCCCAAAGTGGAGGGCAGGAACGATCACCCCATCCTTTCCATTCTGACCAGGGAAAAAAGCAAGTCATTAGCCCTGTGCTTTTTTTATAACAGGATTTCTGTTTGTTTTGAAGGATTTCACTCACTGATTTCATGACTGAATTCTTTCTGGTGTAGGAAGTAGGGTTTATTTAGTATTTACTTAGCATTCGGTCTGCTCTCTGTCCCTTAATTGACACAGGTGGAGGGAGCTGTGTGAGGAAGCACGCCCTGGGTGGTGCAATCCCTGCAGCTTCCATTTGCCAGCTCTGGAGAGCATTACACGGCATTAGAAAAAAAAATGAGACTAAGTCCTTGTCCACAAGTGAGTACTAAATGCAGTAGTACCAAACCTGCAACGTCCTCAAACAGAAGGCACAGAGAGCCCAGTGGTAAGTAAAGTACCAGAGGTTACAATGAGTTGAGCAAATCCTTACCCTACATTAAATTAAATGAAAAATACTAAGAATGAATTTAAAGAAACTAACACTAAAGTGAGTGATAAGTTCATATTTGAAAGAAAACCAACATTTACATATTTATTCTGAAGAGGCCAGTTAAAAATACCTTTAAATTAGTTCCCTTAAATTAACTTCTCAACTTGAGAGGTCAAATTCAAAATACTGCTCTCTCTGCTTTCTTTAGCGTTAAAGCTACCTTCCCTGTTTTCTTGCTGTCTTTCCAAAGCAAAAATTTGTCAGAAGCCTCAGCCAGTGTGGACCTGTGCTGCTCAGATTATTTGGAAAGGGGATGATGAGTTGGGAGCCCTTCTAGTAGGGTTAGCTGAGATTTGATGAGACTTAAAATTGAGGCCTCCCCTGCATCTGAGTCAGCTGCAAGACAGAATTTCACCAGCCTTGCTCATTAAGATGACCATTTTTAGTTCGTATTGAATTAACAGTCCTGGGTGAGGTTAATTTAACAGCACAGAATGGGTGAGGTTGGCAGGACCAACAAGTTGACCAACCAAAACATTGACCTCAGGAGGCCAAGAGCAGGTTGCCCAGCACCATGTCCACCTGGCACATACCTACACAAGAGTTTGTCAGGGCAGGAGGGAAGGGAATTATATATCCAAGCAAAAAAAATAATACAGTGATCTCTTTTGACCAGAAAAATGTGGTTTTTTTATCTCAACTGTTAAGTGTTTTTAGGAAAACGTAATGCATTAATAGCCCCTAGTCTAACAAATTAAATTTTCCAGACTGCTGCCCTCTCGGATGGTTCTGGCATGGTGCTTTTCTACAGCTGTTTTCCTTCCAAGTGCTGGGTAGTATTTCAGAGGAGCAGTACCAGCCTTTCCTTTCTCGCGTACTGCTGAGCGGAAGAGGTAGGGTAGGTCAGGGAGATGTTACAGGGTTGAGAGATGCCTTGACAGAGACCTACACTTCTATGCAACTTTGTACTAACAAATAACCACTGACTCGTCTTCCAGCATTATGGTTCACTGCCAGCCTAGCTACGTTTTCTACCTTTCTATATACCTGGATAAAGCAGTGCTTAACAGACCTTGATCTGTACAAGAAGCAGTATTTGTATCACTTTGAAGTACACTTTGTATAAAAGTTGAACTAATAAAGGATTATACTGTAATTAATGCCATTTGGGTCATTTCTTTCTGTTACAGAAGTTTGAATATCCCCGTTGCTTGGCTGAAATAATTAGCCTGCTGCCTGCACCACGCAGGAGTTCCCGAATAAACCACACTATAGGGGCAGTGCACTGAAGCAGTTAAGGCCATGTTACCAGTTGTGCATCATTTTGCCAAATAGAGCAAGAACACAGCACTGAAGAAAGCAAGCGTTAGGTCAAGCAGTACCCCCTTCTCATGGATTTTCTCCTGCCTGAACTCAGAGTTCGTGAATAGGATAAGCAGACCTTTTTGAAGGAGGGAAGAGCTAGCAAAAGCTGAAAACTCCTAGACTACAGGAACATGACAATCCAGTCCTGCACAGACAGCATGAAAATAAACTGACACAAAGGGGAAAAAATCAATTCACCATTCATCAGAAAGCATACACAGCTTGTCTCACCCTTATCCCACAACCTCAGCCTTTGTCTGTGCTTGACTGTGCCATTAACTGAACCAAGGTAATTTCAGCCAGAACAGCCTTTATTGACCACCTTCTTTCCCTACCACGCACTCTCCGGCACCAGCTCTGTGTACTTAGCCCCAAAACCACAGGAGGAAGAATTGTATTACCGTAGTGCATTGTGGATGGGTTCTACTTTACTTGCTCAGTGTTTTGCTCAGTGGGTAAGTGTAGGGATCACTAAACAGGGTTTTGTCATTGTTATTAGCTTCCACTGCTTTAGCACTCCATGTAGGAAACAGAACTTGAACATTTCATTTTCGGGCATGGTATAAAAAGCAAAATTTAATGCTTAGAATGGTGTTTAATCATGGAAGGATTCCAGTTTCAAGAGTCAAACCAAAGAAGTCAGTTTTAAACAGCATTATTTCACATTGGATTTATCCAGGAAAGGAACCGCTTTGCAGTGAAGGGCTACAGAACTAAATGCGTTAAGACATATACTTCTTTTTCCAGTTTGACTAAGTTTACAGATTGCATACATCTTAAACAACTTAAGCAACCCTTTATTTCCTCCTAGTTTGAAAATGATTAGTGTGACATGCCATATATTTTAAACTTTCAAGAACAAATACTATATATGTACATATTTATTCCATGCCTGACACTTTTCATTTCAAATTCCCTGACAGAAAACGAATGATTCATATCCCTGCTAGTTTCAAACACAGTAAAGTTTCCAGAAAAAAAAAACAAAGAACCTTCAACACGTGGTCTAAAGGAGCAAGTCAGCTTGAAAAATACTGATGCTGCTCCTTAAAAAAAAAAAAAAAAAATAGCATTAATAGCTGTAATGTCTGAGAGCTCCACCCATTTCAGTCATAATTGCAGTATTGGTCAGATTACATCTTTGTGTTATTTTTACCGTTCAGAAATTTGATTTTTGTTCATGTCACTTTACACAACGTTAAATGTTTAAACCTTTGTGATCCGGTATTATTCCCTTTCACTGCACCCAATCAGCAGAAGCTTACTGCTCTCACGGGCTATGCCCGCTTTGTGCACAGCCCTCCAGCGGGGGGACGTTACGGCCCAAAGTCTCCTCAGAGAAAGCGTGCACAAAATGGTTCAAATAGAACACGTCCTTATTTAGCCAACCAGCATAAAGGTAAAAAAAAATCCGACTTGAAGTATGATCATATTTTAGAAACAATTCAAATGGGTGGTTAGTTTGATTCCAAACAGACGAGCTGACCAGAAGTCAAGATTACTTAAAACAAGGACACTGGCACTGGGCTTTGTTTAAGCAGAAGCTGACCCCTTTATAGCACTTCCACAATGGCAAGAAACCAAAGCATAAGTGACAATCAAGCTCAGCTGACAGCGGAGCTTGTAAAAAAAAAATCAAAATAAAAATGGTGCATGGCCTTCAGTAAGAGCTACCACTCCTCACCCCATCCAAAAATGCAGTGAAGGATGATTGAGAACTGGTTACTTCTAAGAAATCCCACGGAGCTCAGATAACACAAGTGTAACATGAGAGTAAATTCAGAGGCGGATCTACTGGTAACATCTCTTCATGAATTTCTACATCTCAAAAGTTTTTCTTCTTTGCCATGTATCTAAATATTACAGAAACAAAAATCCAAACCATCTATTCAAAGGGAAAGTTTAACTTTACTGCTCGGTTTTCCATGCCTGTGCCCTCTCCTCTGCTTCAGTCAGCAGATCGGCAGGCAACCATCATGAACTCCAGACTCCCAACATTTCACCTTAAAGCATCCATACTCTGCTTTCCAACAAAGTGACTTCTGCTCCTGATGCATGAACTGGAGTTGTAAATACTAGAACGTTCTCTTACTCATTGAAGAGAACGACGCATTTTCATCGATTTTTAACAGGAACAAGATCTTACCCAAGCATCTACTCATGTTACCAAAAGCATACAACAAAACCCATATAAATTACAATTATGTTTGCATTCTTTCACAGATTGATTCATTTCAGTCAATCTTCTATCACCTGCTACTTCAACTGCTCTCAGACGTACCTCAATCATTAACAACTGAGACTGGCTAAAACAAGGGCTAGTGGCTCTAAACCTGAGAGAAAGAAACTAGAATTGCCTTACATAGATTTTTTTTTTAATTTTCTTGCAGTAATAAGTCACACACAAAACACCTGTACCTTTCTTTTGGCACAATGATTTTTTTTTTTTAAAAGTCCTTCAAGTCAACTCAACGAGGTTCTTTACTGAATGTTGTCTACTGTCCACAAAAAAAAAAGTTAAAACATTATTTCAAAAGGAACAAAAAAAAATTTACAATTGTACACAAAAAAGTCTTGGATTTTATTGAAATTTCAAGTCTTGTATCAAACAAAAACTCTTCTTCAGACAAAAATATTCTCTTGGTGTCCTCCGGATCCCACCAACTCTGAATTGGTCCTTTAGTGCCTCCGTTTTCTTTGTCATCTCACAGAAGTCCACGCGGTTGGGCTGTTCCGTTAGGTCTCATTTTATCGCGTGAAGGAACGCACATGCCGACCTCTTCCACTGCCTCCACTAACAAACTTCCCTCTTGAGCCACCACTGCTACTACTATTAGCACTTGTCCAAGATGGTCCAATTCCTCCCCGGCCTCTGGAAGCACGATCGCGAGGACTCGGTCGGTAGCCTTAAAGCAAAGAAAAGTATACTCAGTTGGAAAAAAAAAAAAAAAAAGCCTAGGCGTAGCAGGCGCTGTGAAAGCATAAGAAACGAAATCAAGACGAGACACGAACTGGGTCTGTTTTCTCCTTTCAATTTTCACCTTTCTTTTAGGCAAGCGCTTTTGTTTTGATTGGCTCTGTAACTACCGCGTAGCTACGAAGACAACTGAACTGCGAAAAACCTGATTGCAAAATTAAGATTCTGCGCTCAAGCGTTCAATTCAGCAAGTCTTACGGGTTACAGGACAGTTCTTACGACAGTACGGGTTTGACAGTCTCAGTGACAACTGTTCATATATGCTTAAAGCATTTGCTGAATTTCAAGGTGTCTGCAGCATCCTTGCACGGTTTCATTTGTAAAGCAAAAATGAAATTCAAGGAATTTTCTATAGTTCGATGCCCATATGAATACCATGTACCTGCGGAACTTAATGGTCTCAGTGGTGGCAGTGGACCCCTGTTAAAATTGCTTTGACCACCTCTACTGTCATTGTAGGTTCCTCTGGGCGTACTCTGGGCGCTCCAACTTGAGCCTCGAGCGCCTTCACGGCGACTGTAATTTCCTAGATATGGGGAGAGAAAAAACGCACTGCTCTTGAGCAAATCTTTTTTTTTTTTTTTCCATTTTAATCCTTTGTGATATTCAGGGTGGATAAACGTAGCATTTACATAACTCAGACAGATAATGCTACTCTGCATCAACTTACCCTCACTATTTTAACTCAAAGTGTAAGTTATTTTCCCCTGATCCTGTGCATAGTACAATATCTACCTTCCAGACATGAAGTCAAGCTTTAAAAACATTCACATTAATTCACATTATCTAGTGTACTGAGATAGACCCCTATACTTTAAGGTAAATAATCCTACACTTTACCTTAAAGTATATGTAGCAGTGTTTGTGGTAAAGTAAATCCTAGTATGTATAACTTTTATAAATTAAAATATTTGGTTTCCACTGTGCAGATTTGTCTTAATTGTCAGGTGGAAAGGAAAGGAATGCAACCTTGTCTGTATATGAAAAAACTTAGCACTCTGTAACTAGAATCTCCAGGTTCAATCAAACTGCACCTTGCTCCTGTCAGAATCTTCCATCCTTTTATTCAAGCCCCATTTAAATCCAGAGGTGGATTTTGAGGTTTGATTTCAGGAACTACCACATCAAAAATGGTAGGGAGGGCTTTGTATTGTCAGTGTATGACTGCATCTGTGAAACACTTCAACAGTTGCTATACACAAAACCGTGACATCAGAAAGAAAACGGCTAACTCTTTGTAAGAGAGAAGAGTTTAGTTCAATTCCACAGCACATGAGAGAACCTTTTTAGTGCCAAACAACTTCTTTCCTTCCCAGATACACTGGGACCAAAACATCACATGCCAGGGGTGATTAATTGCTGGAAGATCGGGCTAGTATTACCGAAGCATTTTAAGCATTCAGTTACTACAACTCTGATAGAAGAGCAAACGTACCTTTTGAAGCAGGTGGGGTAAAGAACCTGTTCTGGCTGTGAAAAGCTCCCCGTCCTCCACGATTCCCTGAGAACCCACCACGTGAAGAAATCTTCTGGGACACTTTCGGTGGCCTTTTGGCTGGTGGTATCCCGTCCGGAGTGACGACTTCTTTGCTCTCCGCAGCAACAAAATCATCCACGTGCATGGAGGGCGGCCTGCTGGTGTTCTGCTTTCTCTGACGGAAGATATCATGCGGTCGGATTCCTTGTCCAAATCCTCCCCTGCCTCTTCCTCTCGGTGGCGGCACAACGTGAGCTCTCTTTGCAGGCTCTATGTATTCAGATTTCCCACTGTCACGACAAACCACAGTTTATTTAATTAACAGAAAAATTTATTAAGTCAAATATTCTTCATATTGGAGACACCATTTAAAAGGTATTCAACATTTTGGGAATATACAAAAAAGTGCTAAACATACTAATTATTTACTCATTAAACTCATCTTACCTTGAAGTTATGAAGGTCTCATGCTTGTGCTTGCCAAGTTTGAAACCTTTTGTGGTTTTTGTCCGGCCAGGGGATGATGGTTCTGACAAAAATGACCTCTCCAACTCAGCTTGCAAATCGAAGTCACTGCAGCCCTTCTCTGACAGCTCAATTAAGTCAACTTTCACCTGCAGTAACAGAGGGTGTTTTATCACAACAATCATCACTAGCACCTCTGAAGAAGAAAACATGCTGCACCAGGACAGATGAGATTCAGCAAGGGTCCCAAAACTACTCTGGAGGTCCTCCTGCTAGAGGATCCTCTCCCTTTTAATGCAGTAGCGTGGCTCAATTAAAAGCAGCAGAAATTAAACAAAAAGAGCAGCAGAACTGCAGCAAAATTGTCTTAAAGGTTCTAAGTTAAGGGCTAAACTTTCAAGTCTGAATGCCTGTCTTGTCACTAAATGACTTACGGTAAAGCACTCTTAAGCTACAGTTCCAGAAATTTATCAGTGCTGCTTTTATATGGGAATGAACAGTTTGGGTTTTGCTTAAAAAATAAAAAAGTGTCTGTGCAATATTAAAAAGTAAGGCTAAAAAAGGAAGGCAATGAAGTCAACAGAAAGTAACCAAGCTAAGGCATTAACAGCTTAGTTTTTAAAAAAGTTATTTGTGAAAACTTTGTGCATGTAGTTCCTTTTTTTTTTTTTTTTTTACTGTCTTTTTTTTTTTCCCACCCTTGTTCACGTCAGAGCAAAGATTTTGAAACAGAGGATAACTATCAGGCTGTTCGAATATTGCTCCAAGGACAGAAAATGAGCAAGGAAAAGAGAAGATAAATCCTATTCCTTGTTTAAGCTTAACACAAATTACTGAGAAGACCCAGCAGCAACACAAAAGCAGGTTAGGACTGATGCAACAACTGCAACCCCCTCCTACATCAGAGGGCTACAGAAGGTGCCAATTCTTTGGCTACTTCCACGTGAACTTGGGAGGCGTTTGATGACAACCTTTAACAAATGCCAGCCCCCCTTTATGTGGGTCAATTTACAGGGGTGAGCGAAGGAAACAACGCTACTAGCTCAGGTTAACCCTGATATTTAAATGCCCTTCAGTAACGTTGATGAAGCCCCTTACCATATCCAGGTCAGTCTCAATTTCTTCAGCCTGGAAGGGTGAGAACCACATGGGCTTCAGCTGGTCGTCCATCACGTCTGCCAACACGTAGGTAGTCCTGCAATGAGACAGATGTCTGATGCCTGTGGGATTATGAACTACGGCCAAACGCAAGCACGAGCAGCACCACGGAACCCAGGGGAAATATTGCTGCCCTATCCTTGATAGTTTTATGGAATTAAATACACTAGGACTAGTAGGGAGTAGCAACATCTCTTCTATAGAGATCCTATTTGTAATATAAAATGCATAAATGATTGCATTCTATTAAATAAATCACAGGCTGTACGCCCACACATTTATCTGCTTTACCTGTTGTTAAACAAATTCTGAAGAGAGTCTGGTGCAGAAAGAAGAGGCTCCACATCTTGGTCACTCAGGGGACAAGAATCACCTGCTGATTCCAACATTTGCCTGACGCCAACGATGTTGTCCAGCAAGGATTCAAGGCCATCGTCTTCCTTAGAACGATCCTAAGTCAACACATTACAAGACAGAATTTGTTCCCCTCCTCAAAAAAAAAATTTTTTGATAATTATTTATAAAAATACTACATGAAACAGGATTCCTCGTCCTTTATTACAATAACAGTCTTCTCAGCAGTAGCCAGTGCTTTCTCTTTTGTGCATTCGCTGCCTTTTATCACACAGCTGTCTATGCTTTTATGGTGTGTAAATACTCCCAGCACAAGGGGATCCCAACCCTACCTGAAGCTTCTTAAAACAACAGCAACAGCTATTCTCAATTCTGCAAGGTATGCTACAAAAATGTACATCCTTCTCATCAAGAAGTCTACATTGTTCTAAAATCAGAGTCAGATACCAGATTGCAATGTGAACCCGATTATCCAAATTCTTTTACCATAACATGTTTCTCCAGATCAAGCAGTAGGTTTTCTGGGGTTTCCTCCTTGCTCTGCAGAAGATGTTTCAACTCTGCAGTGGTCAGACCCAGCGTTCTGCCTGGGTGAGATCCATCTACTTCCATCAGGCTCCCATCATCTCCACAGCATCCCTGGAAAACATGAGGGATGGGAAATAAGTAGATATTTATTATACTTCTGGATGGCAAACCCCTTAGAACTCAAACAAATTAGAGAAATCAAAGGTAGCAAATTTATTCTGCATATAATGCAAAGTATTTTTAATTAAGTCCATTTCCATAGGCTAGTTCAAATGCTGCACCAAGATGAATCCAATCCTTTCCCATATAAGCTCAGGTTTGTATCAGAGAACTAACATTATTTTAAACGTCTTTCTATACTACTTGTTAGTAGTTCTTATATACTACTGCATTTTAGAATCATAGAATCATAGAATATCCTGAGTTGGAAGGGACCCTTAAGGATCATCAAGTCCAACTCTTGACACCGCACAGGTCTACCCAAAAGTTCAGACCATGTGACTAAGCGCACAGTCCAATCTCTTCTTAAATTCAGTCAGGCTCGGTGCAGTGACCACTTCCCTGGGGAGCCTGTTCCAGTGTGCAACCACTCTCTCTGTGAAGAACTTCCTCCTGATGTCAAGGTTAATGGAGAAAAGGTCTCCTGCCTCTCGACACCCCCTTACGAGGAAGTTGTAGACTGCGATGAGGTCTCCCCTCAGCCTCCTCTTCTCCAGGCTGAACAGGCCCAGTGCCCTCAGCCGTTCCTCGTACGTCTTCCCCTCCAGGCCTTTCACCATCTTCGTAGCCCTCCTCTGGACACTCTCCAACAGTTTCATGTCCTTTTTATACTGTGGTGCCCAGAACTGCACACAGTACTCGAGGTGAGGCCGCACCAGCGCAGAGTAGAGCGGGACAATCACCTCCCTCGACCTACTAGCGATGCCGTGCTTGATGCACCCCAGGACACGGTTGGCCCTCCTGGCTGCCAGGGCACACTGCTGGCTCATATTGAACTTGCTGTCTACCACGACCCCCAGATCCCTCTCTTCTAGGCCGCTCTCCAGCGTCTCATCGCCCAGTCTGTACGTGCAGCCAGGGTTTCCCCGTCCCAGGTGCAGGACCCGGCACTTGCTCTTATTGAACTTCATGCGGTTGGCGATCGCCCAGCTCTCCAACCTATCCAGATCCCTCTGCAAGGCCTTTCCACCCTCATTCGAGTCCACGACTCCTCCAAGTTTGGTGTCATCGGCAAACTTGCTCAAACTTGCTCATTTTATTTATGTCATACTTTCTATGCTACATAGCAATACAGCTACTCTAACACATCCCCATCAAATCAGAACCTGGATGCAGCAGCACACTATTCGCCTAGGAAAGCCAGTACAACTAATTCACAGTTTCACCAATTACACAAACATATTTTCTGCACAGAGCTGCCACATGGAATGCTTGCTAGGGTCTTTTTTTTTTTTTTTTGTATTGCCAGCGTGACTTCTCGAAATACTTCATTCGTAGCTTGAAAATAAATAATTGCACTTTTCTCCTCAAGAATCATTATGCTATTTTCTCCTGCTGAAAGCAAGCTTTTATTTATTAAACATATGTTCTGCCCAGCTTTCACAGATTTCATTACAAAATGAAGATGGCACTAACACTACTCATAGAAAAGCCAGACTCAGCAATCTAAATAGTCACCTGCTTTCTGAGATCATAGGTCCCAAATGCATCTCACCCTGCAATTTCAGAGAAACGCAGCTGTGTTTGTCTAACTATTCCATACTCACTCACCAGTGTATCCGAGTTTAGAAGCTGCCGCATAAAATCCAAGAAAGAAGAGGCCAGTTCCCCTGTGTCTTTGCTGAAACTGGTGATTACTCGCTTTAATACAGTGTACAGAGCACTGCTGTGTTTTCTTAGGGAGCTGTTTTGTTATAAAAAGAGAAAATACTTTTTTAGTGCATACATTGTGACCACCCTGCTGTAACTTCTTATAAGAAAACAATATATATTGCAAAACAAGTTTGGTACAATTAATAATTATGAAATTGGGGTTTGATTACAAAGCTGGAACTTCATTGCTTTCTCTCTATCCTACTGTTCTCACCAGGGCTGTCTGCAGATATTTCAGCCTGCACGTACACAGCTACACACAGTACAACAATATCTCGAAAACCTGCCTGAAACTGGACTTCCACCTTGTGGGGGAAAGGCAGGAGTACAGAAGCTTTGGCTCGCACAAGTGCCTTGTGTATAAAGCAGGACTGTGCTTGCAGTTTCACTGAATCCTACAATGCCCAACTGCAGCAACAAAACCAGAAGCATAATCAGAAATGGCAAGGCCATGCACTGAAGCTGACAGATAGACACATGGGAGTCCCAGAAACCACAGCATCTTTAGCCTACTTATTTTTCATCTACAGGCTGTGTAGCTTGTTGAAGACTGAGCAGCACAGCTCTGTAACAACCCTTAGAAGAGTGTTTTGAGCAGCCTTTTATTGGCAAGGCTCCAGATGCTACCTCTCTCTTTTCAGGAAGCTCGCACCCTTCTTGCCTCTCTGCACCTCACTTTTGGTGGGCAGAAACAGGTCCAAATATAGGACAGGGAGAAGTGCCAAAACAACGCAGTACTGTCCCCGTATGTACATGTTCTGTTCAAAAGGGAGAGGACTTAATAGAAATAGTTAAAAAAAATCCCCATTTCAAAAGCCCTAATTGCCTGGTGGTTAAAACTCTCTGGGAAAGTTTTTTCATCCAAACTGAATTCCCTTAAAACAGAGGAAACAATGTACAGCTCTTCAATGTCTCAGATGATAGCTGTATCTACTGCCTTACTCAAAAGGAAAGGACACCAGCACTGGACCTCATTTTAATTCTCCAGCCTTGGGGTGGGAGGAAATGGAAGACAAGCTTTTTTTTTTTTCCCCCAATGCTTTATCTGCTTCTTAAAAGAAAGCGCTCCTGCGTGCCCACTACAGAAATGATTCATAGGTAAAATCTCAAGTGAAAGAGAAAAAAAATAAAGAAAAACACAGGAAAAAAAACACCTGAGTATAACACTGAAGCCTCAAAACAGAAATGAGAGTTCAGATGCCTTGTCTTCAGCATTTCCTGCTAGATAGAGTGATCTTTTACTCAGTGTGCTACATGCAACAGTGTGTTACTCAGTGTGCTATATACTTTTTGTAGGGGAAGTGAAAAAAGCTTCAGCACTTTTTCTTTACAGTGACCAAAAAGTGAACTCAGTGTTTAGAAACTTTCATATGAGAAATATGAGCACTTGGTTATTAAAAATAAGTGTTTTTCCCAATGTTATTTTTCTGCATTTTAAACACTAAAGTTTTAGGGATTCTCACTAAATGTTGTCATTCTAGCACCTGTCTTTCTAGACATCTGATTTCACACTGCAGAAGTTTTAAATACCTCTAAGTTGTCAGAGATACCTTACGATACCGTACCTCTTTAAGTGATAGAAGCCGTAGTCGTGCTCTGTAAGGAACATCATTGTTCGGATGCAGGTCAGCAGACAACTGTAACTGCTCTCAGAATTGGTTAATGTTTCCATTAAGCTGTCACAAATTAACGGCAGCAGATCCTTGTTTGGTAAGGAATTGGAGAGCTGCTCTAATTCCGACACAGAGCCTTCTGATGAACTTGGCAAAATGAGGGCAATATCCTACAAGAAGTGATTATTACACACACAGTAAGATAGACATAGCTGCGTCTGACACACCAGCAAGAAGCATAAACCATACATTATGTCAGCAACACTAGGTTCTTTCACTACCCCTTTATCACCTTATTCAAGCATTTGACAGTTATTACTGACACTAAAACACTAATCCAGTGTATCCTTTTTAATTTGGTTCTGTCAAGGGTTACAAACCATTACTGATTTTTCAAAACAAAAGCTTCAAAGAGTGAGAAGTGATGGCAAAGACACAACTAAATGCCAGAGTAACTGAATAGTATCTTATCTCTGCATTCAGCTCCTTGCTTACAGAGTCCAACTGTCCCTCGATCTTAAAACATTCATCCAAATTCAGAAGTTTTAAGCAATACCTACAAAGTTTAAGATCTACTATCCCCTTCATATTTTATGTGGCATAAAACAAGTTGGACTTTCACAATGAATTTGCATAGGCAAAGAGCTCTTGTTTATATAAATGGCTGACTGATCTCTGCCGACCAGTGCTCAACCATCATTTGTATAAATGCACCAAACCAAAAAAAAACATGCATGTAGTAAGATAATTAAGGATGTAAATATATGCAAAAAAAAATGAGAGAACAACTGGGCTCATCCATCAATCAGTTTTCAGGTAATATTTCCTACTCTGTTCTAGTAGACTGTGTTTTGTTGTAATTTTCCTGTGTGATTTGTTTGTTTTTATTTTTATTTTTTTTAACCGTGGCAGCAGCCTATCATCCATACCTTCAGATTTGCAATATATGTTTAAGAGGTTTCAGTTAGACAGCTGAGATCCAGATATTTATTCAATTGAGCAAAAGGTGAATAGTGACAGCTTAAGTTTTACCAGTGGCCCATGTTACAAAATCTCCCTGGGAGGAGGAGAAATGACATTGGCATGCAGACTGTCTGTGCTCTCAGCTGAGGAATCAGCCCACGGTCTCTAATGAGCTACCAGAACAGTGCACACAGAACAAAAGAGATTTCATAAATTTAAAGATTTACGTTCAAGAACAAAAAGACTGGCAGCAAGTCCGCCAGAGCAGCCAACCATACACAATTTCTTACTTTTTGTATTTTAAAAATGTTGTATTTTTCCCTCTTTAGGAACAAAAACAAACAAAACCAGGCACCTAAGAATAACCTAATTTAAAGTTTTGCCCAAAAGTGTCAACACACATTATGCATCAGATGTATAAAATACCTGATCGCAGAGGGACTGCAGAAGAGAGGTTACATATTCAGCACTCTGTTGATGAGTGACGTTGTCTCCAGCTGACCGCATTAGAGCCAAGAGCTCCTGGAACACTTCTGCATACTTTTCATCACCTTTGGTAGTTCCATTGATAAGATGCAGAATAGCCAATTTACAAGCTTTGTTTGAAGCCAGGGCATCCAATAAAGCAAGCAGTCGAGTGGTTTGTCCAGTGTATTGTTTCTCTTTATCTTCTGTGTTGCTGAAAGGATATCAATGCACGTTGAATACATAGGAAAAACTGCTCTAAAATGATCGAAAAAGCTATAAAAATAATTAGAAGAGTCATAATTCCACATTTTAAACAAACACCTAATGTATGTAAACTTACACTTTAATGTACTTTTTAAAAGCTGTTTAACTTTCACTAACCATCTTTCTGTTGCATCATAAATTAGTGATGCATTTAACACACTACTGCATCTAATTATATGTAGATAAATATGCTTTTAAACAGTTATCTAATTATATGTGAATAAATAGGATTTTAAATAAACAATACTCATTGCTTCAATGTCCTCTGACATGGCAGTCTTCAACTTCCTCCAGCTTACAAATATCTACATTTCCCTGTTTTCCCTGTTCCTGTTTTACTGGGACTTCACTGCAAATCCCAGTAATATAAACTTCACCTCTACTGATATCAGGTCAACTTTTATTATTTATTTTAAATAAGTCTTGTAACAGTTCACTGAATAAATAAGGCTTTGTAGGGACAACCTGAAAAAAGCCTTCTTAAAATACTTTCCATAATGTGAAACTGAATACCTGTATGACATGGTTTATTGGCAACATCAAGCAGTATCAGGACATGGTATAGAGAACTGGACTGAGAATTCATTCTGTTCATAACATAAGTAGTATTTCTCAATGAATTTTTCTCCTTTTCTCCTGCTAACTCTCCTGCACAGGACCTGGGCGAATTTAATATTCCATTAAAAAAATCTTTGCAATAGGAAGCCAAAATACCTCTGCAGGTCTTCTACAATCAGATCCAACACAGTCCTCATGATAAGAAGAGCAGTGGGTGAAGCCAAGTCACACAGCTGAACACAAATACGTCTCAACATGTGCTGAATAGGCTGGCAAGAAGAACCAGAGAACGATCTAACTATCTCTTGGATCAGCTTGGCTTGAACGTGAAGATGCATGCTCCACAGCTTCCTGGTGTTAAGTGCCACTGCAATATCATGTGGCTCGATTACCTGTGGGAACAGAAGAACAGGAGGTTTTTCCTTTCGACTTTTATCATAAAAACTGAATTCCACAAGGTATAAACAAATACTAAGCACTGATATTGCCCTCATCAGAAACACGCAACACCATTTTCATTAATATCACTAAATAACAGGGCACGGTTCCACAAATCAGGTATTCCTAACTCCTTCGGGAGCATGGGTTGTCACATCTTTTATGCTTAAAGATCACAAATTCAAGAACCATGCCTTAATAAACCGAGAGTCTGGCATTCAGGGTTAAATTCAGAGGTTTCCTAGCCAACCATTTGAGTAATGCAACATAAATCTAGATAATCTGACAAGGGACAGAAGAACACGACTGTTAAAAAAAATCCTCCATATAAGAATTTTTTTTCCATCAGAAACATATTTCCAAAGAATCTATGTGAATATAAACGCTTTACAAAAACTTTAATCCATCCTTTCATGTATCTGTTCTTTCTACAACTAAGAAAATGGTCAAAAGTGGTCTAAGGGTTATGCATAATAAAAATTCTTTAAAAAGTAAATAAATCTAAATTATACCTGAGTTGTCTGCATGGGCAGTGGAAGAGGCAAGAGTTCTGAAAGCAGTATGAGTCCAGAGAAAAAACCCTCCGGAATTCTCAAAATCGAGGAGAGAACTTCCTTCAGCATTAAAGACCAAGTATTGTTTGCCAGAGTTTCTTCTGAAATTGTAAGTTTTTCATTAACGCCCTGCGTAAAAGTCAGCAGGATGTCAACGATGTCATTCTGAATTTTCTGCTCATCGCTATCTAAGCGGCCCGAGAGCGGGATAGAACACAGGAGCATGTGTAAAGAGACGAGCGCCGACGGGACGCGCATGTCCTTGAACTCGAAGGATCCGCCCCGCAGGAGTTCTGTCAGCATCGTTTTCAGGAGCGTCAGCGTACAGCGGGCCATGGAAATCGTCGTGACTCTGTGAAGGGTGGTGCCCATGTTGACATGGAGTCGCCAAGGCTGAATGAGGATGCTGTTCAGCTTCTGCAGGACCCGGATGAAGGTGTCCATTCCCTCGGAAGAGAAGAGCTGAATAACTGCAAGGTTCCATTTCAGGTCTTTCTGTTGACCTGTACAGAAAAAGAAACAAACATCTCTGTATGTCTAATTCCTCCTGGGAAATCACAGTTACGCTTGGGACATTTTTAAGAAAGAAACTCAGAAAATTGAGATTTCTATGCTGAACAGTAGAAGTACATTTACCATACCTTCTACCATAGGTGGCGGACACGCTACATGACACAGGACACGAAGGGCCGTAGGAAGGCCAACTCCATCTGGGGTCATCAAACTGTCAATATTCTTAAAAACAAAATTTAAATAATCAAAATGTATTACAAGGAAGGGCTTTATGAAAAATACATTATTAGCTTAATGGCTATTCTTTCATTCCAGTCAGACTATCAGATTGTTAAACAAATCTTAAACAACCCAAGATGCTTAATTACACCAACAAGCAAATTTAACATAACTTACAGAAGACTCATTTTACTGCCATTCATTTTCCACTTTTTTGAAAAACAGGTCCACTACACACTAATTCTGATAATCTGCAGCTATCCAAAGAGCTCTAAAGAGACTACAGGACCAACGTATCAACGAGTCCACCAGAACAAGCCTTGGAAAATGAGTTACGGACAAAATACAATTAGTGTTTAAAATATATAAATGTATTATATAGCTACATATATAGATACACATATATTTATGCCTTTATCATTCACTGACTAATATCAGCCTCTGTTGAAGGGAATGGAAGCATTTCAGTGGTATCTATGGAAGCAGAGAAGCACCCTCTGGGTGCTAACTTCAGGAGAAAGCAGTTGGAAGCCCCTTTCAGATGTTCTGTTGAAAAAGTATCCTGTATTTGGCCTTGCTAACTAAAGCTGCAAGATGAAGATCTGCTGCGGCTCAACACAGGTGGAAGAGCAACTTGTCTCTGCCTGCAGAATTACTGCTCAAGATCTGGCAGCTCAGAACTCAAGCTCCTATGCTGATCCCTCTTCAGGCTAATAATCTCTTGGCCCTAGGATCCCAGGGGATTCCCCTAGGTTTTGTGCTCAGTTACCTGCAGTTCTGTTTCAATATATATAATTGAGAATAAGAACTGGCTTAGATTGTAAGCTTTAATAAACACATCTCTTTTAGATAATATTTTTAGATGTTAGTACATATGTAATATAAAATATCAAAGCTACAAAAAAGCATAAGCCTACAGAGCCCAATCAAAAGATAGCATCTATCTGTATTTTACTAACCTGTTTGATATATTCAATGAGATTTGGAATACAGTTTATTTCAAATCTAAGATTTTTCAAAGGTTCAAGCCACTTGCTGAGCTCTGCAGGGAGAAAAAAAGATTACCCATAATTAATCAAATAACTTGCCAGTGCATCTATGAACATAAAACCTTATGCACTTAATTCACACAAAGAGTACTAAGTGTAAGTGTGAAATCCATGAGGCAAACATTGTAGCTGTAGCCAGATGAAAATCATCAACAAAAGCAAGACTTTAGAACAGTCGGTACACCCTGAGTACACACACAAAATTTTGCTCGTCAACTTGAACACTCAATTTTCAGCTTATTATTTGTGTTATCTATAATTAGACATATTTTCTACAAGACAGTAATGGTCCCACTGTCCAATAAATAAAAAGTCATTAAGAACAAGGACACATTCCCTTTATGTTATCCGTAATAGGTTACTACAAACTGAAAGTGAACATCCTATTAAATGCCCAAATATATCCAGTATCTGCACCAGTAAGGCCTATCCTCTCTAGAAGTCTCTACACATTAACAGATTCTCTCTTAGTCCAGAATAACCTGAATGTCCTAATCTCTGGAGAAGAGATTTCAAGTTTCAAAACCTATTATTTCTGAAAATAGGCAGAATAATGGGAAGGTTCAAAGGCTGAATGGTTATGAATTGACTACTCTTCTCAGATTGATTTCATGATCTGTTTAATAAACTACTTTCCCTTCTCATTAAATAGTCTGATCAGATGAGGTGAAAAGAAATAAAAGAATGGCAGAAGGGAAAATTAAACTAAATTTTTTAAGAATTCTGATTTCTATTGGAGCATTTAAGTTTTGGGAGAAACTGCTGGCACACGTACACACATCAGTGAAGCAGCACAAAGCACAGCCCTGCAGCTTCAGGTCTGGGTGCCAGAATGGTCGCCAGCGGGCTCTCTCTGATCTGCTCCATTCCAAATGATCTGGGTCTGACATGCGAGTCGACACAAAGGAAGAAATAACCCAAATCACAATTTAGAAGTCAAAAGATTTAGTAACAGAGATCCGATCATTCCATGCCAGTTGGCCCAGCTGCCAGGAAACAGTCCCAGGAATATTTATTAGTATATACATAAGCCTACATCACCAAGGAAAACAAAAGTAAGAGTCTGCTGGCTAACTAGTTAGCCCATTTTTACTGAAATTTGCTCTCTTAAGTTATTTTCAACACAGAAACCATTTCAAACTTCCTGTAATTATCCAAAATTCATGGTAGTTATTATTGCTTGAAAAATAATTTAACTATACAGAATTTCCTATTTAACTCTCATTAACAGGGGGAAAAAACTGCACATCATCTCTGTGACTCAACTAATCAGATGCAGCTGGAAAAGGAATTTCATTATATACATTAGCCAAACCAGATGATTGTGAAGTGCCAATTACCCACATATAAAAGGTTTCTCCCATACATTCCAACAATTCAGCTGATAATGACACACGCCCTACCTTGCAATTTGGTGTTATTTTCGTCTGCCTTACAAAGCTTCAGCAAAGGCGCCGAGTGCTGCTCCAGCATTTGGACATCACTGGAAGACTGAACCACCAGCAGAACCAGGATGCAGGCGTAGTTGTAAGCAACTGACTTCTTAGACTTTGAGTCTCTGCAACGATAAGAACTTCATTTAGATCTCAGCTAATGCAACTGGGTATTTCTCACATTTTCAATCTCTGACACCTGAAAATCTACCTACAGAACTTATACCTTCAGCAAGGCTTTCCCCATATGGTTATTAAAAAAAAAACAATCTCCTGTGCTTTTTGAGAAGTGAAAGCTTTCATTTACATTTATTTATCATCCACAAGAGACCTGAGTACTGACTAGAGTCAACTAGCCAACAAATCTTCCCATAACTTTGTTTCCATTTTTAAAATCTTGCTTTAAAAGCCCTGCTACCTGAAGTAGTAAGACTGCCTGTCCAGAAAAAACAACTGTTTTTAACACATACAAGAACTTCGTAAACTGAGAGATTCCCAGCCCTGAATAGCGTGCAGCATCTGATTTTCCCAGCCAAATCTTCTGCTCGTTTCAAGATGAAATCTTATACTTTAATGAAAAATGCCTACTAACTGATTTTTTCATACAAATGAATGTGTGACCTGTATCACAACACCTTTGTGGATGACCCCCACAAATTCTGGGCATTAAGTAGTTAGTTGATCACAACTGACAGGCCTGATTTCCAGTAACATTGTCCTACTTAAGATTTTTTTTTAAAAGATTGTGGTCTAAAAGAACACAAAATTTTTAGATATACTATTTTTGAATATATTTTTAAAAGGTAGATACTTTTAAGTAAAAACCTAAAGGATGCAAATATAAATTACCCTAAAGCTTCTTTGGAATAGTACTCCATTAAAGTGATAAGACTTTGGAGGTTTTTCTCCAGGCTGAAGACGTGAGCCACGGCAGATCTTCCCACAGGGTTAAAGGTGATCAAGTAAAGGTTGTGAAGCGTTCCCAAGAGATCCGAATGGTCGGTTTCCTCGCTGGCCGTGCACCGCTGGAAGTGGCAAAACAATTCTGAAATGCACTGTAACGTCTGCGTCGAGTGCAGGAGCCACAGGGCAAAGGTGTCCTCGTTTGCACCATCGGACTGGAGGCCTTCCTCTTGATCCGGATCGGAAAACTGACAGAGAGCTCTGATCAGCAGGTTCGTCGCCTCGTACTCGGAAATGAAGAAGAGGAGACCCTTCTGGGACTGCGCCAGGAAGCGCAGGAGGTCGCGTATAGCTTGGAGCACACCCGGGTGCACACCCGTCACTGGAATAGACAGCAGCAAAGTGATGCACTCCAGGAAATGGTGACTGTGAAGATACCTGAAAAAAAAAAAAATATACAAGGAAATAATCAGTAATATTGCAATCATCTGCCAGCACAGTAAAATAATAAAATACAAGAATTAATTCAGTGCTTACTGCTCTGTGGACTAAGCGAAATGACTAATTAGGAAGTAGTACAAAATTCTAAGCACACAAAACAGTTGCTGGAATATTTACAGGAAGCAAATCCCTAAATATAAAGTACCGATTACCAAAACCAAGCGTCTGCCCCACAAAAACCACACCCTATCTTTTATTAAATTTGCTGCATTTGAACCGTCATTAATAGAGCATTTAAAACATTTAATGCAGTAAGAAACCAGTCATTACCATGTATGTAGGAGGTGATTTGAAGACTGCTTATAGATGCTTCCATTTAGCTGTGACCCTACACTGCTGCTATCAAAGAAAACTGCTAGTTAGCATTTAGAGAAACACTTTCTAGCCTGAAACTTGCTAACAGAGAAATAACCCAAGGAATCCTTTAAATGGCTGCATGCAGACAGGCCTCAACTCGTCTGCCCACGTTCTGGCACACTGAGCTCGCTGACAGAACAGCATGCCGGCTTCTGTTTTGCCAGCTCAGCACACAGACAGAGGTAATTCCAGGCTCCTTTTATCCTTATGCACAGACACGTTCTTAGAAGATAAATGAAAAATGCTTTCCATCCACAACAATTTTCAAATACGCACTCGTGCAGCACCCAGCACAGCCACCCAGGTCTACGAATGCAACTGAGGAGCTAGCACACTACCAGCAGCAGCAAGAGGTGGACTTTTTGCTATGCACATGGTAGGCTTGACCGAAAGCTAACAACACAGCAAGTATATTAAGTATCAAACTCTCTCAAAACAATCCAGAATCTTCCAATAAATACAAGGTAAAGCACATAGAAAAAAGAAATCCCTAGAAATACCTACACCAAGTTGATGGAAATACATTCTGAGAAGTGACCTTGCAAAAACCATACCTGAACAGGACAGGGTAAGGATCATCCCTTTCTGGAGGGCCTGTAATGCGTGCCATGGTTGGGAAAGATTTGACGGGTGGCTGAATCATTGTATGAGGAGCAGTTTCCATCAAATGGAAGATTTCTTCCAGAAGACTCACGAGTTTCTCCACCTCTCCTTCGCTTATGTTGGAAGATTCCAAAAGGTGATCCATATCCATAGGAGCCTCCACATCGTTCTCATATTCTTGGTTGGTTCTGTCAAGCCCTGCCAAGTCCTGGTCCTGTTCTGTCTCCGTGTGGTTAGGCAGAGGAGGCGTGCTCTCGGCTAACTGATCGACCACCTTTTTAATATCCGACAGAATCTCATAGAAGTGACACTTCTGGAGAATTGCAGAGCCAGCAGTGACTACCCTCACAGTCTGATCTAACAAAATGAGTTCAAGGAGTTTCTGATAACCACTTTTTTCATGCACATCTACGCCACCTCTCAGAAACATTTCCATTCCCTCGGTCGTACTGATAACGCTATCCAAAGCTTTAAAAGCATTAAGCTTAAGGGAGGACGATACATGGTCTGCAAACAACAGCTCAAACAACACATTAATAACTCCCGCCTGCAACAGTGCCGTTATTCCTTGCGTCCCACATTCCCCTAATGATGACACCAGTTTTGTCCCAGCTTTGAGTTGCCGGACATTCAAAGCGATGGGCTGCTTGAGAGCTACCTGAAGGTTTAAAGCTTGCAGGGTCCAGTCTACCAGCTGGGTTATGTAGTCCTGCTTTGTGTCTTTAACCTGCAGATAGCTCAATCCTTTTACTATTAAACTCGGAATTTCTTCTAATGCAGTCACCCACTTTGCACCCCTTTCCTCTTGATACAATTCCAGCAGTTCAGTTAATTTAACGGAGGCTTCCACTGCCCCCGAGTTTTCTTTTTCCGGGTCTTGGTCCTTTATTTTAGCAACTTCGTTCTCAAATACAGTCTTGTAAGGGCAGCTGAAGTACAAAAGAGGTCCGAGCTCCCTTTCAAAAGGTTCATATGTCACAGGAGGCACAGACGCCAGATCCTCAGGAGTGTACTCAATATCAAAACTCGGATACTTGAACGTTTCACGTTCCAGATCAGCAATTCCATCTTCATCACTTGAAATCTGCTCGTATCCATCATCTCCTAAAAAAGAAAGGATTCAGTTATGAAATAAAATTAATTATGGATAATCCAGTTCATAAATGCTGAGAGGATGCTCAAAATAAATAAGAAAATCTATTTAATACAAATATTACTGGTTAGAAAACAATCATGTGCTACCATACAAAAACCTTTCTTTCCCCAGCTCTAAGTGAAAGCTCCAGCCAACAGAATATTTTTTGTGACAGGAGAGACATTTAGAAAAACAAAAACATTACTACAAAAATATTGTCCAATTTTCTTGTGATTCTACCTATCATTAAAGATCTACCTTGAGATTTTGCACAGACATCAGCAGGAACTTTGAATAATTCAAGATGACAACTACTGATATTATTACATAAACAATTTTATTTGTTAACTGAGAAATAATTTGCTTCACACTTTCCTACTTCTTTAAATAAATCAGATAAGATCCAATGTTCATTAGTACCTATAAAATCTGTTTTTTTTTGTTGTTTTTTTTTTTTAAAGAAAGCAACAGGAAGATTTACTGTAAGGGATTAACTATTCCTACTGTTCTCAAGAGATGTCAGAAGTATACATAAGGGACACAATGGTGCACTGACCATTGCAGAATGAGACCCAGTTTTCTATACTCCTAGTCATTGTAATGGTACTGCCTTTAAAATTTAAAGTAAATTATTTTTTCCTCATCTATTTGTAACTTTACTTACCTTCACCTTCCTCCTCCTCTTCACCATCTTCTTCATCTTCGTCTTCATCTTCTTCCTCCTCTTCCTCATCAGGAATGCTCTCTACTGTATGCCCATCGTCTTCTTCCTCATCCTCCTCCTCCTCAACATCCACATCTTCTTCATCATCTCCTTCTTCTGGTTGGTCTTCTTCCACTTCTCCCTCATCAGAATACTGGCTTTCTTGATGAATGGATGTTCTGTCAGGAGAAATGGGCTCGAAGTAATCCTCCCTGTGGTCCACATCATCTTCTTTTTCCCCAACCACTAAAAAAAAATATATACAAAGTTTCAGAAATCAGAGTACTTCTGTGAAATTGAACACTCAGTAACATTTTAGAATTTTGCAGTACACATTGCGGAGGTGCAAAAGAACATCCTGAAGAAAATCTTCAAATGTTTTGGCAGAACTCAAGCAACAATCACACAGTTCAGCAAGACTGTAAAGAATTATGTAAGGAGTTCTCAGTGCTTTAGAGATTCCAGAGGACTCAGCAGGAAGCTGCAAACAGCGATGGAGGGGAAGGACCACAAATAACAGAGGCAACAAAAAACTCATAGAATGAGCAGTATGATCAAGCAGCATAATGATCAATATGTTAATCGAATATATCAATTAATTACTGATATTCTTAAACCTACTAACTCTTAAAATGATACAATTTAAGATATCCAACAGATCTTCTTTCAAATTCCTTCCCTAAATTAGGAATCTGTCCAGCAGGGTAAACAGAAGACAGGAAACCTCACAATAGGCATCAAAACACAATTCTGACTCCGATAAGCATTGGTGCAGCAGATAAAACACAGCCTGGTTCTACCTGACACTGGCATAGGTTCATCCTCATCATCGTCAGGAGGAGGAGGGCCTGGAGGTGTCCTTGGTCCCCTAGGTTGTGGTCTTGGAGGACTGCCATTGAACTGGTCTTCTTTCTCTCCATCAGCTATGTTTATTATGAAAATAAAAATTTGCATTCAATAGAATTGCAGGAACAAAAACGGTACATTTTAGGGTTTTAGTTCTACTTTGGATAAAGGAACACGTTCTCCCAGCTGTTATTTAATCTGTATTTTACCTCTGCAGTACGTGAGGCTGTTTTCTGAAATCACTTTTGATGTAAACAAGAACTACATCAATAAGCAAGGTTAACACTACAGATGTTTTTAACATAAGAAGGATCAAAATTAACATGGTTAATTGCCCTTTTTTGGCTTTAGCACTATCTAGCAAGACTATTCCACTACCAATAATAACAAGTTACTTTAAAAAAAAGGGGGGGGATTATATTTTAATCTACTTCTCTCTTGTAAAATAAGAGCTATTCAAATTCTGCAGCACAATACCTGTACCTTGAAAAATTTTAAATCTAAACCCAAAAGTCCAGTAGAAATCTGCTCATGAACTCCATTCATGGCTATTCTAATGCCAAAATTTTGTGTTTGCAAAGCAAACACTTTTCTGTAATATGCTGTTACATACAAGCCACAAAAGGAAAGCTAATTATGGCTTCCAGTTTTTCTTTCTATAATTTTAATGCTTTTCCAACCTTATTTTTTGTATTATAACCATATAAAATTAACGAGTTCACACAGGTTACTGAATTTTGATGATCCTCAGTAATTTGCAATAGAACAATTAATCCACTCCCAATAAAGGAATAGAAAAGGGATCTACTCAAAATCATTCAGCATAAATCTAAAAGAAAACACAAAAATATGGACAAAAAGCTAGAAAAATAAGGCCAGTGAAATCTCAGATGTTAAAGAACAGTGTTTTCAAATGCCATAATGTAATTTTGATATCTTTTTTAAAAAAAAGAAAAAACAAAAACTACATCCTCTCACAAGGCTTACCATGTTTTGGGTTTCTCTTCAAACCAGGCTGTTGCTGGGGAGGAGGCGGCGGAGGTGGAGGCGGAGGAGGTGATTCTCTGTCATGACTGATTACTCTGTCAACTGAGCCATATATTGCCAAAGTCAGACAGTTGTACCATCCTCTTAGAACCAATCCATCTGTGTTGACCTGTTTTGTTTTTTAAAGGAAAGAAAAAGCACTTATAAAGTAACTATTTTGAAGTTTTCTTTTGTGTTGTTTTTATACATTGTATCAGTATCTGCATAAAGGCAAGAACAGAGAACTGAACATTGAAGGATCTTTCTAACCCGCATTTTGAAAACTAAGGAAACTTTAAACATACCAATCATTACAACCAATAAGTAATCTTTCTCCAAAAGCATTCAATTACTTCCAATATGTTTGCTAACTAATACAGCCTACGTGCTTGTATTATACACCCAGTTAGTGAAAAAAAACATTACCATGGGTCACAAACATACTGATCAGAATGAAATAAACCTAAACAGAACTGAGGAGGATGTGCTTCGTTGTGGCCTGCAGCCGTAACATTCGGATTCATCTTTGTTCATAAGTAATGGATACCTCTGCTGGCAATCTCAATTAGAATTGTAAAGCAATCAAGTCTTCTACAACTCATGTAATTTATACAGCATCCATAATGGAGACTCTGAAGTCATATGTATCTGAACTACGGGCAGATTTTATAACAACAACTTCAGCAGTAAATGTTTTACTCAGTTCCAACACACCACATATTACCATGCTTATACGCAAATGACAGGCATGTAAAAAAGGAGGTTTAAATGGCATTGCATTACCTTTGCATTGGGTCTGAAAATAATTGAAGTATTTTCATCATATTCGAGGCTGTTAAAAGTGGGAAAAAAAAAAAGGCAAAACAAAGTTATTTTCCATTAATATAAAGCACATTTACAGAAATTGCCAATAATAAAATACTGAACAAATACACGCTCCTAAAAACAAGAGCACAGAACCACTTATTTCCACATGTTTCCTCAATACATTTGGGCTCTGTAAGCCTAAAAATAACAGAATTGTCTCATCTTTGAAGCACAAACCTCCGTCCTCCCAAACAAACTGGAGCAAAAGGGCAAGGAGAATACAAACTAGCAAAAGGCAGACCAAACGAGAAAAGTACAACAGATACAGATTTTCTATTGTGCATTATCTGCACTCAAAACTTCAAGAAGACAAAAAGAAAGGTGGCAAATGAAGTCAAGAAGTAACTGTGCAAGTACTTACCTCCCCAGTCTATCAAAAACGGGGGCACTTGGCTTGCTGACATTGTTGAAAAACAAGTCCAGTTGAAATGTATGCGGGGATGTCTCTCTGGAAACAGAACAAAGGCAAAAATTAAACCCATCAAGCTCCTCATCAGAGCAAGTAAGCCTAACAAGGAAAAAGCTTCAAATTTTACTGTTTAAATGGTTCCCCAAAGTAATTACGAGAGCAGCAGACACACAAATGCATTTTACCTTTTTAGACAGGAAGTTTTATGGAAATACACAAGGTGAGGGAAAACTAATAGGATGGTTTTCCTGAACCAGACACCCTGTAGCTTTCACTTACCCGTAAGCCCTACTGTCGGGCAAACTTGTGTGAGCTCTCACTCCGGGAGGAATGACACGTACTTCATTTATGTAAACCACGCACGGGAAACGAACTACATCTATATTGGTACTTTGCTACAAAACAAAGAAGAAAGAAAACCGATGAAATGTAAAATGGAAGCCACGTAACATATTTACATGGTCTTTATTAACCAAACTAAGGTTGCAACCATAATAAATTATAGGATTCAATTCTGTAAAATGTTAAACACTGGTAAACAGAAAAGATTTTTAAATGATCTTCTGGCACTTATTTAAATATTTGACACTTTTTTATAGACAACATTACAGGTTTATTTACATAATCAGTGGTTTATGAGAATCTTTTTAACAGGAACAGTTTTTCTTCAACAGAAGGTACGCTGGTAAAGAGAAAAACTGGAACTTTAATTATTGAAAGAAAGACTAAGTGTACAGTTCCCTTTTAAACAAACCGTATCAAGTTTATTATGAAAAACATTATGAAAAAGTTATGAAAAATAATCTGTGTTCTAATTTTAAAGATACAGAAATTAGAAATTTCACACCTAGTATCAGTAATAATTGTGATACTATAATTCTGTTTTGCTAGACCTATACAAAAAAAAAAAAGCCATGTGACATTTGTTTACCAATTCTGCAACATCTGAAAACCTTTTGAAACTGAGATTTCTGTTTACAACACAGAAACAGCAAATGTAAAGACAGCAGCACTCCTAAAAGCCTGAGCAAACTCGGAAGTAATTGTAAGGTCACTGTGACTTCCTGTGTAGTAACCACCAAACAATTAATGCTGAAAGTCTCCTCTAACTAAATTCGTTTTATTAGGTATATAAAGTGTATGCCCAACCTCAAATATAAAGACTTTCTCAAACAGAAGCTCAGAATCATGCTTCTCAGCTTCCAGCCAGCAAACTGGATTAGCAAAGACTGCACTAGCAAAATAAAAACAAAAAAAAATCTGTCTACCAACATAAGCAAAAAATTAAAATTAGAAAAGTTATCATCAGTAAAAAGTTACAGAACCTTCATCACGATTACAAAGCAAAAGAAACCCCAAAATTATCAGCACGAAGCAAGAAGGTACTAAGATTTTTAGAAAGCTATTAACTGAAGAAATAATCACAAGCAAAGTTTTATGAGGAACACTTAAGCAGTGTGCTTTATGACACATACTGCTATAATTTAAGAAAAAATATCTATGCCTGCATCTTTTAGTGTACAAATACAGTATCTTGTCCCAGGGGCTGAGGTGTCTGGTCAGGAAGGTAGAACAAAAGGAGCCTGTGACAGGAGGCACAACTTCATTAAAGGAATGGGGTGGCTGTAACCCCCATGGGGTGATGGCTGTGGGAGCTCTCTGCTGTGCCTCTCAGAAAGATACACCACCTGCAGGACTCAAACTTTGAAGAAAGGCTGCTGCTAAGGAGGCTGTAGCCCCAGCAGCACAGCCCTGGGACAAACTGGTGAAATTATACTGGACTATGCCTTGACCCCCATGCAGCAACTTCATCACTTAACAACTGAACCCAATTTCCTTTTTCTCCAGATCATATATTAAATATATATATATATGTGGTGGAACTGCCCAACAGATGTTAAACTACATAGCTAAGCCAAATAAATAATTTCATTAGAAAACTAAAGGTTACATCTCATTAAGTGTAAGTTCCAAAGCAAGACTGACAATCCATTTAGCTGGAGAATTATCATAACAGGAAGGTGGCTTTTCTGCAATACGTTAACTGCTTTGTTTTTAATAAAAACTCAGTGTGGTTCTGGTTATGAAAAAGTCATTGGTGAGACTGAAAGTGCCAGAAAACAGCCTAGAGAATTAAAAAACGTTCAATAAGAGTGTGCACTGTGCTGGAGGAGATGGGGAACAGCTAGGGTGTCCTACCCACTGCTGTCTTAAATTGCAGAAGTAGAAATATATTTGGGGATCCATGAATGTGGCACTAGACAGGACTCCAGAATGACTTCTGGTTTGTTTTTAATCATAGCATTAGCTCTAAACACTTTGTTTTCATCCTTGTACCCGTCCATGCACGGAGCTTCCTTCAGGTTACGCTAGGATTTATATCCCCCACCTTCACAGCCCCCATCCTCCCTTCTGAAGGGGAAGGAGGACCAGGCCTTGGGCAAACCCTGTTAACACAGCATCTTCGTGGATGCTCAGGCTCCCTGCAGCAAGCTATTTACTCACTTTGATTATTAGTTAGTGAGCCTCGCTCGAAATTCAGTATTTATTTATAAAACCTCCCCCTGCTGAAGCCGGCTCGAAACGTTCGCTTTGCTCCCGATGCACAAAGCCCAGGGGTCCCCCAAACGCTCCCTAAAACCCCGGAGAAGCAGCAGCAGCAGCTCCTCCCGGCTCCTTCTCCCCCCACAGCCCCACCACAAGGAGCCCCCGGACCCCATCCCCTTCCCTCACCTCCCCGTCCCCCAGCCCCGAGCTGCCGGCCGGCAGGAGGCTGAGGAACCCCCCCTGCTCAGCGGACCCCTTCCCCGGGTCTCTTTTTTCCCTTTTTTCCCCCTCTGCCGATCCTCGCCGCCTCACCTCGGCGCTCTGGTGCTTGAAGGTGTCGAGGAAGAGGAGCTCTGTGGCGGTGTCCACCGCCATCTTAGCGGCGGCGGGCGGGAAGCGCTTCCGGAGGCCGGGCGAGCGCTTCCCCGGGCAGGGGCCGCCGGGGCCATGACGGGGCGGCTGCGGCCACACGGAGCTGTGGGGAAGGGGACGGGTGGATGAAGTTTGTCCCCTGCTTCCCAGCACCTGAAACCTTCAGTGTGTCCCCTCACGAGTCCCTTCACGAGTCACCTCACAAGTCCCAACCCCACCCCGTTCGCCGGAGCGGGCTGTGTGGGGCTGCGTGAGTTTGGGGTTTGTCCCCGTAACAGCAAAGCCCCGTGGTCCTTTAGGCAGAGCCTAAGAAACGCAGCACCTCTAAACTGCCCCCATGCTTCTCTCAGTGGTGCTAATAATGCATCCTGAGCCCTGCCTTGTGTTTGGAACAGCTTCATGGCATTACGCCTTCTTGTGTGCGCACCAGGAACTGGCAGGGCTCCTCGCTTCAGAGCTTGCTGCTCTCTCGGCACCCCACAGTTTCACTTGGCACCGGGAAGTTGCAGGCCTCCAGGTCGGACCTGGTACGAAAACATTGCATCAGTTCAAGCCAGGGTGTGGTTCCGTGCCTCCGTTTTCCACGCTGAAACTCGCTGGGGAAGGTTGGTCCCCACGCCACGTGCTGGGAGCTGGGTCACGACACGCAGCTCCGCAACCAGTTCTGTTGGTACCGCTGAAGACGGGGTTTGGGGCGCTGCTGAAGCCATTGAAATCATACTGCTGCCTCCCCATGCTACTTCAACGGATGTGCTTGAAATACCGCAAATCCTTCTGCAGAAACACCAGAGAATTTGGGAATCAAGGGCTCTCATACACAATACTGGCAGAAGGTTGGCCAGCTTTCAGTCTTGCCCTGAGCTGGGACCCTCCTTTGCCCTGATGGACAAACAGATATAAACTCCTAAAGTGAAATACAACATTTTTATATGCGTATAAAAAAACAAAAACCTGAATTTATATATAGTTTGCTGAAGTAACACGATGCCTCACAGATGCTCACGGCACTTGCCATGGCTTATTTTGGTTATGTTTATAGGCCCTGTTTAGACTTTTAGACATGAACATGTTTTGTAGGTGTACTCCAAGCGTGGCACTATGGCCCGTACCATAGTCAGGTGGCTTCTCTGGGACAGTAGCACAACTGGAAGAGCTAGAGCCAGTAGTTGCAGTGAGTGGCAGGGGAATTCCAACCCTGCATTGTTATCTACAGTGACTCCCTGCTGCAGAAACAGCTGCACCTCTGGATGAGAGAATGTGACTGTAATACCATGCTTGGTGGTATTACATTTTATATTACATTCAGATGGCTGTGAATACGGTGTTGTTGGCTTTGGGACTTGGCAGAGCTTACAAGTTGGCATTTCTTTGCTGCAGTAAAGCAGCAGTGCAGTAAAGTGGCAGTGCTTGAATGTTACAGCCAGCTGTGTGATTTCAGGGAACAATGGAGGTATCCACAGACACTATTTAATAACTGATGAAAGTGGAGAAAATGATTTAGTACAGCTCTGCTGATTGTCCCATCACAGTTTTAAAAAGTTGGTGTTTTGCAAGAAAACCTAAGTGTGATATAGGAAGCCATGATGGGAGATCTGGCATGGACCACAGGTCCCCATGGGAAGGACACCAGAGTTGCAGGTGGCATCATGAGCTGAAGACCCTCCTGTTGAGTAATAGAGCAGGGTGGGAGGTGCAGAACTCACGGGATGTGGAGATTAACAAAAGAAACCAGGAAGAAAGGGATTGATGGGTGAGAGGGGAAGAAGCTTCGGGAACACAGGTAATAAAAATGTGGTTAGATAGGTAGGTCTCTTGCTGCGGTCAGGGAGGCGGAGTTAAACCCAGCTTCTCAGCAGGAAGGAAAATGTGAATAGTTTCAGAAATGCCTTGAAACAGAAAGTGGTACAAAGCAACCTGCGGGGGGAAACAGAACTAATCCAGAAAGGGAAAACCAGAGCGATTAGCAAAGGGGCTGAAAGTGAGACAGATGGTGGGAAGGCAGGCAACAGAAGGCGTACGAGAGGAGAGAAATACAGCAGCAAGGTGCTGGGAGGAACCTTAGGAGGTCGTCGTGCCCCAAAGCATCCTAGTACATTCCTGTAGGTAATAACACTGATGTCATCTGGAGGATGACACTTCACGCACGGGCTATGCTTAACCAGGCCTGGGGATAACGCACAGCAAGGGAGAAGCAACCAAAATGCCAGGAGCCCGGGCAGCAAAACATGGGAACCCGACCGACTGGTGCATGCTGTCAGACCGGATACTGAAGGCATAAAAGAGGCAGGGTGGAATGGGAACCGTGGCTGGGAAACAGGCATTTTAGGGAATGTGTTACCCAAGAAAAAGGAAAAAGAAAGGGTAATGCCACTACAGGAGCAATTAGTGGTAAGTGGCTTCAAAAATTAACAAATAAATAAAATACTGATTAATCAAGAACCCAGAGACATAATGGGAACTAAAAATACTTCTAGGGTAAAGCTTAACCTATAAAAAGGTTACTGTACGCAGTGGTAGCCTGCTGTAGCAGTAAGGCAAGGAGTCTGAGCTTTCTGGATGGAAAGCTGGAAGACAAATCCACAGAGAAAATGGGGGACTCTGACATGCTCACCTCACGTCCCCGATACCAGCTTAGCATGGCACATTTCTGCCACCTCCTTTAAACACAGGAATTTGTTCCAGTGACTGCCATTATCCAAATCTTACACCAAAAAGGTCAAAAATGACTCTAGCCAGCTTTCCACCACAAGGAGGTTGTTTAGTGGAGCCCATAAACCATGGAGCATGGCCCTAGTGACAGTCCCTGCAAGGAGCACACCCCACAGCCCAACGAAGTGCATCAGGATCAGGCCACCCAGCTGTGCTTGAACATTTGGGGGCTACCAGGATCCCAAACCCCAGAGTGCTTCCGAAATGTGTCCTGAGCCCTGCTGCCAAAGCAACAAATGTGCATGGGGTAGCAGGAGACGGTGCGGGCTGCGGACCTGCACCACAGCAGGAGCAGCCATGAAGTATGATGTGTGCTATCATCTTGATAAATATTTTGGGAAGGGGCACCACAGCGAAGCGGGAAACACACAAGTAGGGTGTTAAAGAAGTATGGGGTTTGAAAGTTAGTGTTACTGGGGGATTTCACTGGGGAAAGTTAGCGTTGCTTCTTTACCCTACATTCAGGGATCTTGTCATAATGGAAAAGGGCTTTCTGATCAACACGTGTTTAAAACAGAAATTTCACGGTAAAACAAAAAAAAAAAATAGTAAGGAAGAAAGAAAGAGGAGGTTGTCACAAGGAGCAAAACCACCTCACAAGGAGCAAAACCACCTCTGCCCCTGTATGTGTGAGGGAAAGCTGCGTGAGGGAAGGCTGCACAGCTGTGGCGAACCTGCTCGGGGCTCCCCTGAGGAGCTGCTCCCGGCTGTATGTGGTGCCAGAGTGGGGTCCCGGCTCGGCTATGGGGTTGTGTGGTTGTAGGATCGTGCGGTTGTGGGGTCCCACCAGGAACCAGCAGCCCCACCGCCCCCACAGCGAGGCGCAGCCCGGCGGGCGGGCAGCACCCCGAGGGCGGGCCGATCCCCCCCCATGGCAAACTCGGGGCTGCATTTTGGGCAGCAGAGGGGTCGCTCCTGAGGGCTCCCCCACACTCCCTGAGGAGAAGCGAGGCCCTGAGCGGCGCCGCCCGCCTCGGGACGTGGCAGCGCCCATGGCGGGCGGGGCTGAGGCGGCGCCAGGTGAGCGCTCCCCGTACCTGCGCCACGTGGGGGGCGGGCAGCGAGCGCCGCGGCCCCAAACTCGCCCGCAGCCATTTGCCAGCTTCCCAGGGGTGCAGGCAGCCCTCTGCCTCCCCCTCGGGAAGGAAACGACACCAATCCTACAGATCCGAGCGGGATCAGCTGAAGGGGGGAGGGAAGGAAGGGAAGGGAAGGGGTTGCCCCCTGCGCCGCGGCTGCAGGTGGGGGCTCTGCCGGCTTGGGAGAGACCCGAAGAGGGAAAGTTTCTGGGCTCTTCTCTTCCCCCCTTCCTTCCTTCCTTTTTTTTTTTTTTTTTTTTTTCCTCCTTTTTTCCCCCTTTTCCACTTGCCTGGCGGCACCATGACGGCGTCTCCCGACTACCTGGTGATCCTCTTTGTGACCACGGCGGGCACCAACGGGGCCAGGCTGGGCTCGGATGAGCGGGAGCTGCTCCAGCTCCTGTGGAAAGTGGTCGACCTGAGGACGAAGGAGGTATTTTTCCCCCCAAAGGAGGAGGAAGAGGAGGAGGTGGGAGCATCCCCAGCTGCTTCTGCTGCTCCCCTTGCCCCTGCTGGGCTGGGTGCCCCAGGAGCTGGGCTGGCTGGGGGTGCCCCAGGCTGGAGCAGGTGGTGGTGGTGGAGGGCAGGGCTGTGGGGTTGCAGGTTGGGGAGCTCAAAACCGGGTGCTGACTCGCTCCTCCTCTGCTTTCCTTGGAGCTGGGGTGCCCTCACGACGTGCTGGTCAGGCCCGACCACCCGGAGCTGACTGCCGAGTGCCAGGAGGTCACCAAGGTGGACGTGGAGAGCCTGGCGCTGGCTCCACCGCTGGAGCAGGCGTTGAGACAGGTGACAGCCCGTAACCAGCCGCAGTCCCTCAGTGGTGGGAGGTGGAAGCCACCTTAGCATCTGTTTACCCTCCTTCCCCACTCACTTTTGGGATAGCAGAGCCCGGCACCGGGCACTATAGCCACACGTGGGCCTGGCAGCCTGGACCCTGTTGGCCTTTGTGGGGTTTTCTCTCTTGCCTCGTGCTCTTTCACCTCGGGAGGTGGGGTTGAACCCTGAGAGGAGGATGAAGGTTGGGCATTGCCCAGCTCTCATCTCCTGCTGGGCTCTGAGTTGCAGCTGTGGCTGGGTCTTCCTTAGTGTAGGAGGGAAGCCAAGTGGAGGTGCCCCTCAAAAAAGCTGGGTTTATGGTGACTTATCTGTCCTGGAAAGAAGGAGACTGTATCGAAGCCTCAAAATAAACAGGCAGGTGTGTGTGGCTCTCATTAAGGGCAGGGCTGGAAGTCTTTCTCCTATCCAACATGCCCTGTCTGTGAGGTTTTTCTGCCCAGGTGCTCACCCAGCTCTCTGCAAACAGCTTTATGTCTCCTTGCAGAGCTCTTGCAAGTGAAAAAAGAATTATTTTTGTGGTGTGGGCTGAGTGTGTGGCCACATCGTGGTGGAAAGGGAAAAGGGGCAATTTCCCTATGAAGTTAATTATCATGGGAGTAATCATGTGCTTAGCTAGTAAGAAACAAATATACAAGAGGCTTTCTCAAAAAGGAGTTCCAGCCCTGTGATCCTGCTGACCAGGTTTAATACTGTCGATTGATGACACTTCCTTCTGCAGCCGCTCTGATCTCTCACATGCGTGCCTTTTGTTGTTCCTGCTTTCAGTTTAATCAGTCCGTGAGCAATGAGCTGAACATTGGTGTGGGTACTTCCTTCTGTTTCTGTACTGATGGGCAGCTGCACATTAGGCAGGTTCTGCATCCTGAAGCTTCCAAAAAGGTACGTAGCAGTTGACTGAAGTCCAACTCTTGGTGTGCTCTGTATGTTTTTCTTGCGAAACTGATCGACTTCTCTTTAAAATGCATAGTACGAGGAGACCTCCACACCTCTGTGATTCAATCATTGCTCATCAGTCAATATACTTGTCAGACTACGAGCCTGCCCACGTGGATGGCATGAGCAATGTCTAATGCGTGCACTGCCCTGAGAGAGGCTTTTAGAAGTGAAATCAGAAGAATAACTGTGAATTGAGTGTTTGAGAAAGGAGCAATGCGCTGAGAGGTTGCTCTAAATCTGACACTCGTACTGCTGCGCGAGCCACAATGGGCTTAAAAAACGGAACTTTGGGAATGTTGCCAAATAGTTCGTGATTAAGGTGGCTGACTGCCTGTTGAAATTTTTACGTTCACCTTTAGCAGCTTTCAGTCTCCATGCGTTCAGTTGACTCTGCGAGGGCGGTGCTTGTGTTTGTAAGGAGCCGAGCAGTGGCATGAGGCAGACTGAGTGATGACGAGTCCCCTAGTCTAGAGTTTTCCATAACTTCAGAGTTGCCAAATTGCCAACAGTGTTACGAGCTCCTGCCTAATTTTCATTAGTGATAGGGTTGCAGCACTGTGCTGCGTCTTCAGGCCTGAATTCACTGCCTCAATAAAATCTGGTCTTGTGGTTTGCTGTGAACATGCATGGCTCAGTAGCAGAGCTGTTCTGCTATCCCCACCGGCTACTGATCTCTGCGCCTAGCATTTTGCTGCTTGGCCTTGGAAGGGGCAATGCTGCAAGTCTGTGCTCTTACAAAACTGATATTGGGTGTTTGTTTCCTAATACCCGTTGGTGCCATAAGTATTGATTGACACTTTTAAAGCTTGAGCAGAGAAGCCACGAGCATGATTCATAGTGACCAGACCTGTGTATGTGTAACAACAAACTTTGTCACTTAGAATGGGCTTGTGTTTTTATACAGTTGTTTGTTTGTTTGTTTGTTTTCCATGCAGCTAAATGATGTAGGTAAAAGAAGGGAGTACCCCTACAAATATTCTTATTTAATTTCGTGCAAGTGATTGGGGTCCTTTTTTCCTCTATATATATTCAGTCACAGTGACAGGACTCATCAAAATCTTCTGTTGCTGTTTTGTTTCAAATTCTTCATTTGAAACTTGCTCAGTGCTGCCTATAGATCAAGTAAATCAGATGCTTATGAGACTTGTAGTAGTTTTCTGGTGGATACCGAATGCTGAGGCTGGTGGCACGTGTACTGCGGAAATCCAGATCTGTTCAATAGCCTTGTGATTTCTGCCGGTGTTTATTTTAAGACGCCCAGTCTCAACCAGCCTAGCAGCTCGTGGTATTCAGACAACAAAGTGATATCAACTGCTTCAAGGGAAACTCGGTGAAGTACAGAACTCAGTCTCTTCTCATGGAAGCAGAAAAATAGCCGTGCTAAAACGAGAGCAGGCAATCTTGGCGAGCACGCCTGCATTTTCATAAGTTTGTCTTTAAAGGATGTTGTTTGCCTAATGCACCTGTCTGTATGCTAAGATAAGCTCTGCTGTTTTCAAAGCAGAACTTGTTACGGAGCCTAAACTTCTTTCTTCTGGCTTTTTAAGCGTACATCCACATATGCTGCCGTTCTGTTACAATGCCAAGATGCTAACTAGTTGTTCTAGACATAAAGTTAAGCAAGGGCTTTCTGTGATTTAGAGGCACTGCAGGCAGCCAAGTAGAACACAAGCACCGAGGCTGCGAGGAAGTCTGGAGGAGAGGGGGGGTTGTGTTTGTTGAAATAACTTCCCTGCTTCTTCTCTTCCTCATCCTGAAACAAATGAAGGGAATAAAGCATGTGAAAGATGTCCTTGTGGGGCAAAAAGGGTTTTATTGACACTGTCAATGGGCTTGCTCCTGGCTTCATGCGCCGTAATTAAAGCAGTTACCAAGCATAGACTGATAACCTCTACACCACATCAAACCTTCATCTGCTCCGTTTATTTTATTTTTTTATGGGAATAAATATTTGAAGTGTGACTGCTCTCTGAAAACTCAGCCTTGTCTGCAAACCAAGACATCTTCTGCTAGTCTTGCAAAATCTGCTTGGCTCTATAAACCGAACCGAGTGCCCTCTGGCTTTTCGCAGTAAAAGCTGGAACCAGGAATTGATGATAAATGTTGCAATAGCATGCATTTGCTCTCCTACGTGTATATTGGATTTGAGGCACTGGTAATGACAGCAAACTCTTCTCTGGCAGTGAGAAAGCACATTTTTCTTTCTTAAATCACAGAGAGAAAGCTGCTTAAGCAAAAAAACAAGTTGATAAACATATTTGGATGACTATGAGGAGCTATATGAGCTGCTCTGCAGCAGAAATATTTTGGTTTGGTATTTTGTTGTCTTTTTATTCCCCCCTCTAGCCACTGTAAGGAAATAGTTGGAAAGTTTAGTATGTAAAGACGAAGTAGAAGATGCTTGCCCCAGCTGACAGTTGGTACCTTGTCCTTTTACAGAATATCTTACTGCCTGAATGCTTCTACTCCTTTTTTGACTTGCGGAAAGAGTTCAAGAAGTGTTGCCCTGGCTCACCCGATATTGGCAAGCTGGATGTTGCGGCCATGACAGAATGTATCCTTTTGACAAAGACTGTGCCTGCTACTGTTACGGCTTCGGCTGGATTTTTGGGACAAAGATGTGTGAGTAATGCTTGCAACACGTGTTCAAAGGTGATATAACTTCAACAAGTGACTCGGCGCTGCACAGAGCTTTCTCACAAAGATAAAAACATACGATAGTGCGTGGTGCCATGGGGGGAAATTCTGTTTCATCTTGATTTCTGTATGCATTCCTTACTACTTTTATAGTTGTCCTTTAAACTTCACAGCTAAATGTGACATATTTTTTCAAGTCGCTGGTGTGAATCCTGAGTTTAAAGTTGCGAGCTTGCTCGCTGCATTGGTTAATTAAATCTTTAGGTTTTTTAGGTAAGAGTAAATGTTGGGAGACCACTTCATCTTCATTGTTAGGAGGGGGAGTGGTTCCTCTTGATGTGAAGGGGTAGTTAGCCTTTAATTCAAAGGCAGGGATGCTGCTGGTGCACGTGGTATCCAGCCTGAGAGAGAGGAAGAAGAGATAAAGGATCTTGAGAATTATAAGTTGCTATTAATAACTTCTTTGACTAGCTTCTTGCATCTGTAGAGTGATTGCCATTAAGAACTGGCATTTTTCAGACTCAAAATTATGTGACATCTGAATTACAGTAGCCTTTCTCTGTAGGACCAGCATCACCAGGGTTTTGTATCTGTAGTGAGAGGGGCATAAAATATTGATGTAAGTGTGTTCTGTTAGTTTGTGGCTTTATTTTTTGTGCGTGTGCTTAATTAAAGGTTGAATGCTGGAGGCTGTCTGCTCTGCTTCGTCATCTGCCAATTAAGATGCATGTCTTCTAGCAAAGGGGCAGAAATCACCTTTTTTCCCCCTACTCTGAAGCAAAGTGGTATATTTAAGTGGAAGAGTGTGGACTTTTATTTTGCTTTTTCTACATAAGTGTTTGCATAGTCTAGAAACCAGATGATGGGGGCTTCTAAAAGTGTTAAAAGCCTAATACATTGCTTGGGGATGCTCTGACGGAAAACATGAGCTGGAGAAGTTAAAGGCAGTGAGCTACTTCAGCTGTTTCAGAGAGATGCCTTTACTTTCTCTCCATGTGAGTGCCTGGTGTACATCCTGCTGCTGTGGAAACGGTTGTATGACCACAGACAGCTGAAGGGTCACTGGGCAGTTAAGGTACGATGACTGATTGATTGTGCACTCCCTACGTGCCGGGAGAGGGGAGCAGACCCCACGGCCAGCACCACCTGGGTCTTGGTTGCCAACTGCAGGTAGTTTTTCCTCCAAGGTCCTAAAGGTTTGGCTGGGCTGAGTGATCTTAGTTTGAGTGTGAATTCTAGATCCGATCTGCTTCTCTTTGGGTGTGTGTATGAATTGATTCTGTTTTTATCTTTGAGGTTTGTCTTGTTTTGTAACTGCTGATGCATTATTTGTAAACTTGCTGTGTTTATGAAACATGGCTGGAATTAATTGTCCGTACCCCACACTGTTTGGGAGCCCTCGCAGGGGCTTGGGAAAAGAAGGGTGCAGAGCCAAAGAAGTAAAATACTTGTTTTCCTCTTATTGCCCAATATGCTAATTTTTCTTTTCCCCTCACCTTGCTGAGATGTACTGATTTACACACAGCCTGACACCAGGGAGATTAACTTAATTGCACCTGGAGAGTCTGTACGTGCGTGTAATGCTTGCGATAAAAGTTTTGGTTGGAGCAGGTGATTAAGTCTGAGGATTAGCCCAAGCAGCTTTGTGCCTAGTGGTTTTTCCCCCTCAAGTGAGGCAGCTGCCTTCTTTCGAAGACAGTTAGGTAGCAAAGAGGAGGCTGAGAGAAAAGTGTCGTATCTGAGGTGGGGATGGGGAGGGTGGATGGAGAAAGGGAGATGGATGGATGAAGAAAATAAAAGCTGGTGGATGAAGCTGAAAGGAAGCTGCAAGATAGTGCCAGAGCCTGCCCAATCTCTCATTACTCTTGCAGGAAGCGACCAGGTTTGTTAGCGTTTGGTTTGGGGGTTGAGCACAAAGCAGAGGTGTAGATCTGCATTCACAAATTGGTGGGAGCAGAAGAATGAGTTTGGGCAAGTCGCTTCATGTGCCTGGATCCCTGACCCAGCCAGGAGACGGCTGGGATCAATGGGAGGAAACGTGTGTGGTGTGAGAGAGCTGTGGGAAAGCTGGCCCTTGGTCTGCAGTCACTTCAGTTGTTAGCAAGCTTTCAAATGCTTTTATTTTGGTTGGTAGTGTCTGATTAAACAACAAATTACAGGCTGGTGGAGAATGTGCTCTCTGGTTCCCAGCAATCAGAGGGAATAATTTCCTGCTGCAGTCATTCAGGAGGCATATTCCGGGGTGTCAAACGCTGGGTAGTTGGTGCTTGGATGTATACTTAGTGCTTGCCTTCTTTGCATGATGGTGAAAAGGAACACAGGGACATTAAACTGAATAACCTGCTGACTTTTTTTTCCTTTAAAAAGAATTTTGGGGACTTAATCCTTCAGCAAACTACTCGAAATTGTGTATAGAAATGAAACCATTAAAAATCTAAGAGTTCAGGTGAAAACTTTACATTGTGTCCCCTGCCCCCAAAGAAAGTGTGAATTCCTTGTCCAAAAGGCCACTGATTTATTTAATGCAAGGTAAGGCAGTCTTTAAAATGCAATCGCATTTGGGAGGCTGAGGAAGAATTGAGATGAGTTTAACTGCTGTGTCTGCCACTGCCTCCTAATTTAAGGTCTCCAGCATGTTTTTGGTGCAGGAGGCAGCCTTGTGGCAGGCTGTCTTCTGCTCCTCTTACACAACGCTGACTGAAGCAGGACGATTATGAGAAATTTTGAGTAACAAAAAAAGCTGGGAGAAACGATCGTGTTCTGGCAAAGGAAAGGACTTGGTGCTGTTGAAATCTCTCGAAGCCTGTGTAAGGACACAAAAGAAGCAGGGCTGTTCTTGCACCTTCTGTACCTCCCATACTCGCTGCACTTCTTGATTTGCAAAGCTGGCTGAGCCAGTTTTCACTGCTGTGAGTGCCTCCAGGGTGGAGTGAACAAAGCTTGCATGACTGTTCATAACTCGGTCTGCAGAAGACTCATCCTTTGCCTCAAGATTGGGCGTGCAGAAGTCATTAAATGGCAAATAACTATTGCTTCCTCCCGTCTCTGGTTTGCTCCACTTGCTTCTGAGCTGGGGCTGTGAGGATAGCTCCTCGCTAGCAGGGTGTTGTCAGGAGAAGCACAGCAGGGCTCCAGAGCAGTCTGCCTCATGCTCTGGATAAGATCTGGGTTCTCCAATACTGAAACTTGTTTTTTTGACCTGGATGTTTTGAAAACCGCCGTGCAGAGCACAGCTAAACCCAGCAGGACTTAGCCCTGGCTATGAAAAGCCCATTAATGGGTATTACCTGACAAATCTTGTGCATTGCTATTTGTATATCCTGTGGGAGCACCCAGGAACCAGGTAATATCAGATTACTTTAATCAAAATAGTATTTAAAGAGATTTAAGTCTCTTCAAGCAGAAGATTGCGATCAGAATAAAGGGGGAAAAGCATCGGTGCAGAATATAACTGTAACATGCTCATGTCACCACTGCTAAGTGAGCATTAGTTTTTCTTTTGCCATGGTTAAGAAAGGAAGTGAGACCCTGGGAGAGACAGCGTGGGGGAAGAAGGCTTGGAGGACACTTGGAGGTGAAGCTGCAACAGAATCAGGGTTTAAAATGTCTCCCACGCTATGCAGATGAGCCTGACATAGGATGTGCCACCCCTCAGCGTGCTGAGTGTTACAGAGGGGTGGTAGCACAAGCCGAAAAGCCTTGTTCCCTGTCCTGTCTTGGTTTTTGAGTGCATCTTTTTGCCCTTCGCTTCACTTGGATTGTGGGTACCTGGTATTGCCTGTAGAAGGTTTATACAGCCAAGTCCATTTTTCTAATGCTTTAAATGTGAGCTTAGATTCATCCACTGAATTCAACTCTTTTTGCTAATTGCCTAGGATGGACAAGCTTTAAATATCAGTGCATGCACGTGTGTGGTCTCGTATACCTTCATGGGACAAGTGGTGATTCTCTTTTAAAGGCTATTCCACTAATTTTTTAAGCATCCTTTCTTTCCAGTGCCCCAGATCAGAGGTCCATCTGCCTGTGGACAGACACATTTATTAAAATTTCCACTTAGTTGAGGCTGTTATAAATGTGCTCCTCCACATGTGCAGAAAGCAATCAGTTTTATTCTCCCGTGTTGCCTAAAAGCCTTGCTTGCAGCTAATCAGAGGCAGAGGTGTGAGCAATCTCTCCCCTCTCACTCCTACTGATGTTGATGAATTTCTCCCTCCCCTCCCACTGTGTTTGTATCACTCTGGAAGGTTTTTTGCACAACCATCTCCCTGCTTCTCAACACCCGGCAGCGATTTCTGTAGGCACTGGGGCATTTTTAGGAACTACCTCCTCAATATTTTCAGTGAGAGGTTTTCCGAGGAGAATACAAACAGAGAGGGGGAATTTGTTTTGTTTTCCTTGTGTGATGGCCTCGCTTCGGCGTCCTCCCCTTTCACCCTGCTGCGTTCCCACCTCCTGCAGCTGATCGCTGGTAGGAATCCTTGGCTCTGCAAACGGGAAGTATTGAAGTGTCTCCTCGTTGTGACAGCCTGCCCTCACAGCCAAGCTGTTGCATGTGTGCACACGTACGCCTGTCCCTTGTCCCAGTGGCTGTCGAAACTGCTGCCTGATTCCTCTTCCTCTCCAGATTTCTAATTCCTGCATTTTCAGCAGCTTCTCCTTCCCCAGGCAGGTGGCAGAGGCTCTGCACAAGCACCAGGAACTGCAGGGGGCTGGTGTCAGGCGAAGGAGGAGAAGCCCTCCTCTGTTTTGACACGTGAGGTGCCCAGAAACATCTGCGTGCTGCTGATTAGATGCCATGAGAGGGATGAAGGCAGCCTGCTTGTGGATTATTTTTCACTTCAGCACTCCCCACACACACACCAGCTTTTCCCAGGCAGTTGTGGGGGAGAGACAAGCTTGGGTGTTTGGCTTAGGAAGAGAGAGTGCAATGAAAACGTTCCTTGTTGCCATAATTACTGGTGGTAGTCTCTTACACCATGTTGTGGGGTTGTTTCATGTGGCTCGTTTAGGATTTTTATATTGGTTTTAAGAAAGCCATTTAGTGTTTTTACTAGTTTACTCCAAAGATGCTGGGAAGGGAAGGTGATGGCAATGGCTAGCAGACAATATTCAGTGGAGGAGTTGGCAGATCACTAGTTTACTTGTGTTTGTTTTTTTTAAATATAAGTCACTTCTTACAAGAACATCTGAAGCTGATTAAGCACAAACCTCTTACTTTCCATACTCAGTGCACGCTTAAAACCAGCGAAGTCTCAAAATCAAATCGGTCTCAGCATTTTAGTGCTGCATCTTTCCTTTCCCTGCTATGGAAGAAGAGTTTGGTTCAGTTGAAATTATATTTTTAAGTGTTCTGAGCATTAATTGATGGCTTGTCCTGAGATTTTTAAAAAATAAATAAAACAGTTTTGTTAGAATGATTTGCAGTCATCCCACAAGTCACGGGAAGACGATGACACTTCTATCCTCACCCCCGAGATGCTCAAAAGTTGTTCGTCAGACCAAAGTGCAGAACTCTGAGCATTTGAAATGCATCTCGCGTACTTGTGTGGAAATGTGGGTGAGTAACTGGTGCGTTTGTCTGTTTTGAATGCCTTGCATTGCTGCATAGCCGTGCCGAGATAGGTCTCACTGTTTAGGAAACACATACATTTTTTGCTCTGATATCTTGTTGTGCAGTGATAAGGCACGAGAACAAAATAAGTCCTGCTTCAAACTGCGTTGGGGCTGACTTGTTTTGTTTGTTTCTTAAACATTCTTCAAAGAAGGAGATGAGGATGGAAAAGACCCTTGGAAAAGCCAATACAAATTGGCGTTATAAATGGAGCGGAGTTGAAAGGAATCTCACTGTTCTGTAGTTTGATGCTACAGGGAGGGACAAATACAAGAGGAAAATGGGGGGGGAGGGAGATACCTTAGTGAACTTTAAAAAAAATTGTGAAAAAATGATACCTGTAACTTAAATCAGTCTCCCTCAAGCACAGATTTGTATCTGGTCAGTCTACAGGCTAAGACAACATTTTCTGCTCTCTGTTGACAGGAGAGCTTTTCCTTGCTATCATCTTCCAACACCCTTCAGATCAGAAAATATGTGAGCTGTGGGACTCTGCTTTGTCTCTTGGATTTTCAGTAATGAACTCTAAACCTGATTCTCCTAATGCTGCAGGAGAGCACAAAGCCCAGGCTGTACCTTCTAACAGGCAAGGTTTAGACCAGGTGCTGCTTGTGAATTTTAGCAAAGTGGTAAAATAGCTACTCTACTTTGGGATTTACCTGTTTAGAAAACGTGTGGCAAGTCCTCTTATTTTTAGAGTTTGTAGCTGATGGTTTGCTTCTCCTCCTTCCCCAGATCTAGAGCTTAAAGATCTTAATTAAAGAGGACAGGACACCAGTCTCTTCTGCATGCAGGATTGGATCTGTCTTATGCTCATGCATTTTGTATATCTGAATTAAATATGTATGCCCTTATGATGGGGTCTCGTGTCCCCAGACACTTTCTGGAGTGACCTCACACTCCCGCAGGTGGCAGTAGTTAGAGGCTAAGGCAGCAGCTAACCCGGAGCAGCTGATGCATCTCGGCAGGAAAATGGATTAAATCTTCCCCTGAGAAGCGCCTTACCACAAAGGATAACATGAAAGCTTGTTGCTCTTGTAGGAGACCAATTAGAAACCTATCCTCTGATGATTGACTTAACTCCAGCATAAAGATTTAAATCTTGACAAGAACAGTTCAGCGCTTCCCTATGGAGCCTCTCAAGTTGAAGATATGGGGAAGATTATTTTAACACTAATATCTGAACCATACAGTAAGTGACTGTGATGAACTAGTCTTCTGTGTTGCTTGTTTGTTCTTTTTGTATGCTGAGGAAAAAGGAAATAACTTGTACCGTGTTTCCTAGATCACAAGTTCTCAGATCCGGAAAGAGTGAACTACAAATTTGAAAGTGGGCCTTGGTATGTATCATCTTGCTCTTTTTCTTTCTAAAGGCACTGCTTGAAAAAGTACTTCTCTGCATTCCTTATCTGCATATCGATGTTGTCAGTATTTTTATTTTATCTTGCCACTGCTGTGGAAGTAAATTAGATGTTTTAAGTGGGACAGAGGGTAGAAAACTGCATCAGTTGCAGGACTGAAGCCTAGCAAGGAAGCTGTAGCCTGCTAGGTGCTGTTGGTTCTGGATTCTCCTAATAAGTGTATATAATGGGTGTTGAGTGGGCTCTCCTGTGAACAAAGAACTTCTGCATTTTTGCAGAAGTAACCCTTTTAGTATCAACTCTTAAGCTTTTCCTGCAATTTGCTTCCCAGTTAGTGACTATACATCATGATGATTTTTTTTCTTGCGTAGGGAAGATGCATTTCCATAAAGATACGGTGCCAAACAAAAGACTGCTACCAGTAAATTGCTTGAGCTATGATGATTGTCTTCTTCCCAAACATGTTTTAAACATAAAGCTTCATCTGTGCTTGATGACTTTTTAAAACATAATCTTGCTTTTCCATGTATAAATACAAATTTTTCTTCACTTTACTTAGTCCCAAGTACTGACTTCCCTCCTCCAGATTAATGAACTCTCATAATGGTAGATGATATTGGCAAGAGATGATTCTGAGCGAAAAGAGGCAAGAAAAAAAAGAAGCAACAGCATTGGCAGAAAGTATCCAGTGAGATTAGTTCAGGCAGCTATTTGTTTTAGCATTGTTCTAAGATTTTTTTTCCCATTTCAATAATGAAATGTTGTGATGAGGTAAAAGATTCCCATCTTATTTGTGATAAAAAGTGGAAGCTGATGGGTTTCGTTTCAACAATAGGGGTATGTCATCAGAGAAGATAACACTCTTTTATTTGCACATGCACCAATTGCTTATTTTATTAAGGCAAAGTATTAAAGTACGGGATTGTGAGGAGCAGTTCTGGACAGATTTCTATAGGAAAGGCCACCTGAGAACTAAAAACACAACCAAAGCCATGACCCTCCTACGGCAGGGCACAAGCACAACCCTTGTAGGAGGGGAGACAGCTGCTTAATCAATCCCATGCTCTCTGTGCAACAACCTGGCCTTCCAATAGCCCTAAAAGCAGCCGTGGGTAGCTGTTGTCAGTGTTTTGTTCTACATGGCGTTTTTAACATGCAAGAGAACAAAAGGGACTGTGGTAATGACCAATTAAATCTGGCTCTCTGTGGCTGAGCTATTCCCATGCTAAGCAGTTGACGTCGCCTGGAGCTATACTAAGTCTCCAGCAGCACAGCGATGGCCTCGACATGAAACGTTCAGGCTGAACTCCTTGGGTGAAGTAAAATCTGAAACAAATCTGGTCTTAGCTTGTGAGTGGCTCTTGCATGCTGGCACACTACAAGCACGGCTCTGCTTCAAGCTCTACTTACCCAAAATAAGAGCAAGTGTTTCATTGTACTGCACCAACCCTGTTCATGCAACGGGGAAGCACAAAACATCGGTGTGTCAGGAGGGGGGAGTGAAGTGGGAATGTGCTCAAGGAGAGGAGCTCAAGGGGCAAGCATGGTGAGGAGCTGGGAAAGGGGCAGCTCAGCAGAGCTTGCTGTTTGCTGTGATTTTGGGCATGGGTCTCAGGAAGCCCTGGCAGTGCTTCCCCCTTGCCCAGCACAGGCAGGGGCTTGTCACATTTGTGTGGATGACGAGCATTATTTCTTCTTTTGGTGCCTGCAGCAGCAAGATGGAGCTTGTGGATGACAATGCTGTCATTCGAGCAAGAGGACTACCTTGGCAGTCGTCTGACCAGGACATAGCGAGGTTCTTCAAAGGCTTAAACATTGCCAAGTTAGTAGCCAAGAACTTCTCTCTCCCTCTGTAGTGCTTCATCTGCTCCAGTCACGGAGTTCTTCCTCTCTCTGACTTGAATCTTTCAGGGGAGGTGCTGCACTCTGCCTCAACGCCCAGGGCCGGAGGAATGGGGAGGCTCTCGTGAGGTTTGTAAGTGAAGAGCACAGAGATCTAGCGCTGCAGAGACACAAGCATCATATGGGGAATCGCTACATTGAGGTGTGTGCCACTGGCTTTGAGGGCCTCCTCTCAACAGGAGCGCAAACTGCATGTCAGTCATGTGTTCTCTTTTCTTCCCTTTCATTAGGTATACAAGGCAACAGGTGAAGACTTCCTTAAAATTGCAGGAGGTAATTTTTGAGGGGATAAGAAGGGAGGGTTTGTTCCATCATTATCTGCAACTTGGGGTTGTAAACGGCTCCTCTTGGATGTGGTCTTTCATTTCTCTTTCCATGATCAAGTAGGTAACGGATGGGTGATAATTAGGTACTCTGCTGGCAGTCCAAGCTGTTCCATGAATTTTGTCCACCTCTTTTTTTCAAGTAGCCTATTAAATAAGGATTTGATCAAACAAGGTGATCTCGCTTATGAGTTTTGTTCAGAAGGTAATCTTCCTGAACGAGGGGACCTAAATGTTACTGATTGGAAAAACTGCTCAGGTTTTGGTTTTCTGCAAAACAGGACTATTGCTGTTGCTGTGGAGACTTGCACATAAAAGCAAACAGATATCACAGCGTAAATAACAAGGGATTTATGGAACTGATTTTTCTTCAAATGAAATCTTCGATTCTGACTAAGGGGGAAATTTTAGATGAAATACTCCATTTTAAGGGGACTATTCCCAAACCTTGAATTGAAAGACTGCAAAACTTGTTCTACTCATCTTCCCCCAGACTACCACCCTCCCTTTATGACTGCAAGCGTACAGAATTTGAGTTAAGATCCAATAAGCTGTTATGTACCTACAATACTGGCTTAAAATCCTTCTTGCTTCCTAACATAAATTTGTTCTGGGGGTTGTAGATGACTAACTGAACGTCTAAAGTTAAGGTTTTGGAGTGGGAGAGGCTATTATGTTGTTGAATAGATGGCTAACTGATAGATTTGGTAATAGTTGCACCATTCAAAGTAAAAACACTGCTTGCTAATGCTGGAAAATTGTATGTCTGACACTACCAGACTTGTTTTGTATATCAGCTTGGCAAAATAAGCTAGCTGTAAGTGAAAGGACTGTGCTAAGGTGCAGAATTGGTTAGCAAGTAGATCTGGATAAGGGTAGTGTAGGCTCATATCTATGAGCATAATGGTCTTCTAAAGATGCTGGAAGTAGAATTGTCAGACTTTGGTAGTTTTCTCAGGATAGGATGAAATTCCTGAAGCTGTCTTCAACATGCCCTTCTAGCTTTCTTTCCAAGCATAATGGTCTGGGAACTTGATTGCCATACATTGTGACTTCAAAGCCTGCCAAATGTGTAAGTTAAAAGGGTGAGGTGAACAGTAGTGGAGGCAGTACTCATGGAGGAAGGAGGATTCTGCTCAGAAATGTTCTTAAAATGGTCTTCGGAGAGGGAGGAGAAGTTAGCTATGCCAAAGTTTCTCGGGGTTTTATGTAGCTGCCTAAATTTGAGTGCTTCTCTACTTCTTTTGCTAAAGGCACTTCCAACGAGGTTGCACAGTTCCTATCGAAAGAAAACCAAGTGATTGTCAGGATGCGAGGCCTTCCTTTCAACGTGACGACGGAAGAAGTGCTGACGTTCTTTGGCCAGCACTGCCCTGTAACAGGAGGGAAGGAGGGAGTCCTATTCGTCACCTACCCTGACAGCCGGCCAACGGGGGATGCCTTTGTGCTGTTTGCTTGCGAGGAGTACGCGCAGAACGCGCTGAAAAAGCATAAGGACTTGCTGGGAAAAAGGTACATTGAACTCTTCAGGAGCACTGCAGCAGAAGTTCAGCAGGTAGGTGGCAAATGTGCTTCTTCTAGTCCTGCTTTGGCATTAAGTAGTGCCAGCAAGTACTGCTTGGCCACGACAAAAAGTTCTTCCTTTTACTCGTGACAACTTTTACTGCAAAGAGTACTGTCCAAACTTCTGTAAGGGTTTGCTCCCTCTGCATGTAGGATCTTATGGTGTATGGATGTTCTCAATCACACACACACATGCAAAATATGCATACATAAGTGTGTATAACAGAGTCCTTAATTTTTTTTTGTCTTTTGATATTCTTGCACGCAGGAGTTATTGATAATAACAGTATCTGTAGTGTAAAGCAGTAGACCCACGCAAATTTGAGATTTTGATGCCTCATTTGAAGGGTGACAGTAAGTGAGAAAACATAGCTGTAACTTGCTACTCTTGTTGTAGTTATCCCATAACTTCTCTGTTTAGCAAAAACATCTGACACCTGTGTAATTGAATATTGATATTGTTCAAAGATGGTGAAAGGCAAGCGATTAAATAGCTGGTAAGCTCTTGACTGGGTGGGGTTTTTATTGTTAAGACTACTCAAATCTCAGCATGACTCCCTTATTTCTAATGCTGTGGCTCAGTGACACCACCCATGTTACCTGATGTGCTATTGCACGTCAAGGCTGTTTGGTAGTGAAGCATGTTTCCAGTTCATAGAGAGTGAGTATCTTACCTAGAGAGTGAGTACCTCACATAGAGGAGATAATTTTTTCAGTAGAAATGGCCCCATGACTATATAGACAGGAGGATGTTTTCACAATAAAACTGCTGTAGAAATACCGGTTTCATGCTCTAGATCTTCTGAGAGTTCCATTATGGTTCAAATGATTTTATTTTTTTTCTTGGAGAAAAAAAAGAATCAACTTATTTTGGAGAGTTTAAAAACTGTCTGCAAAGTGTCTGAATTCTAAGCATTGCTGCTCTCGTTGAAGCCCAGAAACTAGCTCACTTTCTTTTTTTTTTTTTAAATGCTGCCCAGACTGAAAATTATGTAACACTAATCCCATGAATTGAAAAATAAGTCAGGAAGCTTTTTGTAACCTCTTTCTGTCTTGCACAGGTGCTGAACAGGTACTCTTCCACGCCTCTCATTCCTCTCCCAACGCCTCCTATTCTTCCAGTATTACCTCAGCAGTTCGTGCCTCCCACTAACGTCAGAGACTGCATACGCTTGCGTGGCCTTCCCTATGCTGCCACTATTGAGGATATCCTGGAGTTCTTGGGGGAGTTTTCTACAGATATTCGGACCCACGGCGTCCACATGGTGCTGAATCACCAGGTTGGTAGGCGCCACGTTGCTGGACACGCTGCTAACTGCACGTGTGTGTTACAGGCTCCTCCTGATGATAGCATCACCAGTAGGGGAGCACCTTTGGGATTGACACTAATGACATCAGTTGGCCTCCAGCGCTCCTCTAAAAATGAACTGATAATAGATGGGCTTACTTGAACCACGTTGTAACAGCTGCCACATCTGCTGTAGAGTGGTTTCTGTCGCTAAGACCCAGGTGCCTAAAACTAAGCCACAATCTCTAGAGGTGCTCCTATAGCACCAGCTGTGATCCTGCACTGCTTAAACTGAAGAGTCCTGCTCAACAGCTTTGATAATTCCTCTTATGCGAGGCATATCTTTAAAAACAAAATTTTGGTCAACATTGACTCACCAAGGAGTGTTTTGCCCCAGGTATATTTAAGGCCATATATGACTGCAGCCTTATTGAGATGGAAGGATTTCCTATGGCACAAGTCTAAAACTACAGCTGAAGTTTCAAGTCTCCTGAACTGTGGTGCTGCTTTCCTCGAATGGCTATGGCTAAACATGTGGATTAGTGGCTCACTGACACGTGTAGATAGTTTCATCATTGCCATTGTTTCCTGGAGGTAGTTTCTAGCAAAATCTTTTAGACAAAGGCACGTGTTGCGATCTCCTTGTTTATCTGCATAGTTTTGTAACTTTAAGGGGAGGAGAGGGCAGCTCCTCATCCTCTGTGGAGATGATTTGAGTGGCTCTGCTGATGCTAAGCCTATGTTGCAGCTGCAAACTAGTTCCTTTTCCCAGAGTAAAGCTTCTCTGTTTGAGGAGCATGGGAAGAGAGAAGGGACTAGAGTTTCTGCAGCACCTGTCTTAAGATTTCTGTGTCTGTGAGGACTTGACCTAGCCATATCCAAGTCAGAGACGAAAAATGATGAGGAATGTGCAGGTCTGCAAGAGACAAATAAAAAGATGCAGATGCTAAAGCACAAGTAATTGTTTACGCTAGCATCAGCCTGTCAGCAGTAATGAAAGAACCTGGAGGAAGAGTGTGTGTAGTCCTGAGAGCGATCAGCCATCCCTGCCCAAAGCTGTCACCTTTCTTTTAGGTACTGCTTTGCCCAACTACTTGATTTTTATCTTTTTGAATATTCTCACTACTCCCACCACTCCTGTTTCCAACCCTCTAATCATAAACAAGCATGTAAAGGATGGTGCTATGGGGTTTTTCTTCCCTCAGAAACTAGAAGAACTGGCCCAGAACTTAAGTTAGAGCTGGCTTCAGATCTCTACCGCCAGTTTTGGCTACTTCAAGTCAGCTTTATGTGGCTAAAGTGACTCTTCCTAATTGTGTATCCCACCCACTTACAGCCCTGTACAAGGATCTAATTTTTCTTCTTTGCAAGCTCACGCCAAGCCTAGCTACATGATTAGCCTTAGGCTAGTGACATTTTAAAATATTCCAGCCCATATTGGCATTAACAAAACAGAAAATAGGCTTTTGACTGCATTTCTTTTCTCAGTTAAGTTAGCACAAGTTGTTGGAAGGATGCCCATAAGATGCACCAGGTAGACTATGATTCCCCAGCAGTAGTGAGGAAACTTCAGGGAGAGTTTAAACATGCTGATAGTTGCAAGAGTCTGTAGGGATGCACTTTACTTTGGAGATAAATATTTTTATGGCTGAAGAGTGTTTTTAACAGGACAAATCATTGTTATGCTGCTACTTCACAGGAGCTTCAGAAACACTTCTGTTTGTCTTTTTTTATAGGGACGTCCATCGGGAGATGCTTTTATTCAGATGAAATCTGCAGACCGAGCTTTTCTGGCTGCACAGAAGTGTCACAAGAAGACAATGAAGGACAGATATGTTGAAGTCTTTCAGTGTTCTGCTGAGGAGATTAACTTTGTATTAATGGGGGGCACTTTAAATCGAAATGGCTTGTCCCCACCACCATGTAAGTTACCATGTAAGTTTTGCATGCGTCTTGCCAATACTCTACGCTGTGTGCGGGTAGGTGTTGGAGCTGCTTTCTTGACTCTGATTCTGGTTCTTGGAAAGGAGTCTCAGATGGGGGTGGTAAAATGAGGCCTTTTCGTGATAAATCAGCAGCTTGCAGTCATTATTTTTCCCTCTGGTTGTGAATTATTATGACTGAAAGACTAGTTTCAAATTCCTCTTGCTTCTCCAGTAGCAAACTTCCCCTCCCATTCTTGAAACTGAACTTGGCCAGGGTGAGCCATGACTCTGAAAAGTAATTTGACTTCCTAAGGCTTAAAGAGCAGTTTCCCATTTAAACTGATTTGTGTGTACGCTTTTTTCATCATGGTGAACATGTCAGATAAGTCCTTCCACTTTCAATCCCCAAACTTAATTCATGAAACCATTGGATGTGTTCTCCTTTGGAACTTATCCTCTTGTTGTACAAAACCGAATATACTCTGGGAGTAAAATACAGATCCTTTTGGTCTCAGAGAAACTATTTCATGTACAATTCTGCTCCCCAGAGCTGTTCAGATGAGCATGGACTTCTAGACAAATGTTTGGGGAAGATGCTTTAAGAGCTTAAGGGCTAACCTAGTAAACATGCATGCTGTATAAATCTGAGCCTACGGGAAAAATAATACTTTGTTTCTAAGATAATAAATGGTAAGGCAGTAGAGTAGGAGCTTTCTCTCTGCACATGTATTACTGTTTATGGTGGCGTTTCTAAGAAACATTCTCTAAACCCTCCTCAGAGCTCCCAGTCTGACAGTGAATTTCTTGGGTGTGGTTTCTCCTGAGCTGTGAGTAGACCTAATCTGTAGGAGTTCAGCTTTCCAGTTGACCAGCACTTCTTGCAATGCGAGATTCATCCAAGCGGGGAGCTGCAGTGTGTGGTCCCACGTGTGACAAATCCCAGACAGGAGCTCCTGAGAGCTCCTAGGACAGGTTCTTGAGTAAAAGTCTCAAAGCTTGGGAATCCTTAGATGGCAGAGTTCCTATTTCTAAATACAAATGCAAGTGATGTATTCCTCAGATAAGCTTTTTTTGCTCTGTCACTGCCCAATCCCCCAATGAAGGGAGATTTTAACTGTTGGTTTAAAATAAGCTTCAGTGTCACTTATTCAGGGCTATCTAAAACTTCCATACAGTTCTGTTATGGTACTAGAGAAGAAAAGGAATAGGAAAGGAGGCAGTTTAATGATGTTTCAGCAAGAGGTGAGGCCTTATGAGGCCCTCACAGCTAAGTGCAGTGTGTTGTTAGCATTCAGTTTAAAAACACACAAACATGAGAAGCTGCAAAGTCTTCTTCAAAGTCGTCATCTGCAAAGAGACCCTGTTCCCAGAGCCATCAGTGGTTTCTGATTTTTGTTACTGCCCTTTGCTTTTGACTGGGGGTAGAAGGACAGACTTTAGTCTTGCAGTCAGGCCCATAGCAGTGCCCCAGCTTTATCTTCTGTGATGAGCAAGCAAACGAGAAACCTGTGAAAGCTCCTTAATTACAGCAGAGCTGTTCAGCTAATGGAATTCATATACATATACATGCTGGGATTTTTGAAGGTCTTAACCTATTTTTTGTTTGTCCCTTTAGGCCTTTCACCCCCTTCCTACTCCTTCCCGACTCCTGCAGCAGTTGTGCCAACAGAAGCAGCTCTGTACCAGCCATCCATGCTCCTGAACCCACGAACACTCCAGCCCTCCACGGCGTACTACCCTGCTGGGGCCCAGCTCTTCATGAACTACACAGCCTACTACCCCAGGTAAAGCAGAAGAGAAAACCAAGCAGGAACAAAGAAATCTTCTTGCAGCAAATGCACAAAGCTCACCAAAGAACGTTGTCTGTCATGCTAAAGGCTTGTGCTACAAAGAACAGCTTGTTCAGTATCTTGTTCAGGGAAACAATTCCAGGATATCTAGGGATTTCCCAAGTTTTAGACTATTTCAGGTAGTGATGATTATTTTTTTTTTAAACAAGTTGCACGGTTACAGTGGGAATTCTGTGGTTTTGTTTTTCTCTCACATGCCTCTTCAACTCGTTAGGTTGCATCATTGTGCCCTTGGTAGGAATTGATTATGGACACTCCTACCTGGGTCCACAAAGACACCTTTGGCCCCCTTTCAGAAGGGGTGGATTGGGGTCTTGCCTTATAACGTTTCCTGAAATCCTGCCTCTTTGTTTTTTTTTTGGTTTTTTTTTTTTTTTTGTAATAAAGTAACATTTGACCTTTACGGTGAAAATTCTGTTTACTTATTTATGAAAATATTGCATTGAAGCATATGCGTATTGGATGCATATGTGAAACACGTGCCTTGGAGCATATGTTCTCCCTGACCTCATGAACACCTCTTGTGAAAGGCTCTCCTGCACAAACTACCCGTCTTCTGCAGAACAAAGACTCTTCGTACCTCTTGTTCTCTGCAGTCATGAGGCCTTGGAAAGAGCCACGTTCCCTACAAGCCATAAACTGCTCCTCAGCTGTCAGGGGAACTGAGAAAAGAACCCCAAGTTTTCAATCAGGTTCAGGCGAGAGCTTTTTATCTCTGGAGAAGGGTCCAAATAGCTACTTTTGGAGTTGTTGAGCAGTACGGACTCTGTAGCACCTGTAAGATAACCAAAGTTTTCTAACTACTCTAACTAAACTAAACCATTATGTCTGTGAGCTGCCTGTTTTTTTCATTAAAATGTGTTTTTCACTCAAAGTTAATTTCTATAATGCTTTCATGTGTCTTATGGTTATGACATGTTACCAAACTCAGCCTCTTTCATGTAAGATCAAAAAAATAAAATAAAATTCCAGAACTTGCACTGGCAACATACAACAAGTTTCTCAATAATAGCTCTTACATCATGAGAACGCAGTGCCATTAATAGTTCGGTGTGACTTTGGCGTTTTGGGTGTCTTAATCTGCAGTGGCTAGTCTATAATTAGTTTAAGCAGCAAGCCCAACAGAGACCTCACTGAATGGGGATCCCACACGAGTCCCATCAATGGCTGCAGTGATCTGTGGACATTTGTTGGTTACAGACTGATCAGTCCCAGGTCAAAATATCCTTTTTGTATGCCTGTCTGACAGCAGTTGTTCCCTAAGAATGATACAGAATTCTGTAGCAATCCTTATAGCAGTTACAAGTACCTGTGTTTGTTTTATTTTAATGGTAATGTTTCTGGAGTAAACTTGGCTTCTTTCCATTTTATGACACCTGTTTGCTATTTGGATATTGCTTTTCTGTCCAATGTGAATGTTTGATCTACAGACAATTTCTACATGACTCCAATAGACGCAGTGATCCCTTGTAGCTGATATTTTGTTGGAGAAATAAGTTTTATTTTATCATACAAGTTCCCATGCTTCGTAAAGGATGCAATGAGCAATTGGGTCCCTTTCACGTAACAATCAGGACTTTTTAAATGGAGTTTTCAGGTTCTGAAATCTAATTCAAAAAAAAAAAAAAGTTAAATATGCGGTAGGGAAGAGCAGGGTAACCCCTGTACTCAGTGGTGCTTTTAAATGCACATACATGGAAAAGCAAAACTGATCTGGTGGCTAATGATCAGACAATGGCTTGTAAATCTATCTAGTGAATATTTATGGCAATGAGGAAAGTTTCTCTGACCTGCTGCCAAAATGTTCTACAGCCCAAGTTTTGCAAGGTCAGGTTGCTTTAGAATAGACAATTCCTTTTTTTTTTTTTTTTTTTTTTAACACAGTAATTAACCTAGGTGGCAGGCTTGGGGGAAGGATTGTTTTGGTGTTCTACCAGAAACCCGTTCTTTATATAACTTTTCTTAATACTCTTCTAGCTTTGGTGATGAAACACGAGGACATAATAGCATTGAAGGCATCCATTTCTTTAAGATAGCTTTAGTGACCTACCAATGAGAAGGAGGGAGAGCGAGTTATTCAAGATCTGTCAGCCTTTGATATCTCTGTTCAGCTTGTAATTATCATCTGGCAACGTGTTCTGACAGCAAACCAGTGGTCTCTATCTACGCCTAGTCCCAGGCTTTTGAGAAAAAGAACAATAGGATTCAGGGAAGGGATGGGTTTCTTTCCTTACCTAATCCTGGATAAGTAGGTGCACTAGCTGTCATGTGCGTGTATGTTGAAAGTAGTGGATAGCTGCATTACTTGGCAGCTGCTGGCAGGTACTATGGAAACTTTAGCATACACAAACTTGAGAGTTACTGCTATGGGGTTTATAGCTTTAAAATAAACTTAATTCAGTGTGTTTACTCAATTCTAATGCCATTTTGATCAGTTCTAAGCAATGCCTTTAAAACCTCAAGTTTCTGACAAAATGCTAAATTGTAGGAACACGTTTAAACATTTTTAATCAATATTTTTGAAGAGTGAAATGGATGGAAGAGGCTTGTATTCAGTGAGTAGTGTGCTGGTGGGACTTGTTGCCAAAAAATGACATGGAAGCTGAAAACTGATGTGGGTTCAAACAGACTGAACAAACTCAAGAGCAGGAAATTCATTGTCAGCTAGTGAATACACAGAAACCACATCTGGCTCAGGAAGTCCTTGAACCCAAAATAACTGGGAGTGTGTTTTCATGCTTGGTGTCCTACGGTAAACGATTGTGTTATTGAGCTAAGTTGGGGAGGAAAACGTGTTTGTTAGCATCTTCAGAGTACTGTTTGTCTTGAGAGATTAGTTCTGCTTGTGAACTCTTCCACAGTGTGGTTGTATTCCCCTCTGCTAGTCTAAGTTTGGTGGCTAAGTTTGGGTTATGAAGTTATTTCCCTGTTACCAATCTATGTACAGCTCTTCTCACTGCAGTGATTTGAGTTTGTCTCTCTGTGTGGTAGATAAAAACATGGTTCTGGCACTTCCTGCGTGAGGAAATCCAGGGGAATGTGTCATCACCTGTAAGCTTCCACCTCCTTCTGCTATGGATTACTTTTATCTATGCACTAATCAACTTGTGACAGTAGATTATTTCTCTATATGCATATTGTCTGTATACATTATACATATTAATATTACATGTATGCATGCATACATACATAAAAATGTGTGTTTATTAAAGACCAAGGTCGGAGGGAACTTGTAATTCATAATTTATCCTCACTTTTTCCCCCAAAACAACCACCACGGAGAACAAGTGAGGCTTTTTTATAACCTTGGCCATTTCTTAGGTCCATGTTAGAGCACAGCTCCCAGCTAGTTTAAACCAGCAAAACTAGGAAGCTGGAACAACTGGGGCAGATCAGGAGCACTACCAGAGAGCTGCTGCTGGTAGCTTTGTTTGCATCTCTCTCTGGCTCACCAGGATCACTTGACAGAAGTAGGTTAGATAACAGCCATATGAATATTTGGCTTTGGAGAGCTGTCACAGATGGAGAGCAGCAGTAGCCAGAAACAAAACATGGGCTTAATTGTGCTGATAGTAATACTCCAGACCATGGCTCTTACACTGCAGTACTTTTACTTTTTTTTTTAAATAACTATGTCAGGTTGGATTGCAGCTGTAGGGAATGGGCTAACTGAGGTTAAAACCTACTTGTCAGTTGCTGAAATGGAGCATTTTTGGATCGAATGGAGAGAATTTGGATCGTGTGGCAGAATCTGAGACTATTCCTTACCTATCCTTGCTCATGGCGAGTCTGTCTCCACTATGGATTTACGAAAACATCCTGCAGGAGCTGAGCTTTCCACTTAGTGGCACAATCTTAGCGCTGGAATGATTGATTTTGGGGACACCTTGATGATTCACTTCTGAAAGCAGAGGTAGCTTGTCAAGCACCGGATCAGCAGGGCTGCCTTTAACTCCTTTGGAGAGAGAGTGCTTTAGCTGGGAAGATAAATCATTGCACGCCTTCATAGGTTGTCATTATCCCTTCACTTACAGGTTTTAATTAGTCAAACTGCCTTAATGTCTGAAAAGTAGCAGAATGGTAATATCTTGACATGAAGTTACTTGTTGATCAAGGTAGCAACATTATTTTAAGAACAAACTTAAAAAACAAACAAACAAAAGCCTACCTGATGGTGTCCAAGATCTGCTTATCCCACCAAACCAACCACTGCCACGGATGTCAATGGAGGGTCTTAAAAATCCAAGTTCCTTTCGTTCACTTGGTGTAGTGGCTGAGCTGATGTTCAGTCAGAAGGTGACGCTAAGAGCTGCTGACTTTTCCTCTGCTATCCGGTAACTCATGCGGATTAGTATGAGCGATTAGTTGATATTACAGTGTTTAGCAAGCTAGATGCAGAGATCAGTTTGGGGCTTATTACTGATTTTGTGTATTTACAGCACCATTGAGCAGTAGGAGAGCATCCTTCTGTCGTTCCTCGAGGCGTGTGTGTTATCCTAAACTTCACTTGTGATGACAAAGGGATCTCAGGCAATTCAGGGTGCAAAGATATGTCACTAGATGCTTCTCTTTACTCAGTAGCAGCCACCTTATACCAGGGAGTGAAGTCCCAGCACTGCTCAGGGCAAACTAATGCACTTTTTGGTGGCAGCCAACACTTCTGGTGTTCCTTTTGCTTCCTCTTGTCGTGCTGCTGCTGCCTTGTACGGATGGGATGCATTGAGTGGGCAGCAGGCTGGCTGCTTAAATGTGGGGATGGCATCTGTACCCGAGGGGCTTTTGGTGTTTGCAGAGGTTGAGGTGGGTTGGTCTTGGAGTAAGGCCCCTTAAAGTTGAGAACTTTGTTCTCAGCAGGCCTCGTTAAGCTAGGCGATATTTGTACATGATTAAGTGACAGTCATAGGGATCTCAATGTTTCTATTTGATGAACGGGTGACCTTATGATTTAGCACTCTTACCTTTGCTATTTGTCAAGCTACATGGGCTTTCTTTAAATATGGATAAACATTCCAGTCCTAGAAAATGAATTATTCTGGTTATGTAAATACTTGTGCTAATAGCATGCCTTGTTAGGTTTTGAGAACAAAGTACCAGGTTAAAACTTTCAACTCTGGTAATTATGCCGCAAAATTTGCTAGTTCTGCCTCTCTCAAACTTTGTGTGAACCACTTCTAAAAAGGCTTTATCCTGCAGTTTCATTTCCTCCTGTGTTTGGGCTGCTTTCCAGTAATGAACATTGTGGGCATTAAGCCGCAAGTCCCTGTATACGTGCGCGTTGTACCCACGGTCTGTGCCAGCCCCAGGAGCAGCTGAAAATCCCTGCTGGTCTCTGAAAAAATATTTCCTGTTTGTAGGGCACGGGGGTGATCCATCACATTTCCTTGAGGTTTTCTGGCGGCTGCTTGATGTGCAGTTTACACTTCGGCTACAACTGAAGATGGAGAAAGTGTAAAAAGAAAACCAAACAGATGAGTTCTCCAAGTTGTTTTTCACTGCCCACTTCCCTTTCTTGTCTTTTCCCAGGGCTGTACCTAGCAGTGTTTCTCTCTGTAGTGTGGTGAGGGACATGCTGTAAGGCTAACCTGCAATACAGGCCCTGGCCTACAGCACGTAAATTAATGTGAGCTGTCAGTCAGCAGCCTGATGAAAGGATATCTTCGGTATCTGTTGGCACAGAGCAGAAAATAGCTAACGCTTACACCAAAACCTTTTTCAGGACACAGAGAGCAAAGCTAAGGGAAAAACAGATCTGCAAGGAGGGAGCTGAAGGCTGTCGATGGTGTGAGAGCGAGTGGTGCTGGGCATGTCTGCGGTTCTCTCTGACCTGCCAAATGCTTGGCAGAGACCTGAGAAGCTGCTTGGTTATGTATGCTGCCTGCTCCCACCTCTCGCCTACTTGTAATACAAATCACAGCTTACTTCTGGATATTAGTATTTATTAAACAACTGCGTAGTGTGTGTGTGTGTGTGGAGCAATTAGGAAATCAAACGAGA